GTAATAGGGTTATAACATTTTAGGTTTTATTCAAAAAATTAATTTATGCTGTATTATTTGGTCGATTCCAAACGTTACTGGCATGACACTTACTGCCGTTACTTAGATTTCTTGTAATTTTCAGGAAATTGAATTTCTACTCTGAATTAGTAAAAAAAAAAAAAAAGAAACGTCTTATTTGTGATTGTGTTTATTTCCATTGAAGTTTAACCAGCTCGTCGGTTTTCTCCTTAAATATCAAAATTGTGTCAACTTCACTTTTTATATATATACTTTTTATATTCCAGATTAATTAGTTTTGTTCTGACTGAAGAAAAGTAATGGTTAACTCCGAACAAACAAAAATTTGAATTTTTCCTGAATTTTTTGTTCCATCCATTTTAAAAGTGAAAACATACCTATTAATTATATATCACTACTGTAAGTGCAAATGTCTTATGTTAAAGTTTTCAATTTGTATTCTATTTTTGACATGCAGACTTCAGTGGATATAAATAGTATACTACTATGAAAAATAGCGGATGGCAATACAATATAAAATTATACTAATAAATCATAAAGAAATAATGAGTTCGTATGCTCTCCTGTAAAACACTCAATTTTTACATACGTCATTTATCTTAACAGTAGCGAGATACATATTCAGTTTGCACTGGATTTTTTTTGTTAATTACGAATTATCAAGCTTTTGTATGTTGAGGGATTACTGGATTTCCAAAAACTGCTTCTTCCATAGATTTTACTCTCGTAAGAAAATTTTTAGACCTTTTAATATAGATATTTTTTAGCAAATGAAAACGGTGAGGAAGCTATACTGACCTTACTTGGCAAACGTTTTTGAAATATAAGGCTGTCAAGGAAAGCATGTCTAAAAACCGAAAGAAATATATTTAAAAAAAAAAGAATTACTCTTCTCGGAAATATAATGGGCATTATATTTTGAAGAGTTGATACTTTTATATATTGTGAATATCCTTGAACTCCTTCTTCGTCTTCGTCCTTTCACCAGGAATTATTGTCCGTATACAGGCCTCGGGTTTAATAATTTCTATTGTTTATTCTAATCGCAATACAGCCAGGAGAGAAAATTCAACCGTAACTGTTAAGATTTCAACAGATATCAAAATAATAATTCAAATTTTGCACAGTTCAGATATCTGTTTAAAATTTCGTAGATATCACGCCGAGTGAGGTGCCGCTGGGCACTGATCCTCCTCATGCCTTTCATTACATCATATTTTGCAATCGACCTCACATTCACTGGTTGCACGGGCGGATCTACGGGGGGGGAGGGGCTTTCGGGCGGAAGCCCCCTCCTCCCCCCCAAAATGGTAAAATATAACCATTTTTTATCGAAAAAAATATTAAAAAAGTATCTCTTAAAGTATTATTGTTCGTGTGATTAATATTAAAAGAGCTTTAGGAATCACTTAAACACCATTTCATACAGGTTGTTAGTTTCTTTCTTTTTTTCTAAAGCATTATCGTTATTTTTATGAAAAAAAAAAGCTTTCGGGCTGAAGCCCCCCCCCCCCAAAATTAAATCCTGGATCCGCTAGTGACTGGTTGTCATTACCATTATGACAGGTGTGAATAAAAAAATTAAAGCTAAAAAAAATAAATTTGTCTATGAGGCTGCTAGTATTATTTAGAAGAAAAAAACTGGGTGACTTTTGTTACATGAGCATTATATATTCGGTTCATTTTTTTTTTCGCAGTCCTAAGACAAAGATGCGATGCTCTATGTAACTTTTTTGGTCGTATTTCAGCAAAATAATCTTTTAGGGTCATTACTTCTAACTTGTAGCTTTTTAGTTATTTTGAAAAACAGGTATTAGTTTAGTAAAAACAATCAAATTTATTGTATTAACACCTATAACTTTGTTAATAATGATCAAAGCATGACAGGAACAAAGTCAGTTTCCAAAATATATAGAAACGATACTTCAAATGAAAATTTGACTGGAAAGCGAGTATTGTCTCCCACTGTAGGGGCACCTCGAATGCAGTACATGCGCCTCATTTGGAGTATTGGAGTAGTCTATGAAAAAATCGTTTTTAAAGTACTCAACTTCAAATTGATATGGTTTGATTCACGAGTTTTAGGTTTTCTGCTAATGTTACCTTCGCACAGTTCGTTTCTGAGCTTCTTGTGATTTCAAAGATCCATTGGTTTGGAAAGAGGACACTAGAGTTCTCTTTTCGTCTCCTGTTAAATAGGCGTAGAGAAGTGGCGACTCCATCGGCCGGTCATAGCACCCACAGGCCCTCCAGGTTAGGGGAACAGTAAACTCACACTCATACAGTACACTGCACTCACCCTCACATCACATACAAAGGTCATCAACAGTACACACCCTAGGGACACCTTCTCTAGGTAGCCGCTCTGGAGGGGGGAGCGAGTCAGGGACCTGGGCCAGACAGCCACTCCACCAGACTCGGGAGTTGAGGGCTGAACTACCCTCACTTCCTAAACAACCAATGTTACAAATCCTCAAATGGAAGAAGCCGGATTGTCTCAATGGATACGACCCAGGAAACGCACTAAGAATCTACTATAGCTTATGGAGCATTTTAACAATTAACCGACTGGGAGCCCTCCCTCCTTCTCCTTACACAACTAGATTCATACAAGTTGGACATAGCAGGAATCCAGGAAATTCGCTGGCTGAGGAAATATATTCAGAAAATGAATCAGCACACCATATACTATAGCTGCCATGAAACGCATCTCACTTTTGGAACTGGATTTGTGGTCAGGGGGAGAGCCAGGCACCTCGTAAGATATTTCGCGCCATATGGCCCACGTCTACGCTACATCAGGCTCAAAGGAAAATTCCTTAATTATTCCATCATAAATTGCCATTAACCAACCGAGATTGCCACTAAACAAATGCTCTCACCGAGATGTGAAGTTAATCCTTGGAGACCTGAATGCCCAAGCCAGCCGAGAACAGGCATATTAGCCCATTATCGGGAAACATAGTTTACATGAAACAAGCAACGGCAATGGGCATCGAGTAGTAAACTACGCGGCCGAGCACGGACTAATTGTAGGAAGCACGCTGCTCCAAAGAAGAAACTTGGATATCACCGGATGGAAAAGTGGCCAACCAAATAGACCATCTCCTCATAAACTCCAGATACAAATCTGAACTTGTAAGCAACAGAACATACAGAGGAGCTAACATGGATATCGACCACTACCTCAGCATAGCGAGAATCCGCGCAAAGTTCCCTTCCGAGGAAACAAGCCAAGAAGATTTTCAACACTGGCGTGTATGCTTCCTAAAGGATAGGTCATGAAAAACAAATTAATTTCTTTTGTAGTTAGTTGTGATCTGACCCTGTTATTGTACACTGACATAAATGTAAGCGCATTTTTGAATTATGTGACTATTTCCATAATTTAATGTTCTTTAATTTCTAATAAAATGAAGTTTTAACGCCATTTAAAAGTTTTAGGCCAGAAATTGAAAAAAGTCCCAGAATGTACATACATAACAAGCTACCCACATAGCAATCTCCCGCGTTGGCTCCTACTTAAAACGGAACAAACTACATTTTCTAAATTTTTCGTGATTGCAATATTTACCTTGCTGTATATATATATATTTCATGTATAGATAAGTGACAGCAAAATTAGTATCAGCCTGTAATGTTTCTTTAGGGTAAAGCTAAACACATAGGAAATGATTTGCGACTTATCTACTATCATTCGTCATCTCACTTAACTAAAATATAAATAACATATTTTTCATTATTTAACTAACTAACAAAAATGTTTTTTTTTTCATCCAAGAAAATATACATCCCATGTATATTTTCTGAAGTTTTTGTATATAGACAGCAGTGAAGGTTGTTTTTGGATATAAAATTTAGAAATAGGTGCTGATAACTGTTATCACTGTGACAGAATTTATAGCTCGTGTTCTTTCATTGTGTGTGGTTACTTTCAGTTGTTTCTCAGTGGTGATTATCACAGCTTATGTCACAATGATCGAATTGTTCGGAAATTTAATACTAAATATTCATCGTGATGATTAATTATGGTATATTTTCTACTGGCTAATTTATTTTATATTTAACTTGTTTTAGTATAACCTATCTTATAGTGAAATATATTCATGGTTTAATAAATATTTGATATATCTGTTGATTTTTTTGATGACTTATATTTTCCTATTTAATGTTTATTATGAGTAATAATTCAAGCTTTTAATTTCTAGTGACTGTGGAGACATGTTTTCATATTGGTAACATATTTTGATGTAAGTACTTACTGTTAGCTGTTTGAAAACATTATTGTCATGTTAATTTTAATTACATGAAAAGAGTCACTTTCATGTTTTGCCCCTATTTATAGACACTGCTACTCTTCTGAAAATAAACCCTCTTTTGGCAATTTTCCAGTGTTCATCAGTTTCCTGTTTCAATTTGGGTGGTGAAAATAAGGTGACTTCAAAATATATTGCTTTTACATTGTTTGATTGATGTTTAATAATCAGTTATAATTTGTTTTTGTTATCAAATTCATATTTTTTGAAAATCTTCCTACTATTCATTTGTTTTGTGTTTTAATGAGTATTCTAACACTCACATGTAAAGAATACCTTTTCCAGAGATGAATTATAATTGTGATTTATCGGTTTCTTAAAGCATAATCCGAACTCTTGTTGAGCAACTGTGTGATTTATACTTCAATTTATTTTGTATTCCGCTCTACCATACACTAATGATTGTTACAGGTTAACACTAAAGACTAAAGATATTAATACATTTAATTATATTGTTTTGATTATATGTATAATATAAAATTAATAGTTTATTAGATAAAAGATTTTTTATAATATAGGTATTTTGCCTGATGCAATTGATTTAAAACTTTGTTACTTATGGTTAGGAGTTGACTTACGTCATGTGTTTTCAGGTATACATTATTCAATATAGGAAAAGTGTTTTGGAAGAGAGATATAATTGGTTGTAATTTTAATTTTGAATGTTTTAGGGTATGGTGTGTGTGGCACAAGAATTAAGAGTAGAGTGCATAGTGCACAATTGTACTAGCACAGTTGGAAAGGAAAAATTGGAAGTTACTTTTCCAGCATCTACGTCTGTGCACACTCTAATTTCACATGTGGCACAAGAAATGAATTATGATCCAAATTCATTTCAGTTGACTCTACAGACTCCTGATGCAACTAGAGTACATTATTTTATAATGATTGTTATTATTTGTGTTGTAATATTTTTTATTATTATTTATCAATATGTTATTTCAGGTTTTCACTGAAAAAACTCCTGGTTCTCTGGAATCAGCTGGACTCTGTACTGATCCTGGAGCTAGGAATGCACTTTTTCTTGAAGGAATCGGGGGCAATTCAAAAACCCTTGTCAAAGTTTACAATTGTGCGAAAACACAATCAAATGCTGACTCAGAAAATGCTGCTGTCACATCTCCACCACCTCCAGACCAGTTTCCAACTTATCAGCTCCCAGCCTTAAGACCTCCTACTGCTTCTCCTGCTACAGAGTATACATTTACAACTCCCTTAATTCGACATGAAACAGGTAACATTATGTTTTAGCTATGTGATGTTAAATGTTAATCACTGTTTGTTTCTTTACTGTTGCTAACCACAAAAAAATTATTGAGACCAAAATATATATATATATATATATATATATATATATATATATATATATATATATATATATATATATATATATTTATATTACTCGACACTACTTCCTTGTTTGTAAGTTTTTAGAAAAATTAAAATTCAAGTTGATACAATAATTCTTTATTTTATTTATTTATTTATTTTTTTTTGTGCTAAGGAATAATAAAATTTCATTAAAAATCTGGCAATATATTCTATTATCACTCCATTCGATGGGAATCTTAGGAAACTAGCTGAGTATAACATGTTGTATTGACCTATAGAATTGGATTGGAAAACCAATAACCAAATTTTCTATTGATATTGCAAACAGTACAAAAGGGTTCAATATTATTAGTTTACTATTGTATTGTCCATGGCTTTAGGTGATCATAAGATTAGGAGATATGGGTGTACCAGGTACCATACCAAGGTTCTATTTCTTTCTCGTATGCTGTATTAAATTGTTATTACATTATCATTCATGTAATGATTATCAAGTTTATTTGTTATTTTTTTATTTTTGTTATAATAATTTATTATGTTCATTATCAAGTTTTTTTTTTTTTTGTAAATTCTCTGGGTGTTGCTAAATAATTTCTTATGACAGAATATAAGAGTTTCGTCAAGATGTAGGATAGACATTTGTTCATTACAATCTTTATGGGTGCTTACTGATTTCTAACTGATGTGTTGTCAATCTGGATTATATGAAGCAATATTGCACATTATAGTCAGGATGAGTCGATCAGCAACAAAAGTTTTTTTGCTGTATATCTGAATATAAAAGCAGGAATGTGTTCAGACACTAAATAAAATTTCATTATCCATTAGCTTTAATGAAATTGAAATTAAAAATCTTGTTTTGTTTTTTTCATTTGCGGACCAATTTTTCTCATAACTTTTGTCATGAAAAAATGATTCGTATTCCTTTAAAACATTTGAACATTAATTTATTTTAAGTTATAAATACTGATTTTTGGAATTAATTTTATTGAAAGATTTTTTTCAATGTGATTCGCTAATCCATTCATAAGTTTACATGTTTTATATTACTATTTACTTTATTATTTCTGGAAATTTGTTTTGAACATTCTTATTTGGTGTTTAAGCCCTTTCAACCTGTTTAAATGAAGATAAGACCTAATTTCTATCAAAGGACATTTATTTTTACTGTTTCGTGAATGAAAACACAGATGCTCCTATAATTTTCTCAATTTTTTTATATTCATTTTTACTTTCACTTACCTATATATGAAATAAGAGAGAGAAACACCTTATTTTCATATAAAATCATGCTGCCCAATTATATTGGATTGTTAGTTACACAGCATACTTGTTAATCCTTTGACATTCAATAAAACTTATTATAAATATACAGAACTAGTTGAATGTATATGAGTATAATAAATATATACATATATTTTCCTTTTTTTCTTTCTTCTTGCACATGCATTTCTTTTTGTTTTTAACATTTAATTTACTTTTCTCTCCCTTTTCTCTTTTTATACATCTCTCTTATATTCTACTAGTATTTAAATGTTAAAAATTATACAACAGAAACAATAACAAAAAAAAAAAAAAAACTGCATATACAACAAGAACTAAATACAATTAAATATAAACATTTTCAATAAATAAATAAATCTCTCACCCTATCCATGCACGTGGTGGTGAATGATTCCAGAGAATCGAAGACTAAATTTTCAGTTGACATTGCTACTTCCTTAATGTTGACAGCTAGATAATATAGACACTAGTAGTGTCTAAAGGAATGAAAGTATTGCAATCATGAAGATTTTTGAATCCGTGTTTTCAACGGAAATACACGTTTTAAGCTCCCCTGAGTCCAAATGATCTAGTCTCACAAAATTGTTTGTGTGTATGTGAATGCTCTAGCTCAAAAACAAAAATTCATACGAAACTGAAATTGCATATTTAAGGTTTGTATGTCGCTGGGATGTAACAGCAACTTTTTTGTCAATATCGGCAAACAGGAAGTGGCACTTTATATCATCGATTTATCACATTTTTACAATTTTCTCGAAAATAGTGTGAACGATTTTGATTGAAATTGATATATCAGTGTATTATTAAGTGGTATTTAATATCAGCTAGGTCTTAACAGCATTAATGTTGCCTTACAGGCTTTAAATGTCCAGTGTTCAATATTTTTTCCTCTAAAATACCTCTAATTAGGTTTATTAAAAAAAAAAAATAACTGTCTCTCATTGTTAGGAATTACGAAAAAATGCTAAATATAATTTAAAAGGATTTGATAATTGAATATTGGAATAATAAAGAAAAATGTTTATTTAAGTTAAAATAACATGTGAAATAAATTAAATAAACAAAATGTTTATTTTCTTGAACTTGTGTGAAAGAAGTGAAACATAAAAATATTTCATGGATGTTTAAAATATATGTTGGTAACTTTAAATATATTTACTGTGGTTTAATAACTCTAGATTTGATATTGTATTTAAATAATTAGGTATTTATCGTCTCTTTATTCTGAAAAATAACCATTTAACCTTTTAGAAAATTAAAGTACTGAATAATTTGATGAATTTCCCTTTATGAAACCCTAACCTTATCCACTTTATCCACCAAATTTATGGGCCGGAAGCAAGGTTAACGGAGATGTTGCATCCCTCTACCACAAATGTGGCCGAGAGTCAGGAACCCCAGCTCATGTGTTGGGCAATTGTCTACATAACATGCTCCTAGTCACCCGCCAGCACAATAATTTTATTTTAGTAAATTTTACAATGGAAAATAAAAGTTTAATCACTACTAATCGTACAACCACAATCATTAATAGGTTAAATATACAAATATACTTTCAAATTTCTGTAGGCATATTTGAGCCTTTCAGTTGGCAGAATGACGTAACTCTCCATGTTTCAATTTCAATATTTTTTGTTATTAATTTTAGTGATATTTCTAGTGTGAGCATTTATATCTTGACCATTCTATATTTCAACACGGCAATCACCTACTCTCAAAGAAATTTTCTCACTGTCTGTACAGTTATAGTTTTTTCAACTAGAAATATCACTAAAATGATATTACTCAAGAATGTTGATATCGGAGTTCGTCATTTTGTCAACTGAAAGGCACACATAGCTCAGAGACTGGAGTTATGTGGTTTACAGAAATAGATGAAGTAATAAGGTTTTTATTACCTACCATCGATATAATAAATAGGGGATTTTTATTTTATTGGTCTTAATGAATTGTTAGCTTTGTTTAAAATTTGTAAATTAAAATGTACTTTAAAAATTTTGTAATAGTCCAACATTGCCAAAAAATAATTTCTATTCAAAGTAGAGCGGTAAGTGAAAATTGTGTGTTGCGCACACCAATTTTTGTTTAAATATTGTTTTCATGTACATTAATTTCATTTCTTGTGGTATGTGTCCAACTTTTAAGATTGTATTTTATTAATAAGGTCTGTGAGAATTTTATTAAACTATTGAACTCCATTATACTTCAACAGCTTTGCACACACTCCTCCCGCGGGACTAGTAGCTTTCCTGTTCCTTAACCTTTCCAACTCCTCTTTGACTTCCTGTCGATTGACAAATAAATAAAGATTATACAGTAAATTCATTTCTAGTTTCATTTAGAAGCTTCTCATAATAACTAGCCCAATTTCGCAGTTCTATAATCTTCAGATGTTTTTTTTGTTGCTCTTTTTTCATCAGTCCCTTAAGCATTGACCATGATTCAGCCACTTCTCCAAATCCTAACCCACTGTTCATCTATGCACATGTCTTTTAGCTCCATTCGTTTCTCACGATCTACACAAGTTTTCTTCTCTTGTTTGTAAAACAACCATAGAGTTATTTTTTTCTTCTTAGAATCTGTTTTCTATGTCTTCTGTAAGCTATTCTGTTCTTTTTCCAAATCTACCTTGTGTTTGTTCCTAGAACTTTAAAAGTGATTCTCTTTCAGAATCTTGCCAGAAAGTCGTATATTTCTTCCGGTCATCTCTGTTAAATTTGTTTAGTAATTTCTTCATCCTTTGTCTGAACAGTTTTCTGATACTTTTATCCTGTAACTAAACTAAAAACATCTTCCTCTTTCCTTTGTCTATCTATTCAACATGTTGCTTACATGATATAGCATTATTAATCTATGATAAGGATTCGATCATATGATAAATTTATAATAATGGGACTTATTATCAAAGATAGAAAAGTTAAAATAAATCTGTGTGAGCATGTGATCGTGAAATTGATATTGTTTTCTTAAGGATAATAATATAAGCGCTTATAACATAAGAATGGGTCTTATAAGGAATTAACTCTAGAAGTAATTAGAAATCAATAAGCAATTTCTAGGGTTCTCAGCTGTATCTCCATAGGGGGGCTATGGGAATTATTTTTAAGCCAAGATTTTATATCATATTGTATCTATGAGAGCAATTTACCCTCATTTTTACTACCACACCACTCTTCTTAAAATGGTTATGTGTAACTGAATGTACAATTAAGGATGGTCCCTCCACGCCCAGTGGTATAATAAAAGGCCTCTGGCCACAGATGCAAAGAACGCATACAGCGTGTATAGCCCTCTTACCTTAAAATGCCCTTGGGCAATAACAGGAAATTGAAAATTTATGTATATATACATTTATATATATATATATATATATATATATATATATATATATATATATATATATATATATATATATTGTATTTTGTAATCAAGAAATTCCTGGGGGGTACGAAAAAAAAAAAAAAAAAAAAAAGAATGTACAATTAGTAAATTGTAGTTGATTTCTTTTGCCTTGTTACTGTGTTTTGAAAGTTCTCACAATTTGAAACCCCCAAAAATATGGTACCCTCCAAAAACATTTAGCCCTGTAAAAATGTGCATCCTCTCAAAAATTATAACTCCTAAAAATTTGAATCCAGGAATTTTTATAATTATGTTTACATATATTATTATTTATATGTACCATTATACCATTATATTTATTTGTACAGGAATTTCCTTAGACAAATAAAATAAACTATCTATCTATATATTATATATAAGTATATATATATATATATATATATATATATATATATATATATATATATATATACATATATGTATATATACAGTATAAAACTGTTCATTTAATAGTACAACTCGTTGCTCAGAACGAAGGCACAGTTCTGACAAATTTTTAATTTATTTAAGAATCTATTTTATACGTCGTGCCTTATTGCTAATTTATATTGTTATATAATTATAACATGATAATTATTTGTAATATAATTATTCTTATTGCCAATTTTTAACCACAATGAGGGAGAAATAATTCTAGGAATAAGAAGTGGGGTGTCTTCGTTATGGTTCATTCCCAATTGTATATGTAAAATAAAATATGACAAAGTCACTATTATTATTTATATGTTTACCATGACCTATTATAACTACTTATATCATTTGGAATATTTCCATAAAAAGGTTTTGATAGATAGCTTGGATTTGTTTAAGATCTAGGAACAAGATGTTAATAAATGTTTTAATGATTATAATTCATTGTGTTGTACTTGAATAAAGTTAAATTGGATCAATTAATTGTTTTAATTGTACATTAGTTTTTGCATTTTATGAACACTGCTTGGAAATAAAGTCATCAAAATACTTTATAGGTTATGTTGGTCTTGTCAACCAGGCAATGACCTGTTATCTTAATAGTCTTCTGCAAGCTCTATTTATGACTCCTGAATTCAGAAATGCCTTATATAAGTGGCAATTTGATGCATCACATAGCAGCAGCCCATCAAAATGTATTCCATTTCAACTTCAGAAACTGTTTCTCAATCTTCAGGTGCAATATGTAACACTTAGTGTTGTTTATTATCATATAGATTTTGTTTTTAAAAAATTATCTACTGATTGTTTTTTAGACATCAAGTAAAACTGCTGTGGAAACTACTGAACTTACTAAAAGTTTTGGCTGGGAATCTGGAGAAGTTTGGCAGCAACACGATATACAAGAACTTTGCCGTGTTATGTTTGATGCCTTAGAACAAGAATTCAAGGATACCGAACAAGCTGATCTTATCAATCAGCTATATCAAGGTCTAATATTGGCATTATGTCTTCATTACATGTAGTTGTACTTCACTCTAAAATAAGATATCTTTGTATTAGCCCTTTGACAATGGGAGGAAGGCCAATTAGGGTGGGTTGCTGGGAACATGTCCTTGATGAGGCATTTGTTTTCTTGTGGCAGAATACTTTTCTAGTCTCGAAATGCTCCCATTATCTAAATAACTAAATGAATGTAGACAAATTGTTTGTATATTTATTTTGCTTATGTTTTATCAATAGTATGGTTTTCTATGGTACAATTGACTTTAAAAAAAACATGTATTCATAATTCATATATTAGATATGAGGGCTAGATAACTGGCTTCAATCAAGTCCATTCCACTTTCCTCACTAATTACAGCTCTTTGATGGATTTCACCTTTAACAATTAATAATATTATACACATTATAATAATATTATATTTATTTTGTTATATTCTTTTTTTTTATTCATAACTTAGGACACAACATTGGGGGAGTTAAAAATGGATATAGATTATTTATAAACATACCTAACTATTATTCTATTTAATTTTAATATTTGAAGAATAAAATTCCTAAACCAGCCAATTATGTTTTCAATTTTATTATTTATATATTTTTTTAAATAATAGTTATGGCACTATTTAATTACGAGTTTGACACTATCTAGTTATCAACTATAAAATGCCTAAACCAGCCAACTCTGTTTTCAATTTTTTTACTTATATTTTTTTTTAATTAACAATTTTGGCACAAAGAAAATAAATTTAATTTATTTTTGTGTACTTCCGTGACTGCTACCCCCAACTAACTTCTCTTCAACAATTTCTCCACCATCAAATTTCTTTTGGAGATTGGGTGTTTGGTCAACTGTCAATATTAAAACTGTAATTCTGGTTGTGCTCCCATACCAGAACTTGATGGAAGTAGTAAGAGATCTGTTCCTATAGTTGCTACAGATTTCAAGAAAGAATGTGTTGAGGGAATTTTTAATAAATATATTATTAATATCATTATAAATATATTATTTCATGGAATAGTAAGGCCCTCCGCTCACGAGGCGAGATGGAAGTTCGAGGAGAACTGCGCGTCAAGCTTAACTTACTTGTCTTGTGCGTCAAGTGCCTCCCCAACGAGGCGAGAAAAATCGCGAGTTGCACTCGACGAACTGTGTGTCTTATGCGATTTTAGCTACAATATATATGTATATTAATACTTTTTAATATCGGGAATGAAGACTTTGTTTTTCACTGTTAAACAATTTTTCGGCAATGAAAAAACAAAAAAAAGAAAATAGTGTAGATAATTTTCTAAATTTTCATTAAATTTTCCTCTTTTATCTTGTGAATAGGTGATAGGATTTTTATCATGGATTTTCTACTGGTACAACCATTTTCGACCAACAAAAAAGTAGGCGAAGATAAGGAAATAGGGTAGAGAATTTTTCCGAATTTTCATTCGCTTTTCCTCTTTTATTTCGGAAATGGATGCTCGGATTTTCGCTGTTCTAATCATTTCCCAACTTTTAAGAGTTAGGTCAGTGGAAACTGTAGTGGTACAAATATTACTAATTTTCTTTCGCTTTTCCTCTTTTATAACGGAACGGACGGTCGGTTATTCATCGTCCCAATAATTTTCCAACTGTTCAGAGTTTGGCGAAAATGGGGAACGAGTGCAAACCTTTTCCAAATTTTCATTCGCTTTTCCTCTTTCATCTCGGAAATGAAGGATTGGTTTTCTAGTGTTCCAACCATTTTTCGGTAATGTAAAATTAGGCGAAAATAATGAAATAATGTAAAGAATTTTTATTCACTATTCCTATTTTATTTCGGGAAAGGATGCTCGGATTTTCACTATCCTAACCATTTCCCAACTGTTTAGAGGTATGCCAATGAAAACATTAGTGGTACAAACTTTTCCGAATTTTCTTTCACTTTTTCTCTTTTATACGTGAATGGACGCTACGATTTTCACTGTTCTAATCTTTTCTAAATTTAGATTCGCTATTCCTCTGTTATTTGGTGAATAGACGATCGGTATTTCATCGTCTCAAATATTTTTCAGCTGTTTAGATGTAGGCGAAAATTAATGAAAAGGTGCAAACATTTTATGAATTTTCTTTCCTATTCCTTTTTGAACTCGGGAACGAAGGGTCGGTTTTCAGTTCTCCAACCATTTTTCGGAAATTTATAGGTAGGCGAAAATGGAAAGATGGTGTAGATAATTTTTCGAATTTTCATTCGCTTTTCCTCTTTTCAAATAATTTTTGAACAGTCAAGCGAGGCAAAAATTTCATTGAGAAATTCGCGAAATTTTTTGAGCTGCGAAAAATATAAGCTATGTTCCTCACTAAAAAATTATTTACTCTGGAAACAAGACTGATTTTTAATAAATATTATTTTTGGTTGATAGCTACAGTATTAGTATAATTTGGACCAAGCTATGTGGGGGTACATATTTTTTTTATGGAGTAACTAAATTTATATTCGTTTTTTCGCACCACAAAAACCCTTAAATACAAATTTTTATAGCAATCGGAATTAATTCGAAACGAGAGGGACCCGAAACATGTGGGATTCCCCAACCACACTACTTCCAGGTCAATTTCTACATAAATCCCCAACAAGGCGAGATGGAATCGTAGCGAGAGGGAGACTCGAACTCGAAGCGAGACAAATTGACCACGAAGCGAGATGGAATCGAACTGTGCATCAAGTGCCTCCCCAACGGAGCGAGAAAAATCGAGAGAGCTAGGCGCGGTGCCCCAACAACACTACTTCCCAGTCAATTCCTATATAGCTCCCCAACGAGAGAGTAGAAATCCAAGCGAGATAGCAGTGAACTGTTTAAGCGAGAAAATTCGAGCTTGACGCATGAATTACTTTATAAAAAATATTATTATTAATAATAAAAACTTATTCTTCTTTCGATTTCTTTGATTATTTCTATAGTGTGATAAGTGACATTTTATTTAGGACTTCTTTATGGTGTAAAATTTTTCCGAATTTTTGTTCGCTTTTCATCATTTATCTTCTAAATGAGTACACAGATTTTTACTATTCCAAACATTTTTCCAATTTTTAAAGATATGCCAAGTTACAAGTGAAAAAATATATGTATATACAATTTTATAGATACCCAGTTGTATGAAGGAAATAATAATCATACTCAAATAACAATCATAATTGAAAATAGTTGAGACCATGAAAACCTAGCATCCTTACACTAAATCAAAGAGGCAAAGCAAATGAAAATTCGGAATAAATTTTTACTCCTCCTGTTTCCATTGACTTGCCTCCTAACAAGTGGAAATAGTGGAATAATGGAAAAAACAAGTGGAATGTTTAGAAAATCCGAGTACTCATTCAGGAGATAATAGACAAAAATTGAATGAAAATTATTATCTACACCATTACCTAATTTTCGCCTGCCTCTAATTATTGTGAAAAACCGAGCGTCCATTAACGTAAAAAAAGAGGAAAAACGAAAGAAAATTCGGAAAATTTGTACCACTACTTTTTCTATTCCCCTTCCTCTTAACGGAATGATTGGAATTGTGAAAATCCGAGCAATAATTCAAGAGATAAAAGAGGAAAAGCGAAAGAAAATTCGGAAAATTCTATACACTATATCTTCATTTTCGCCTACTTTTACATTGGCGGAAAATGGATAGAACACTAGAAAACAGATAATTCATTTCCGAGATAAAAGAAGAAAAGCTAATGAAAATTTGGAAAAGTTTTGCACTTGTTCCCCATTTTCGCTCAACACTAAACAATTGGAAAATTGTTGGTACGATGAAAAATCGAGCGTCCATTAACGTAATAAAAGAGGAAAAATGAAAGAAAATTCGGAAAATTTGTACCACTACTGTTTCCATTCCCCTTCCTCTTAACGGAATGATTGGAATTTTGAAAATCCAAGCAATAATTCAAGAGATAAAAGAGGAAAAGCCGAAGAAAATTCGGAAAATTCTATACACTATATCTTCATTTTCGCCTACTTTTACATTGGCGGAAAATAGTTAGAACACTAGAACACAGAAAATTCATTCCCGAGATAAAAGAAGAAAAGCGAATGAAAATTCGGAAAAGTTTTGCACTTGTTCCCCATTTTTGCTCAACTCTTAACAATTGGAAAATAGTTGGAACGATGAAAAACCGAGCGTCCATTCACGTAATAAAAGAGGAAAAACGAAAGAAAATCCCGAAAATTTGTACCACTACTGTTTCCATTCCCCTTCCTCTTAACGGAATGATTGGAATTGTGAAAATCCTAGCATCCATTCGGAAGATAAAAGCGAATGAAAATTTGGAAAATTTCCTACACTATTTTCTTATTTTTGTCTACTTCTGCATTGCCTACAAATTTTTTTAACAGTAAAAAACAAAGTCTTCATTCCCGTTATTAAAAAGTATTAATATGCATATATATTGTAGCTAAATCGCATAAGTCGCACAGTTCGAGTGTATCTCGACTCTTTGTGTTGGTGAATTAAGCGAGATTTGACGCACAGTTCTCCTCGATTTTTCTCGCCTCGTGAGCGGAGGGCCTAAGTGATTTTATGGAATCATTGTATCATAAAACATATTATTGGAAGAGAACAAGGAGAACTTGCATTTTTTCTGTAAAACCTATCTCTCTATTGAGAGAATGAAATAAATTTCCTGTTTTACATTGAAATGTAGTTTGTTGTTATCAATTATTAGAAATCACTATGAAGGAAGAATTTTGGTTAGGGAGATTGTGATATTGTGAGAGTATATTGTAGCGAGAGTGGGTTAGAACCTAAGAACCTTGGCTTAGAAGCTTGGATGGTTAGAAATTTATTTTATGGAGAAACCACAAAATAAATTTCGACCTTCCCACTCTACTGTAGTTAGGATATGTTGGTTACCTGTTGATAACATTTGTCTATTTTATTTTATTTATTTTTGTTCAGGAAAAATGACTGATTACGTTAAATGTTTGGAGTGTGGTACTGAAAAGTTTCGTGAAGACACATTTCTTGATATTCCTTTGCCTGTACGGCCCTTTGGAAGTACTGTTGCATACGGCAGTGTTGTAAGTTGATAAAATACTTTAAATAAGTAATTTAAAGGGTAAGACACACTTAACTGCAACAAACTGATGCGTGACCTCTGTATATTTTTCATCATATGCTGAAAAATTGCAACATACCGACTAATGTTTCTGTTCCTGTCTATTAAAATAGAGCCATTGTATGGGCTTGTTCTTTATATTTTTTAAAAGAAATTCCATTTTTCTGTATACTTCTTTTTTTTTTTTTTGAAATATAATATGAAGATGAAAATTATTGTTTTATTATAATTTTTTTTCAATTAATCAATAAGAGCAAGTTATGAAAGTGATAAAATTTTAATTACATTTTTAAATTTTCTACATGAAAAAAACTGCAATTGTACATTTTTATTTAAGTCAAGCTCTGTGCTGGGGTGTGGACATGAATTTGTTATATTAAACGAAGATTGAAAGCTATTAAATTTAGATGCAACAATGTTGTTGATAGCTGGTGAAGAATAAAAAGACAGGATAAAAGAAGTGGGCAAACATTTTCTGACTACATTTACTTTTCTTCTTATTTGTCTTGAATGGGTGAACTGATTTGAACGATTTTCGTTGAATGAAAAGTCAGGAGACTTTCATGATCATTTTCCTTATTAAACTTATTATAACTATTAAAAATTAAAACTTATTAAAAATTCTTGAACCTAAAACACTTTACAATTTGCAAAACTTTAACTTTCATTATATTACGTGGTGTGATAGCTGAAACATAATGAAAATAAAGCTAGTCCAGCGGTGAAGTGGTTATTAATCTCAAAATCTATATATATATAAATGAATGTACGTCTGTTTGTCCTTTATGCATTACTAAACCATTCATCTGATCACCATGAAACTTTAGGAAGTTGTTGGGTACACTCCTTCGCAGATTTCTAACATCGATAGAACATCCGTCCTACAATAATTTTATATGTGTGAAAAAAATATCGCTATAGACTCTCCCGCCATAACGGCTGTAACAATTTTTCCGAAACTTGGCCTTGAAACCCTTTTAATTTATTTGTTTAACATAATTTCTCAAAAACAAGCTGCAAAAAATGTTGAGATGAATTCAAAAATTTTATTTGCCAATAACTAAAAAAGTACACAATTTTCGATTGATAATACCCATATTTATTTGAAGGCTTCCTGAATTCCCTACAAAATAAAAAAAAAAAATCATTGAAATCAGACGATTTGTTGCAGCGTTATAGAGTTTTTAAAATTTACTACTTTCTCTTCTGCACAGGTCATTTTCCTTTATTTTGTTATTGATTATTCGAAAATTTTATAATTACTGCAGTTATTGAAATTATCATTTGAAGAAGTGATATGACTCTCCTTATGTAGGTCAATACTATTATATACTCTTTTTATTCACTTTTTTTTTCCCCAAATGTATTATGGAAGTAGTATGATACATCTCAAATATTTGATTTGCTATTATTTAAAAATATTTAATTCTTGAGTAATAATTATCACCATTTTAGAAATCAGTTTATTTTTTTATTTCAGTTTATTTTATTTTTTTATAAATTATTTTCTTTAACATAACATTGGAATAAGGTTGTGCCATTTACTGTAGGGTTTCTTTCATGAGTAAGGTTTATTTTTCCACTACAATTTTTATAACTATATTTAATCAAGTTGTTATTAAGGGGAAGCAAGCAATCAGATATCTTGAGAGGGTTATGCAAAATCTTTTGAGGGAGGTAGAAGGCAGCTCTAATGTACACGAAATGAACGCTGTGTTAAATAGTATAGCGCAATGTCAATGCACTGCCTCGTTTGATATTTGAAAATCTTGAACATTGAAACAGTATCATAAAATATTTTGATCCGTATGTGTTGCTTTTACATCTAACTGATGGTGCATTGTTAATAAATATGTATAATTTCACCTTATATTTTATAATAGTATGTATGTTAAACCACGCGCGTATTTAAATGCAACGTTAAGCCAAAATTTTAAAGCAATGTGTGAAGAACCTTCCGAGATTTAAGAATATGAACAAACAAACATTTTTATTTGCCATAAAATAATCAACACAACATTGAGCATTAAATATAGAAAATAATAATTATAAAATTAAACATGAAAATATATAAGTGACTTCATATCAAAGATGGATCTCTGTCATTTTCAGAAATTGGAGATCAAGTCAATTTTAGTTTTATAAGTTCAACTCTGACTGTTCCTGATGATTCAGAATGATGGCGTATTCATTCAGATGATTAAGAATGTTCAAGTTAAATCATGAAAAAAAAATCATTAGAATTAGTTTAAATTGGAGCTCTGTTACAGACAAATTTGTTTCTCAACTTTTTAAAAATGACAGATGTTCTTTGGTATTAATCCATTCATATGTGCTTTCTATTTTCTTTCTTTTCCGACTGGGCCACAGCAGCACGTGCCCGGGTAAAGTTAGTAAAAAATAAAAAACTTGTCACACACACAAATTATTTACTAAACACATGGACACATATGAAACGTAATTTAGTGGATTAACTATTAAACTGGAGGGATATTTTCCAATGGATCAAGCTAATCACTTATTAAGTTAATTTTTACTTAAAACTTTGTTTGTTGAATACATTATCTTGATAGTAATATATTGTATATATGAGTAAACATGTTTCACTGATGTCGCCTATAGGTCAGATACATTAGGGAGAGGTATAGCTATCTAAGAGTATACTTCTTTGTGCTATCTCTTCTATTTAAATTTATTAATATGTTCCCATTTGATTGTTTATTCTGATTTATGAAACAAAATAACTCTAATTCTTATGAATCTTATTACTTTCAAGTATTGCGATCGAGACAATTTTTGAATCTGAGTTTTCAACAGAAATACTCGTTTTGGGATACCCTGAGTCCAAATAACCAAGTCCCGAAAAAATGGTCTGTGTGTTTGTATGTTAGCAGTCTAGCTCAAAAATGAAAATTCCTACGAAACTGATATTACGTATTTAAGATAGGATAGGTATATGCCTTAATTGTGACAGCAACTTTTTCCTTAAAATCGGCTAACTGGAAGTGCCACTTTATATCAACGCTGAAACACATTTTCACAATTTTCTCAAAAACGGCTCTAACGATTTTGATTAAATTTAGTGTATCATTGTGTAATTAAGTGGTCTTTGATATCAATTAGGTCCTATCCCCATTGATGTCACTTTACAGGGCTTAAATGCCCAATGTTCATATACGTCTTTGTCTAAAGTACCTTTAATATGGTTTATTTTAAAAAGTTAATCATTTCACATTATTCAGAGTTACGAAAAAATGCTAAATATAACATTTGAAAGAATTTGATAAGTTAATAAAGAAGAAAAAAATAAAAATGCTTATCCAGGTCGAAAATGAATCTTCGGAAATACTAATCAAAAGGGATACGTATAATATATCATTGGAAAGCAGAGAATTTTAGAAAAAATAATATCTAATATAGAAAGTTGTAGGAGGTGATGGAGAGTGGCAAAAAATTATAAATGATAATTGTGTAAAACTAATAGTATTTACCGTAAATCACATGTTTCCTAGGAAATTAAATGAAATTTACTAACTAAATATAAACTTTTAAAATATTTTTAAGTTTGAAAAAGTATTTAAAATCCACCTAATCAAAGCAATGACATTGTTAAAAAAACTATTTCATTGTACTTGTGTGAAAGAAGAAGTAAAATATAAAATCATTTCATGGATGTATAAAACATATGTTTATAACCTTAAATACATTCAATATAATTTAATAATTCTAGATCTGATATCATATTTAAATAACTAGGCATCAATGTCCGTTTATTACGAAATATTGTTATGTAACTTTTTAGGAAATTAAATTAGTGAATAATTTGATAAATTTTTCCTTTGTAATATTCCAACAGTATCCACTACTATTACATTGTACTTGTGTGAAAAATATTTCATAGATACGTTTATTACCTTAAATATATTTTATGTAGTTTAATAACTCTATATCTGATATTATATTTAAATATTTAGGTATCTATCATCCGTTTATTCCAAAAAATCATTATGTAATCTTTTAGAAAATTAAATTACTGAATAATTGGTAATTGGTTGACTGTCGTGGATAATGAAGAGAAGAATAGTTGGGGTGCTCAGTCAAAAAGGAAGGCAAAAAATAAATTATAATATTTATTTTTTACATATGCCGACGTTTCGACCTGAAGTTCAGGCCTTTATCAGGGCTAAGAAAATAACCAGATAACAAGGTATGAGAAACATAAGTGAGATGAGAAGAAAGACGGTTGTTATCTGGTCGTTGGCCCCGTGTGGATAGATTCATAATTGGTAATTGGTTGACTGTCGTGGATAATGAAGAGAATTATCTGAATTATCTCACTTATGTTTCTCATACCTTGTTATCTGGTTATTTTCTTAGCCCTGATGAAGGCCTGAACTTCAGGTTGAAACGTCGGCATATGTAAAAAATAAATATTATAATTTATTTTTTGCCTTCCTTTTTGACTGAGCACCCCAACTATTCTTCTCTTCATTATCCACGACAGTCAACCAATTACCAATTATGAATCTATCCACACAGGGCCAACGACCAGATAACAACCGTCTTTCTTCTCATCTCACTTATGTTTCTCATACCTTGTTATCTGGTTATTTTCTTAGCCCTGATGAAGGCCTGAACTTCAGGTCGAAACGTCGGCATATGTAAAAAATAAATATTATCATTTATTTTTTGCCTTCCTTTTTGACTGAGCACCCTAAATTACTGAATAGTTTGATGAAATTTCCTTTGGTGATATTCCAACAGTATCTACTTACAATTAGTGTGACAACTTTTGACCTGTCTATGTCAGACAATGCAAATTTCTGAATTCTGTTTTAGTAAACTTTGTAATCGAAAATAACAGTTTAACAACTAATAGTCGTACAATCAAATCAACGGATCGAGCAATCCATAATCAGTGGACTGTAAAATCCATAATCAACCGGTGATATAATAAATAGGACTTTTATTTTAATTGTGTTTATGATTCTTTAGCTTTAACTCAGTTAAAAATGCAATTCAAAAATTTTATAATAGCCCAACATGGCCAGAAAATAATTTCTATTCAAAGTTGAGCGGTAAGTGAAAGTTGTGTGTTGCGCGCACCACATTTTTTTTATAAATTTAGATAGTAATGTTATAAAATAAATATCGCAAAGTAGACTAAGCAAAATTTGTTTGGTTTTAATTGATCATGATTCGAATGTATGAGAAAGGATGAACCTTGGCCTTGCATGCATGTAGTGTAGGTTTGTTGCGGTAAAGTGTATGCACAACTTTTGGTGTGCTTTAACATTTTTATTTTTCATCATATTCATTTTTAGGAAGAAGCTCTCAGAGCCTTTGTTCAACCTGAAACCTTAGAAGGAAACAACCAATACTTTTGTGATGTTTGTGGAAAGAAATGTGATGCTCACAAAGGGCTCAAGTTTACAAAGTTCCCTTATTTATTGACCCTTCACCTTAAAAGATTTGATTTTGATTATTCTACAATGCACAGGATAAAACTGAATGACAAGTTGGTATTAATTAGTACATTATTGAAATTTTCCATCTTTAATTATTCATAAATTTTTATTGTTAAAATATTTATATTTATTATTTTATGTATATATTTTTTAAAGACTTGTATTCCCTGAAATTTTGGATTTAAATAATTTTGTGAAATCAAATAATCCCACTAATGAAACTGATGGCGAATGCCAAGAAACGTCAACAAAATGTGATGATTCATCAACTGCAGATTCAGCCCTGGATGAAGATACCAGTCATGCTGTGGAATCCCAAAATAATGACATCGATCAGGTAATAATTTTTTTAAATTTAATGTATGTTTCTGATTATGATTATAACAGAGTTTTGATTAAGAGGATAATGACTATAATTCATATTTATTCTGTAAGCTCTTATCGATTTTCTAAGGTTTCTAAGTTACTTGATATTTCAAGTGTATGGGGTGATTTCAAAATTAAGGTACTATTCAAACCACAAAGGAGTAAAAAATATTTACAGGTTGTGTTTACACTTGATGTGTTTAAATCATTATAATGTTATAATTATAATCCTCATATGTTCTTTATTGAGTTTACCGATGTTTTGACCCAAACATGTGGGTCGAAATGTTGGTAAAAACAATAAAGAAATTTTCGACCGCACATTCTGACAATTTTTCATCCATATAATGAATAAATGCATACTTCTGAGTATTCACAAAAAAATGTTATGCTCATCATAACCTTCATTCAGTTTTTTTTGGGGGAGGTTGAGGGAAGAGGAGGAGGAGAAATTATTTTATTTATATAAATTTAAAGGGCTTAAGGAAAAAGCTGTAGATATGTTTGATCGAAATCGTTACAGCCGGTTTGGCGCTACAGTCTGTAGAAAAACTTGTTTTGGTTCTGCCATTTTGTTATGACAAACGGCAATGGCAAGCTGAAGTGGGACTATGTAAGATACTCCTCAAACACAAACTCATTTTCCATACAAAATTTCAATCCTCTTACTTTATTAAGAGAGACTGTAGAGGTTTGCAAAACTTCATAAACAGTTAAGTATGATTCAAATATGCAGACATTTTGATGGAATTAATCCTAACTATTTTTATGGAATTTTTCTGCCTAGAAAACAACTCTACATATTGAATTTCAACTCATTTTATCCAAAGGACTTCTGGAGATGCCAAAATTTAGGTAGCGGGAACAAAAAAATATAATTAGATATGTAGAAAATTAAATTAATTTTTATCAGGCATCTCCAAAAACTCCATAATCCTGTTCTAGGAGTCATTAAATGGATATAAAATGCACTCCCACTCCCCTCTGATGATCTTCATACAGTGGAAAAGTGTATTATTTTAGGGAAAATATGACAAAAAAGAAGGTAAATTTCAAATTGTCTTCTTCTTATTTATTTAGTATTTCAATTTATGAATCTTTGTAAACGACCAAGAAAAAAAAAATTATAATCCTCCATTCAAAATTTGAGGTTTTATGTGTCAGAAAATTTAGTATCTGAAAACTGACAAAAAAAAAGTCTGCCTTCTTTTCTTCGAGGCTATTGAGCCGATTTTCCCCTTATATATCTAACTGCTTACTTGTTTAATTGTCACAAACAGTAGTAACACATTTTATTTTATAAAATCTATCTCAGACCTTATCAAAGTATGAGTGAATTATTATTAAGCTGATTTTAGGAAGAAGATGAAGGAATTGATTTGAGTAGTAATTCTGGAAATATTCATGAAAATGAAAAAAACAAGCTACAATACATGAGTACAGGACCATTTGTTTATGAACTTTATTCGATCATGATACATTCTGGTAGTGCTAGTGGTGGTCATTATTATGCCTACATAAAAGATTTTGCTAAAGGAGAATGGTTTTGTTTTAATGACCAGTCAGTAACATCAGTGAGTATTCAATTTTTAGATGTATCCGATCGGTATTTTACTTTGTTTATTGAGTTTCACAAAACTTTTTTGTCTGTTTAGATAACCCATGAAGATATAAAAAAAACATATGGAGGTTCTGGTGGATCTGCAAGAGGATATTACAGTGGAGCATATAGTTCAAGTACTAATGCTTACATGCTTATGTACCGACAAATCAACAAAGACCTGAACTGTTTTTCAATGGTTGAAGAAGAGTTTCCCCCTCACATTAAAGTAAACAAATAATTTTTTTTTTAATTGGAATTTCATATTTGTACAGTATTACATTTATTATGATTTTTCTCAATAGAAATTGCTGGAAGAAATCAAGGAAGTAGAAGAAAGAGAGAAAGCTATAAGGGCCAAGCAGGAAGAGATGGTGAGGATTAAGGTTCATACGGCACATCCTCTCATTGGTCCTTCACGAAGTAATAAAATGTATTGTCACAATGATCTCACCTTGGCAGAAGTTAAATCCATGGCATACAGTGTAACTATTTATTAAAAATTATCCTAGTTATTAAATATTTCTTCAGAAAAAAAAATTGTTATAGGCAATCTCATTCCAAAAAAAAATATAATTGGTAGCTTTTTTTTTTGGTTACTCCCTATATTGCTATTTCTGGCATGGGAAGGAGAGGGTTGTTGTTCTAAGAGTACAATTAAAGCTATTCTAATCGGTGTGAGAAGGTTGAGAGTCATTCTGTGGTTCTGCCATGAAATGAATTTCAATTCCTCCTTTTCCACTCTCTTGCCGGATTTATAATTGGCAGTAATCTTAAGTATTGTTTATCAATACTCTTCTTAGAACTCATATTGGCCACTGTTCTGTTCTGCTGCTCATGTGCTTGTTGGCCTACACCGTATAACTCCTTTCCTTCTCAAGTAGAAGTGGATTGGATATATTGTTTTCTTCTACCTTTGAGTATACTTTTTTTTCTTTAGTTATTAACTCACTCTCAATCTTAACAGACTTGTGCTATGGCTCTTTTTTTACCATAGCATGATGTGGACCATATGCTCTTTGCAACTCCTTTCTAATTTGTTAAATAATATATTCTTAATCTTTTTTAGTCCCGGGCCCACCTCTTTAATAATAGCATCCTTATCATCAGTATACTTGTAACATGGTGTGCTTATGTCTTAAAAACAAGTACAGATGTTTTTAATTTCTTTTTAGAAGATATTTCAACATTGCCTTTTTACTGAAAATGTTCGATTTTATTGTCTTATGATATAATATGTTAGTTTATTATAACTATTATTTCAGTACTTAAAACTTGAGGGTACAGTACCAGAAGACCAGTGCCGACTTGTAACATACAATAAATCTCAAGATGAAATGGAAGAGAGTTTAGATGGAAGGGAAAAGGAAACCATAGGAGAAATATTTTCTAGCTTGAGATATACCAACAGTTATGATCTATTTTTGGAAATACGTGAAAAAGATAAAATGTTCTTACCTTACAATATTGGTGGTAAGTTTTGTTGGAGTAATAATTGTTTCTACATATTTTACTCTTGGATCATATCATATTTAATTTAAAAAATAACTGCAAATTTAATTAAAATAAAATAATTTATTTTTATTTTATAGTGCTATATAATTTTTATAAAATTTCAGTTTCATAAATCATAATTTATTTTACTTTATTTTTCACTATTATTGCAGATGTAAATATAACTGTGTATATATGCAATCTTGAGAAAGAAGAAATAGAAAGTGTCCACCAAATTCGAACAACTCCTTGTCAAAATATACCTGAACTTAAGAAACTTCTTCAGAATTATATTCCTTTGAAAAATGCTGAAACTCATCTTGTTCTTATAAAGCCGACTTCATTAGAATACATGAGTGATAGTAATGACTTACCTCTAAATAAACTGGGTTTTTCAGCTTATAACAGGGTAAATATTATTGCTTGTTCTATGTTTTTATATTTCAGTAATACATACATAGAGAAGTAATGGATTTTTGACTCTAAGTAAAGCTTATTATTTTTTGTAATAATTTTCTTTTTTCAATATGTTTTGTGATTCAGTTAACTAATTTGAGCAAACCTTTAATGATTTAATTGGCTGTTCAGTTGTTATACAAATATGAATTAGGGTAAAGTGACATTAGTGTAATCATGATATACCACCTTTTATATGTGTTTTATTTTTACTTCAGACCCATCACATATCTTTATGCCTTCATTCGTGATATTTAACCATAGATAGTCAAATTTGACATTAAATGATAGTTAATTTTTATGGTTGAAAATGAGGTTATATTTTTATTCTATAAGAGAGGGGCATCTTTGTTTGAGAGTCTGTTATCTTTTTATTTTAAGATATAACTGAAATAATGCAATAATGACCCAAGTGGTTGAAGCCTTAAAATACTAAAAGAAAAAGAAGATATAACTGTAACATGGTAATAAATGGTTTACCAGCACTTAAATTAAAAAAAATAAGGTACTAGTTCACAAGAGTTCCGCACGGATTACGCTTTGTTCACAATCACTTCGATCACACTTGTTCATGGAATCCCGAAAACAAAAATTTGAGTCTTTTCAAGAAATTTTTTATTTTAATTAGACCTAAAATGTAATAAATACTCCAGTTACTTCAATCCGATGACAAAAAAAAAAACATTTGCCATTGTTTAAATTTTAAAGACTTTTTCATTTAATTTTTCCTGAGATGAAGAACAAATAGGAAATGAAAGGTAGCAATGTGATTGTTATCATCAAAACTCTTCTTTGGTATAATAACATAACTTGGTACTTTCAAACTATCAAAAGTTTGACTGTTTCTGAAGCAAAGCAGTATGGAGGTGACCTACTGATCAGTATCAACTAAATATGCTCAGTTCTTTTCCATCAAAGCAATATTTAGCAGCCTGATCAGTTGACTTAGCAGGCTGTATGTACAGAAAAAAAAAAAAAAAGAGAGATGTTTCTGTTGCCATTAAAAAAAATCAAGTAAATTTTCAAAATGACAAACATCTAATAACTTATATATGTATAATATGTTATTTAAAATAAAGTATATTAACAAATATTCTGAAAATGTTTATTGGATGACATATTTATAGCAATATAAACAAATTTAATAATTAATTTAACAAAACCAAATGCTAGTAACTTTGTAAATCGGAAAGCTGAAACTTATTACACAACAGTTTATTATATTTAAATAATTAGAAATAAGATATGTGCTACATACCAGTTTTCTAGGGAATTTACTGAGCTTTCAAATACTCATGTATCATGGGCCAAAAATTGTGTCCTTTCCGAGTTATTCCCAAATTATAAATTAATTTGTAACGTCTCGATTCGTTGAGATGGCACCATCATATGATTTGAAACCTCCCACTTTTACATTCACTTATATTTAAGTCTAGATATAAAATTAGGAATCAAAATTACGATTCGCGTACTCTGCGTGATATTCCCTTTCTATTGATACCTCATTCGTCAAAATCCATCACTCCTGAGAGCCGGAAAAGAGATATATATTTGAGAAATAATATATAAAATGCATATATCTTGCATTAAAAGTAATTGTACTATTAAGATAATGATTCTACTATACATTCTATGATTTAAACAGTTTTTATTTTTCACAGCTTTGTTTTGATTTAATTAATCATTTTACAGGTGTTTATTTGTCCTCAAGGGCCTGAGGGAGATATTTCTAAAACTTTTCAAAATTCAGATCTTTATAAGCTTCTTGATGAAGTGAAAAATGTTATTACTCTTCATCTTAATTTACCTGACAACAGAAAAGGTAATTATATTTCTATGATTGAATTAAGAAAATACATTTTTCATCTGTTTTTTATTTTATTAGGATAGCATATTTTATTAGGTAGGGTACTGTGCTTCCAATGCTGAAGGACCCAGGATCGAATCCCGGCTCATGGTAGAAAAATTATTTATCCTGTTTCATTGGCCGTGGGGCGATCCTGGGTGGGTAGACCCTCCTGGGGCACACCCAGCCTCTATAAAGTGGATATCCTTAATTAAAATAATTAATTAAAGAGAAAAACCTGGCAGTTGAGCATGATCTCGGTCAAATCGCCTCCTTTACACAACCGCAGACCAAGAAACAGTACTTTCCCTAAATAGCACTGAAACCAAGACCCTTTATAGGTTGTAGTGGTATAGGTTTTTTATTTTATTAACTAGCTGAATAAACTTCCTTCATACAGGAATGATAACATTGATGATCATTCTTTGCATTACTGGAGAAACATCCTGAGAGATTTTATAATTAGTAAGAACTCTTCTCCCCTTTTAAGTATTTTTCATTCATCAAGGTCATTGGATAGGGTTGGGAGTACATTTCATATCTATTTTAGAACCCCTTGAATATTGGGGGTCTTGGCTTCAGTACTTTGCAAGGAAGTACTGTTTCTTGGTCAACGTTTCTGCAAGGAGATGATTTATCTGAGATCATGCTCAACCACTAGGTTTTCCCCCTTAATTAATTATTGAATTAAGGTTACCCAATTTATAGAGACCGGTTGTGCCCCAGAAGATCCTGATTCCAGGGTGGATCCACGGCTGATGAAAGAGAATAAACAATTTATCTGGCGTCAGCCTGGCTCGAACGTTGGGACCTTGAGTAGTGGAAGTCAGCGTTCTAACACTGAGCTACCCAACTCTCTATGTATATGGAGGGAATATTGCTACAATATTAAAATGTAATTATGTAAAATATAAGATAAGTTTAGATGATTCAAGATACTCCATATATGGAAAATTAAGATAACAACTTCAACTTACAAATTGATAGTGACGATGATTAATGGAATTCTTTCATTATTGTATAATTAATTTATTATTCTGTCCTTTTTTTTTTCAACTTTTTAAGTTTTAAAATAATCTTGGACTTTTTTATTGTTATTTTAAATAAAACTAATGCTTCGAATGTTTTTATTTTCCCAAAAATTCTTTATTTTTGGAAGAATTTTATTTCTGATTATCATTAATAATAATATTTAAAAAAAAAATCATTTGTCAATCAAACTATGCCTGTACTCATTTAAGGAATATGTAAATTATATTTTTTATTTATTTTAAATTATTGTTCACTTTGATAAATTTTGCATTGTATTCTCAAAAAATATAAATCTAATGAGCTAATAAAACAAAATTCTGATTTTAAAATTTTTTCCCCGATTTTCCATACTTTCTTTTCAAATTTTATAAAATCTTTGAATTTTGCATACAATTTTGACTCAAAAACAAGTGTTCTATTTTCCCACAATCAAAATATTGATTTGTAGTAATTAATAATGATTAATTTAAAAAATATATATATTATCATTAAAATGCCACTTTTTTCTTTTGGATTAGATGATAAAATATTTTTGTTTGCCACTACATTGCTTTGTTTTAAAATTGCCCAATCGTCATCTGTGCATCGTGACCTCTAAGAATTCATCAGTAAAATATTTATCATAAAATTGACATGTTTAGTTTAGGGTGTTCATGAATTTTTAGGGAACTTGACATATTTCCGGATTAAGAACAGCCCATTTCTGAAAATTTCCTAAGATAATAACTAAATAGGTTATTGATGAAATGAAACTACTCACAAAGTTTCAGACAAGTGTTAATATTTTGATAAAAAGAAGTTTGTGCCATGGATTAGAAACACCTCTATTGATATTAATTTTATTGATCTGATTTTTGATAAATGAAATTTAATACTAATTAAAAAAATAGTTCATCCTCCAGTCTGTTTGGAGATGCAGATAACAGTTAACTCCCGGCAAACATTTTTACTACTTATGAAAAAGGAAATTTTGTTTTACAGAAGCGCTTGAATTGCTGTTAATTCCACCATTGGTTGAAGAAAATTGTACTGTTAATGGCGAAGAAAAACCATCTGACTCGACACCAACTGGTAAAATTTATTTTTCACTTTTTTTTTTAGAATTTTCAGTTTATGACTTATAAATTAAAAAAAGAAATTCCAGTTAATAAACTATAAATCAAAACTTGTTTGGATTTCATTGTTATAAGCTAATTTCAACCTAAATATATGGCAGAATCTGTATATTATGCACATTATTTTTTCCAGTAGATTTGTTACAATTTATTGTGATAGAAGTGAAGTGATAACTTTTATGAATGTTTCGTAAATTTTTAATTCCAATATAATCTTCTACATGGGTGATTAGTAAATATTGAAAGATGGGAGTACTGATGGCATAGGGAGATGATGCCTTCTTTGCCTGGTCATTGTATCGCAGTCAGCCACTGGTTCTCCAAGTTGGAGGAACACCTACACAAGCATACTCACACCCAGTACTCTGTTTACAGCACACTAAAATACCCCTCACTACAGACAAAGGTCACTTACGGTACACACCCTAGCATCACTTACCCTTGGTATATGATGGGAGAGTGTGTCAGGATACTCTGACGAGGCAGCTCCTCCACCTGACTCGGGGGTAATGGTCTGATAACATGCTCCCCTTAAATTAACCTATCCTCTACAAGACAGTGTCGGACGATTTAATGGTAACAGACATGGACTTCAAACTTGGTTGTTGGAATATTTTAACATTATACAGACCGGAAGTGCTTCAAGTCCTCCTTATAGAACTTGTCAAGTATAAAAAATGATGAAAAAAGAAAAGAAATAATGATAAAAAAATTACAAATAAACCAACAGAAAAAAAGTCAATAAGAGGCCAAGACCCACTCAGGGTTGTAGTGCTATGGAGATAGATAGATGGAATACTGATGTCACCCAATCCTATTGTTTATGACCAACATGACCAGATGCCCCATTTTTAGGCAATTTATCCCTAGGATATGCCGTGGGACACATAAAAGTTTTGCTTTGGATGATACACTAGAATCTTAATTATTTTCTCCATATTTACCATGTTTCCACAACCATTATGTTTATAAAAAAAAACATTACAAATTATTACACAATGTTCTATTATTTAGACAATTTATTTATCTTTAATGCAATTAACCATTAGTAATATACTTTTTATTATACATCACAAAGATCATTAACTGGACATTTTTCTACCTTCCAACTTCTCTACCTCTTCAGCAAAGAGTATTATAATTTTTCCAAATCCAACCATATTAAAAATTTTTTCCTTTCAACCACTAATTATCAATTTTATTTATCCAAAATTTAAAAATCATTCACGTTAAATAAACATTGTAGGTGAAGGACTACCTTTGACTAATGGTACTGAAGAGGAGCCAGGTTATAGTAGCGGAGCAGGCGGAACTTCTGATCAAAGTACCAGTGAGGATAGCAGTTTAACCGACAGTGAAAGGTGTGCAAATCAATAATTTAAACTAATGAATTTATGTTTTATAAGATACTTACTTTTTTATTTTTCTAAGTTCTGTTTTCTCCCCTACCTCATCTTTTTTGGCTATACAGAATTTCCTGAATCAAGGGAGAAGGCGAGGGATAAATGCCACAGTTAAAAGTCCCTTTGGCACTGGAATTCGAACTCGTTATCTTCAGTTTATCAGATTGCCTTTCGTTATTATAATCTTATTATTTTTAAAATTTGAATTGCTTTCCCTGAGGTTGGTTTCTACTGCCAAATATCTTCATCAGACCCAGATAGCTTATACATTCCCATACGATTTTTGTTGTTTGTTCAAGTCTCAAACAGCATGAATGATTGCCATAATAATTTTTTTAGTTTAAAATGATCTTGGAGTGGGGTAGCTCAGTGGTAGGGTACTGAGTTTCCGATGCTAAGGTTCTCAAGTTCGAATCCCGACTTGACAGAAATATTATTTATTCTGTTTCATTGGCCGTGGGGTGACCCTGGGTAGGCAGACCCTCCTGGGGCACACCCAGCCTCTAAAAGTGGGTTCTCTTAATTAAAATAATTAATAAAGGGGAAAAACCTGGCGGTTGAGCATGATCTTGGTCAAATCACCTCCTTGCTTAACCGTAGACCAAGAAACAGTGCTTTCTGTAAATAGTACTGAACCCAACCCTTCATAGGTTGTAGTGATACATGTTTTTCTTTTCTTTTTTTTTTGTTTTAGTTTAAAATGGGAGGCAACTTCTGGAAATCCATTAGTACCTTAGAATGCAGCGGTCACTGAAACTGTACTTGTCCCATATTATTCTCTAGATATTCTGTTTAGCTGATGTACTGTTCAGTTATATGTATTCTATGATATAGCTCATTTCGCTTTTTAAATTTACATTTGATTTTTTAGGACTATAATTGGTGAAGTGATCAATGAATGCCCTCTTTCAAGCCCTAGTGATTCAGATCAACAGTTATCGTCATCTGAAAGTCATACTCCTGCAAAGGTTTAATTATAATTTTTTATTTAAATGATAGATACGTCCTTAACTTATTTTTTATTTAAATCTATAAATTAATTTATTTTTGCTTTATTAGGTTAATCAAGTAAATGGTGAAGCTGAAGAAACTTGGGATATTGAAAATGAGCAGTCAAACAAAAATTATTATTTCAAAGCCTCTTTATATAATGCTGAAGATGGACAACGAAGTAGGTATTTTCTTTCCAATTACAAGGCATTCTAAGGATATTCATATTTAGTTATATTTTATTTGGTGGAATGCCCTTAGTATACACTGTATTAAAGTGCATCAATGTTTTTTAAAAATCATTAGCTATTATTTTTTCTATTAGTATAAATATTTCTTAGAATAGATGGCTCTATAATTGGTAAATAAATAATTGTAATTCCTTATAGTTGTAAATGTGATCTGCTACAGTTATAACTAATAGATGAGCCGATTATGAATTAATTGCAATGAAATTACCAGCAACAATTTTATGTAATTGTAATTATATTACTTTCACTTATCTATATTTTTAATATATAGTAAGGTAAAGTATTGTGATCATGAAAACTTTTTAATCTGAGTTTTTAATGAAAATAAACATTTTGAGGTCGCTTGAGTCCAAATAACCAAGTCCCACAAAATGGTCTGTGTGTGTGTGTGTGTGTGTGTGTGTGTGTGTGTGTGTGTGTGTGTGTGTGTGTGTGTGTGTGTGTGTGTGTGTGTGTGTGTGTGTGTGTGTGAATAGTCTAACTCAGTTGTGAGAAACTGAAAATTTACATACATAAATACATAGTTGATGCAACAATGGATCTAGGTTCTTCCAAAAGTCTCCTCCAGTTGGCCCTGTCTGTTGCTGTAGCTCTTCTGCTCCTAATGCCGAGGAGATTACGTTCGTCTGCTGTGACGAAGTCAGCCCACTTCACATTTGGCCTATCCACTCTTAGCTTGCCATGAAGCTCTTCAGCCAATGTCATCTTAGGGATCTCGTCCTCCTTCATCCTTGCCACCTGGCTCGCCTATTGGAGTCTCCCAATCTTGATCCACTTGATATCAGGATCTCTGTACAGCCTTGAGAGTTCCTGGTTCTTCCTCCTTTTTCCAGGTGTCTCCCTCTTGAACCAGGCCAAAAATTCTTCTCAATATCTTCTGTTCAAACACCAGGAGATATTCACTGGCTCTAGTGAAGGCCCAGAGCTCTGACCCATTCGTAAGAATTGGACGAATCAGGGTCTTATATAGGACGATCTTGGTCTTGTTGGAGAGGTGGAGAATTTTGCCAGTAACTGGACTGTACTGTAGAGTAAGGTGGCCCATGTTTGGATCCTTGATCTGCGTATTGCTCGCTCCACCGCTAAATTAAAGAGAAGGCATGCAAGAGCATCTCCCTGTCTCAAACCGCAGTTCTGCAATAGGCTCAGAAAGGTCAGATCCGATACAAACTACGCTATTCAACCCATGGTCATTCTCACCAGACGAATCAGCTTCCTGAGTATGTCCATTTCTTCTAGTGCCTGGTAGAGCTCGGGTCGCGTTATACTATCGTACGCAGATTGAAATCCAGAAAGAGGTGGTGCGTAACCATCCTGTATTCCTTGCCTTTTTCCAAAATCATTCTTAGGGAGAAGATCTGGTCCATGGTTGACCCTACCCCTTCTGAATCCAGCCCCCCGGTAGTTGCCTATCTCTCTTTCAGCATGGGGGGTGAGTCTCTCAAAAAAGATGTTTGACATCACCGTAGGCACTAGAAAGGAGGACTCTATTCCTGTAGTTGTCGCTCTCTGTTTGGTCGCCCTTCTTGTGAAGTGGAAAAATAACTCCATATGTCTAAGTGCCACCAATGTTGGAAACTGTGGAAAAAGAAAATATCAAATGTTTGATCATGCTATGAGGATGAATTCGCCGGTAGTGTTTATCAGGTTGCCGGGCAACACATATTACCACTCGGTAGCCTGGCTTCTTTTTCCTAGCTAAAATATTTTAACTGCAATCCCAACTTTGTTTGAAGAAACTTGACTATGTAAAAGGGTCTATTAGTCTATGGTGATCTCCCCTGTTGGTTAAAAATTATTATTTTTTTTTTTTTCTGATGGCTTACGGACCTTGTAGATCTTTTGGCTTCTAAACCAGCCTTCTCTATCTTTGCCTATATTAGGCTATTTCTTTCCAGTTACCAATTCATCATGCAACTCTACAGCATCTTTGTTGATTTGATCTATATATCTGATTTTTAGTCCTCCACTTGGTTTCTTCACTACTATTGTCATGTTAAGGCTTCCTGCTTGTCTTCAAATCAAGAAAAGATTGACCAGTTTCTGTAAGCAATTCTTTATTGGTCCTTCTCTTCCATCGTTAGTATTCTGATTCCAGATCACTCTGGTTACCGTGCGGATGAAAATCTAACTAATTATTACAGTTTCTAGGACAAAATTTTAGTCAAGAAAATGTGTTATGTTCTTCAGAGAATGCTTTGATGATTCAATTCTTGGAATGCTCTCGATCCAATACTATCTAAAAGTTTTTGAAAACTTGGAAATTATATTTGTTTTGTTTATTTGTGATTAATTTTTTAACATGATTTGAAATTGGGCTTGATCATCAGATTTTAATAAAATGAAAAATAATGTTTTAAACAATTGCAATGATTCCATTATCACTATGAAGTTTAAGTAAAGTCAATAAAAGCATATTTATTTTTTATAATTTGATTTAGGAATTTGATTTTCATATAGAAAAAACTGTTGAGATATACAATTTTGACAACAATGTTATTTTAACTTTTCATTACTTTTTATATTATATTACAATCAATTATATTAAATATTGTTTTTATTTCTAGCGCTGAGAGTGGTTGTTGATAAAAACATAGACATACCGCAGTTGAAAAAAAAATTGGAAAAATATTTGGGTGTAGCTAGCAGGTTTATGAAACTAATGAAAGGTCCTGAAGGGCAGGAGATCACATGCTCATTGAAGTGGTGTAAAGATGATGAAAGGATTACGGTGAAATTGGAAAGAGTTTTAAGCGAAGGGGAACAAAGGATTACCGTTAATCATCTTGTCCTCAGTGCTCCAAATGTAATGCATCTTTCTTTTTTTATTGTTCAAACATGATGGTTTAAATAGTATTTTGACCACAATATTAGATTCATATTCAATTGATTCCTAGTAATCCACTTCTTTAAATCTTAAAAATAGAACTATGTTTTCTTTCTCTTTATATTATTTATGCAAAATGATTTAATTAATATTATTCATAATTATTACTATGTACTGAAGCAGAATATTTTGAACTGATAGTTTAGTATTTGAACGAAAAAACACTAATTCCTTCTATGTATTTGTAGTGTATCATGGGTGGTTAAATATATATCACCTTTACACCAGCAAATAATTAACCAATTTTTTTACAACTGTACTTAACATTAATATTTAATAACCCATATTTTTATTATTTGTTATGGAATGTTCTACATGAAAAGTTCAAGAAGGGAAAAGGGAAAGGGAATGAATACAGAAATAATCTTAAGAGATCACTTTAGGTCTGGTAACTAGTTTTAAGTACCTGGGAAGCCTGGTTATATGCAATAACAAAATAGAAAATGAAATAAAGACCAGGATAGCAGCAGGAAATAGATGCTATTTCACACTGCACAGAGATGCTTGACATTTCATTTAGGTCACTCTCTAAAAAAACAAAATTCTCATATACAAAACCAGTGGTTGTGTATGGGTGTGAGACTTGCACCTTAACCAAAAACTTAGAACACATACTCAACTTCTGAAAGAAAAGTATTGAGAAGAATATGAGCAGGAGGGGGATCACCGAAAATAGAAATTGGAGAAGAAGGAACGATATTGTGGCATTGATAAAAAGAGTCTATATAATATGGGTAGGTCATTTGAAAAGAATGCCAAAGAGGATGCTCCATGAGAAGCCGGATGGTAAAAGAAGTTAAAGACACCCTCGTATCAGATTGCTAGAGAATATGGAGGACGATATCAGGCGGCTGAGTATTTGAAGATGGAGGGAGATAGCACAGGACTGTGGACATAGGTTGGCTGTAGTGGAGAAGGTCCGGGTTCTTGCAAGACCATTGCTATGGCACCGGGTTTGTGTCATTGCAATAAAAAAAAAGTAAATATGGAATGTTCTAGTTTAAATTAAAATTAATATTTCCATTTTAAAAAACAGTTTTAACATTAGAATAAAAGTTATTTCAACAAAATTTAGGAAATAACAATTAAAATTTAGATTTTCCTCTCTGCCTTCCATACATTATAGATGTATTAAATTTGTGAGCATGTACTGAATGTTACCGTCATTCGTCAGCACAATTGATGATGCAGACAACCAAGTGCAAAAAATATATTTCATTTAAAGCTATCGCAGAATCTGTTCAAATAGGATTATGTAAGCAGTCATCATGATTATCTCTGAGAGAGAAAAGTGGACCGACATAAACAAACATGATTGGTCAAAGATTTATAATTATTAATTAATATTATTCAAAGATTGATTAAACAATTATGAATTGTTAAATTCAATTCAATTCAGCTATTCAAATAATATTCATAAAAATATTATTTAATGTATGAGTGGCCTTATTTCAAAGACAGACATGTGTCATTTTTAAAAAGTTGAGAAAAAGAGAGAATTCTTTACACCTTAACAGACCACAGCAGGCATATATACCTGCTATTAAGATCCACATATAGCTTGTTTTTGTTTAAATTTCCAAAATATGATTATATGCACATCAGAAATATCTACCAAAGGTAAAAATAAGAAAATAAAAATTTAAAAAACAACAACTAATATTCCTATGGATAGTGGCTGGGTGTATATGTATTTTTTTAAATTATCGTAATTAAATTATTTTTCAAACTAAAAAAAAAAAAAATGCACGATACTTTTTTTTTTTAAACAGTATATTACAGTTTTGAGAGAACAAAAAAACAATTTGGTCCACGGAGAAAGTTTCACTCGAATGGCTTGGACGTTAAAGTGTTAAATAAAATCATAAAAAACTGTTTGAGTTAAAGCTGACTGAAAATGACTGATGTTTGTCTTTGATATGAAGTCAGTCAATCATATGTTTACCAAAAATTAATTTCATGGAATCTGTTGGAAATTACTCTCTAAATTGAATCTTAATCATTTTAATAATTATTTGTTTTTACAACATTTTTTTATTACTAAAATAAAAAATTGTTTGCTTGTTATAAATTGATAGATTTGTTAAGATACATTAAATTGTTTTATACATTTATTTTAATTTTAGTTTTACTGTAATGTTGAGCCTGGATAGAATTGAATTATAGTTTTTCATTGTTTGAAAAAATTTAGCATTGAATCTTTCTTATTTCAGCCTGTACAATATATCTGTGATTGGATCGTAAAAAATGGTACACCAATATCTACACTGAAAAAAGATCTTCTTAGAGAAGTGGAAAAGCGGGCTGGACTGAAAATTCCATATGAAAGGTTAGTTAATTTAAGTAACCTATTTAAACCAAATTATGTTAATAATATAATTATACATATTTGTATAATTGTGATTTTTATAAGTGTTTTAAGATGGTTTTTCGAATTTAAAATTGTCGCTAGTTAATATAAATTAAAAACATATAGTAGTGGGAACTACCCATACCTCGGTATCAGTTAGCTCCTGGCCTTTAACTAGTCTATATCAAGGCGATCTTTGGCCAGCATGATCCACTTCTCAGCATCTCATGGTACCCCGTCTTTGATGAGTCAAACAATGGGCAATGGACATGATAGCTTATCTGACAGCCTCATATCAACACAGTCACCATGTCATCAACTAATATCTGATTGGAACATCCATCATAAGACTGTAACAATTCATCAGTGTACCTGAAAAGCATGTGTATTATTTTCTTCAAACATGAACATTGATAAATTGTATTCATATGGCTTCATATATTGCTCATCCTTTACTACAGTTGGACCAGTCAGTCCTAAGTCCTCAAATTAATAAATTAAAAATTATCATTTCAAATAAATTAACATAGACATTTTTTTTTATTTATTAAAATGCACATTTTATTCTTAATAATAAGTTTTGAGTTCTGTGCATGCGTTAGCCTAAGTTAAACATACGTCAGGTCGTCTCTTACAAAATTCTTCATTAATAGTGGCAGTGTTCAACTTCAATGCGAAACAACAGTGTTACCTGTTATATTAACAATTAAGTTTGTTACTGAACAAAAGAATAAGGTGAGTAATCACTTATTTACAGCTCAATAGTGAACAGTGTAAATAGACCTCAGGTTAGTTACTGATAACGGCCGGCCATAACATCGCTAATCCCACCAGTAGGCTCTGGCTCTCCGTCCGAGGAGGTTCTGTGCCGACCAGTCCTCTCTAAGCACGCGTATATATTTCTGTGTTTAAAAAAAAAAAAAAATTGTTATCGCTTTTCATTTAACAATTTTTCCTATCATTTATAATATGAAATGCGATATTATCATATGCTAATGTCGAGCAAGGGTAAAAATACTAGGTCCAGAAGCCTCGATACTACAATGAGTTCTCCTATTAAAAAAAGAACAAGACGTTCGAAAAGAAATACTCCACCAGCCACACCAGGGAGCTCTGTTGAAGAAGTGGATTCCCAACCTGGTACCTCACAACAACAAAACAATCATGAGACAACTCAGACTGGTGAAGAGTCGCCGTTTTTCACTCAGAACCCATTTCAAGTGCTATCAAATACACAAAACGAAGAAATGGAAGCAGCACCCACCCCCAAGGAACCCAAACCCCCACCAATATTCCTTAAGAATATTAAAAACTTTCAGTTAATGTGTCACCAATTAAATAACCTAGTGGGCTCAGGAAAATATTTATGCCAAAGCCGCACCAATGACACTAAATTAATGCCCGACACTCCAGAAACATACAGAAAAATTATAAAATATTTATCTGACACCAAGGCTGATTACCACACGTATCAACTGCGTCAAGAGAGGGCGCTCAGGGTCGTTATCAGAAGACTGCACCCATCTACGCCAACAGATGCTATAAAAGAAGAGCTCGTGGGTATGGGATTCCATGTTCGCCAGATAGTGAACATATTCAAGGAGGATAGAGAACAGCCTGGAATAAAAAGTAAAATACCGCTCCCACTATTCTTCGTTGACCTTGACCGAACGCCCCAGGTCGAAGACATCTACAAGGTCACACGCCTTTATTACACCAGCGTTGTAGTAGAAAAGCCTTACACCAAGCTCGACATCGTTCAATGCCATAACTGTCAGGCTTTTGGGCATACGAAAAGATATTGTCATCACATTCCTAGATGTGTGAGGTGTGGTGAGCAACACAAAACAGAAGAATGTAGGAAGTCTAGAACTTCACCTGCAGTATGCGCTTTATGTCACCAAGGGCACCCTGCCAACTACAAGGGTTGTCAAACATATAAAGAATTAAAAACAAGAATTTACGCAACTCCTAGAGAAGAAGGGACATCCAGGCCACCAAGACAACCCTCTAGGACAGTGAATGGAAGAGTGACCTATGCTCAGATGTTCAAAGGAGACACTATAAACACTCAATCTCAGGCCCTGCCACAAGAACCTCAACCTCAAGAATTCACACATCAACCTCAAGACCCATATCCATCCATCCCTGAACCTAGGTTCAATACCCAGACATACATTCCTCCTCCTTCCAATTCCACTGACCTCACAAGCCTATTAACTTATTTCCTCTCTGAATTTAGATCCCTCATCACCCCTCTTATTTCATTACTTACCAATGTTATATCCAACCTCATTCCATCGCCGAGAAATCCATAAATGTCCTCAACCAAATCCCTCTCCATTCTCCTATGGAATGCGAATGGTATTCGAAATCACATCAACGAACTGACAATCTTATTACATGACAAAAACATCGACATAGCACTAATAACTGAAACCCGACTAACCAACAAACGACAAATCAACGTTCCTGGCTACAATATTTATAGAACCGATCATACTGATGGAACAGCACATGCTGGCACTGCTATAATTATCCACCGATCTCTCTCCCATCATTTATTTCCCTTACCAACCCATAATTTCCTACAATCCACTGCCGTAATAATCCAAACTTCCCTTTACCCAATAACATTAGTTGCGGCATATTCCCCGCCTAAAATACCCATTTCCGAATCCCAAATAATTTCCTTCCTGAATTCCTTAGGACACCATTTCATCCTAGGTGCAGATTTAAATGCAAAACACCAGCAATGGGGAGCCAGATCCACAAATTCCCGAGGGCGAACATTGCTATCTGCACTTAATTCCCATCGCAGCAACATCCTTTCACCTAATACTCCCACATACTGGCCAACAGATCCCAACCGCAATCCCGACCTTCTAGACTTTTTCCTACACAAAGGTCTAGGATCATTACACTGTTCCATTTCAAGGCTTGATGATCTTTCCTCAGACCACAGTCCTATAGTCCTAACCGTTTCCACATCACCCATTCCTAAATCATCCCCTCCTTCATTTATCAGGGGACCAGTTAACTGGAACCTTTTCCGTCAAATATTGGATGATAATATAGACCTCAGAGTTTCCTTAAAAACACCTGAAGACCTTGACGATGCAGTGGACTCCTTCACTACCCTGATCCAGCAAGCAGTTTGGACTGCATCCTCACCTGATCGTCCCAAAAAACACCTCAGTATAAATCCTCTACCCCAAGACCTATTGGACCTTATCCATAGCAAACGATGCTCTAGGGCCCTCTGGCAAAGAACCAGGCATCCTGATGACCGGAAATCGTATAATTATTATTCCAAACAGGTAAAAAAGAAACTGGATATCTTTAGAACCCAATCCTACAATTCCTACCTTTCCTCATTATCATCTAGTGATAACTCCCTCTGGACTGTAACTAAAAAAATCCTTAAATTCCAATCCATTTCCCACCCCCTCCGCCGTGATGATGGTTCCTGGGCTTCGTCAGATGCGAATAGAGCTGAAGAGTTTGCTAAACATCTATCCTACACATTCACTCCCCATCCCGAACTCCATCCCACCCACACTGCTGAAGTTAAAGAATTTCTCTCTTCACCAATTCCTCTCTCTCTACCTCCAAAACCTGTTAACCCCTCTGAGATAAAATTCCTCATAAACAAATTAAAACCCCGAAAATCCCCTGGATATGATCTCCTCACTTCACAAATCCTCAGACAACTTCCCAAAAAAGCAATCATATTCCTTACCTATCTGTACAACTGCATCCTTCGCACAACCAACTTTCCTTTGGTGTGGAAACATTCCATAATCGTGCTGTTTCCAAAACCAGGCAAACCCGTTAATAACACATCATCCTACAGACCGATAAGCTTACTCCCTATCCTCTCAAAAATCTTTGAGAAAATCCTCTTCAAACGCATCCTACCCATACTCGAATCCCACAACATCCCTTCTCATCAATTTGGATTCCGCTCAAGACATTCCACTGTCCAACAAGGCCTTCGTGTTGTGGACCATATATCCTCTGCACTTGAAAACAAGCAATATTGCACTGGTGCCTTTCTGGACGTAGCGCAAGCTTTCGACCGGGTGTGGCACGATGGCTTGCTTTTCAAGCTCAAAACCCATTTACCCCAATCCTTATACCTAGTCCTCAAATCCTATCTCTCAAATCGTTCCTTCCAAGTCCGTTGCTGCACCGAATTCTCCACTTACTATCCAGTTGAGGCTGGTGTTCCACAAGGCAGTGTTTTGGGTCCAGTTCTCTACATCCTTTTCACTGCCGATATCCCTTCAAATCCCGATACCTTCCTAGCTACATTTGCTGATGATACTGCCATTCTATCCTCTCACTCAGATCCTCAAATAGCATCTCAAAACCTACAATCTCACCTCTCCTTGATTGAGCAGTGGTGCAACAACTGGCCCATCAAAATCAATGAAGCAAAATGCAAACATATTACTTTCACCCTGCGACGCAGATCCTGTCCCACAATCCTTTTCAATTCAATACCACTCCCCTACTCAGATTCAGTCCGTTACCTTGGCTTTCTTTTAGACAAAAGACTAACTTGGAACCCACATACGAGACTTAAAAGACAAGAACTTAACCAACGATATGGCCAGCTATATAGACTACTAAGCAGGACATCTCATCTTTCGATTGAAAATAAACTTTTAATCTACAAGACAATACTGAAACCTATCTGGACCTACGGACTTGAACTGTGGGGAACTGCTAAACATTCGAATATCAAACGCATCCAATCCTTCCAGTCCAAAGTACTTAGAACAATAGCGAATGCCCCATATTATGTCACAAATAAGACCCTACACCATGACCTTAACATCTTATTTGTCCTCGACATCATCCCATCCAGATTCTCAAACTTTCACTAGAACCTTATCCATCATCCAAATCCTCTAGCTCAATCCCTATCCAGCTCCCACCATCCCTACAATCCCCCTCCAAGGTTAAAACGGCAGTGGCCGCGAGATCTATTGTAAATATGCTTCTGGAGTCCTGGCAATGGCCAGCTTCTCCACTCAAGTCCTGAGCATCTGTGGCTCTAGTGCCCTCCTTCAGCCTCCATTGGCTTTTAATACTAGTGATGCGGCTGGAAAAGTAGCACTGGGATCTCTGGAGTCCTGCTTTGCTTTCCACATGTGGGGAGAAAAGCCTGGCTCGGAGATTCCTGGGCGAATGTATATATTGTATATAGGTATGAATGTGTTTAGAAGTTGTTATTTTATTTTGTTTGTTTATTTTTTTTTTCCTATTGATTTACTTTTTTTTTATAAGTATTATTTATTTACTTCTTATATTTATAGTTACTTCTGTATTACTTGTATATACTGTATGAATGAGAACTTCTAGCCTTAATACTTATAGCCCTCCAACAGTGGCTGATTGTATTATTATTCAATAAAAAAAAAAAAAAATAATTTTATCCATAATGATAATTCAATTATTTCTATAAATGCACTGATTCCCTTAACTACTTGCCCTTCAATTTAGTTCTATATTAAAGTTAATAATACTCACTTGAATAAAATTCACTGAATAAAATCAAGTCCCTTAAGGTGTTCGGTGTCCCTTTGAAAAACGCCCTGTCACTTCCATCTTTGTTTGCAAGATTTGTTTTAGCTTCTGTCCTCTTTATCATGATAGCCAAAGTTAGTCTCCTATAGATAAGCCAGAGATGTAAATCTCCACTATTCACATCCCCTTTCAATGTGCTTTTTGTTCAGAAATTTTATTTATGTATTTTTTTTCATACCGAAAATATTATGATGGTTAAATGTTTAAACACAAAAAATATTGTTTTCAGGTGTAGGCTGAGGGAACAAAATTGGAAAAATCCTGGTGATGTATTGAGAGATTCAGGAGTGTGGGATGAAGGTGCTATAATGAGTAGGCAACGAGTCGAAGTTTACTTGCAAGAACTGGAGGGTCCTGAACCAGTAACAAATCCTCATCAAGTGTTGTTATTTGCTCGAAGATGGTATCCCTCTACACTTAGTCTTGGTTCATTTGAAGAAATTGTTGTCGATTCTTTATCTGCCACCAATTTAAGTAAAAAAGTATGGTTCTTTAAAATATTAATAAATTATTTTTTGGTTTAAATTTGACAATTTCAATATTTGATATTCTAGAATATATTTAATACTATATTAGATATAGCATATTGGATTTTTATTATTTAGAGGTTCATATTTTAGTTTTTGTTTGTAGGTGTTCATGTAGTAGGTAATTTTATCTCAGTCCATTTTAGTCGGTATATATTTATCATGCAAACACAACGCAAAAGTTCTATGGTTTGTCCTCAATTAGTTGACAGGCTCAGGAGTAACTCATATGGTGCTATATTGAAACTAACATTTCATTTTTTTTTCTAAATTTTCACCGTTACTTGCAAAATATTTACTAACATCTAACGTATAAATAAATTAGAAGATTACAATATCATCTTTCAATATATAATGTAGGTATTAATTTGTAAAATATTTTTAAATAATATCTGAGGAAAACCAAATGAGTTTCTACTTATTGCCACATGAATTGAACTAATCGATTAACTAATCATGGTCAAACTTTAGAAAACATTAAGAATTGGTGCTTTTTCAGTTCTCAATGAATGAAATTCAAGGGAATGGCTTAAACATTTGGCGAACTATTGAAAAATCATCTGTCAGTTAGTTAGTTAAATTAAACTAATTTTTGAATTAGTATTTAGATTTTATGTCAGTTAATAGTTAGTTCTACAGTAACTTAAGAGTTATTAGTACCTGAGGATAATTAGAAAGTGAGTTAGTCAAGGATTGTATTTTTAATGATAATGACTGTTTAAAAATAACCATTAAATTAAATGATTAAATTATTAGTAAACAACTAAATTATTTAGTTAGATTTAAGTCTGCTAAATTAAATATTGATTAAATCTGTCTGAATGAAATACTAAAATTCATTAGATTCACGACCCAAAGGAGTGAAAAACTTTTTATGTCGATAATCAACTTCTAGTTTTAATTTATCTTTTTACCACGATGGAAGAAGAGTTTCACATAAATAGATTTTTTAGAAAATATAAATAACATAAATTATAATGAATCAAATTGTTTGGAAAACAAGATAGATTCTTTTATATATATGTATAGAGCCAATTGTCACTTGCTTTCGTTATAGACCAAAGTTCTGCTCCATATTATGTTAGGACAAGGCCTATCTTGAATCTTGTATAGGCCTAGTTTGGTCTGATAGGAGGTAAACCTCTTGTGATTGGAGAAGCCGAAATTACATCAATCTGTTAAAAAGATGCTTCTATTTACCTCCCGACTGAACTCATTCCTTTAGATTATTTTAGATTTGAAGTAAACGTAACTCTACACTTGTATATTGTCCAGCCTGTGGTCTGATTTTATGTTGTATTAGTTATGGCTTGATTTACTTCTAAAATCTTGCTGCCCACTCAAAGTTAGTTGATGAAGGCAATATTTTCAATTTCAGGAGCATATCACAGTAGATCAACTAATTTATTGTAGGATAAATTTCTTCATTCCTCCTGATTCATTTCTTCTGTTAGGTTAAGTAAAAAACAAACCAATACATCTGCCTACCTATATATATCCTAATAACCATCTCAAACTCATATTGGCCTATTTATATAAGGCATTGTGTGCTTCTCATGGTAACATTCACCAACTGGATTAGCTTCCTAGTCCAGTCAATGAATTGCAAAAAAGGGCTTCTAGACTGCATGAAGAATGGACAAGCAATTGACTCCGAGGATTTGTTAGGGACACTTCGGAGGTTAACATAATAAAAGTACCCATCCCTACTCTTTCCGCTTCATGGTGGAGGATGGCGCAGCAAAGGTCACTTTTTCCATATTTTTTCTTATATTTTAAAAACGAGGTATCACAGACAAAACATTGTCATATAAGAAATTAAATATGACAAAATTTCCTTTAAGAGAGTAAATTTTCATTACTTTTGTCTTTTATAGTTTTCGAGATATTCACTAACTTAAATTGCCTATTTTCTTAAAATTTATTTTCATCTCAAGTTTTTTGTTAAATTTGTCTTTTTAACACCCTGCTTTTCTTTCTACTACAAAATTGTCTGAATGAAAGTTATAGAATATAGTTTTTTCTTTAAATGCATGTATCATTTATTAATTTATCTTTTATGAGTTAAAAATTACATCAATTTTAAATGTTTTTATTAATTTTGTCAATCCATGAATGAAGGGTGTATACTATATGTTAATCAAATACATAAATCAATAAAGAATGTTTGATTTATATACTGGGAGGACAGTAGCCATATTATAGCTTTTGGGCATCCTTTTTTTCTTTTAAGTAAAAAGAAGATCTTATAACGACATATAATCTTTTCAGCCAAAAAATTTTATTGATTAAATTATTATCTGAGCTACTATATTATTTCTAAGCTAAACAATATTTTTGTCAATTCCTAACTAGTATTTTTCTTTAAAGCTTTCTGAAGTAAGTGGTATCTCTGTAGAACATATAAAGTTTGTCAAAGGAAAGACGTCTTTTCCGTGTGACATGTCTGTAATGAACATCAGCCATCTTTTCTGGGAATCGGAGTCGGAATGGAAATATGACTGGGAAAGAGAGGATGGAGCAGTTATATTTTATCGGTATTTAAATTTCAAAATATCATTAGATGGTGTATTTTATCAGATTTATAATAATGTATAACTAATAATTCTTACATAGTGACAGCAGGGAAGAACTAAAAAGTTTAAGTAAAGAAGAGCAGGAAGCAAGCAGTAAGGAAACAACAGCTACTAGCAATAGTTCACCTTACATATCTGGTTATTCACCAAGAAAAGAAAGAGCACTCAAGATATATCTTGATACAACACCGAGACGAGCAAGATCAGTTATAGATGTTGATTGAGGTAAAATTAATTCTTTTGTTATAGTTGTTTATAAAGAGTTGTTATCTTAGATTATATATATATTAAATCATATTTGTTTCTAACACTTTTCAGTGTTTTCTTGTTTCTGTTGGAAGAATATGAAATAATATTCCATAAATCCAACAAAAGAACATCACTAAGCAGCTCAAGCCTGTTCATCATTTGGAAACAACAACTTGTATTTATGTAAACTATGGAAAAACTTCCAGGCTGATATGTATTATTATCTTGCCAATTATTTTGAGGTTCATCAGCTGATGTATACTTGTAAATGTAATATATATTATATTCTGATTGTAAATACTTAAAAAAAAAAGCCATTACCCTTCCACAATATTTAAATATGATACTGATCAAATATTTATATTGCTATCATATACCAAACGTCATCAGTAATGGATCAGCTTAGCGTATTGACATTGTTTTGATAACCAAATACAATTGCCTAAGTCTTATTTTGTACTATAAATATGTAATATTCACATGTTGATTTTATCGCATGTTGCGTAAACAATAAAAATGCATTCTGAATTTTTTTTTTTAAATTTCTTATTAACCAAAGTTTTTAACCCTCTCTGTGCCATTATCACCATTTGAGGATCAAGTTGATAAGTTTCAATTTTAGAAAATTAAATTGTTGTAATGGATAAAATGATATTTTTTTGTGTGAAAGCTATTGTACCTGATTGTCGCGTTGCAAGGAATAGTGAAAGCAGATCAAAAAGATAAAATTTAATCCCTGCCAGCTACCAGTTGCACTCACCCCATTCCATCTCTGAGATTCACAGAGGAATTAACTAGAGCAGACTGGAGGGCGCTCTGAGTTAAGTGAGAAGTCTATGCCAGCATAAAAGAGTGAGCTTATTTTACATAATTAATATAACCCATCACTTCATCAACATACTTTCCACTGCCAAAATGTTGCCTATGTTGAACTCAGAGTTATTTACCTTTACTTTCATTAAATTTGGAAAGTTGCCTAAGCAGATGTTTTTTATCTTTACATCTTTCATTCAATTAAATTTGGTATTTAGCTGAAAACTATTCAAGATTCTGCAATTGCACATCAGAGAAATTCTTACTGGAGAGCAGCAGTCAATAGAGAAGACTGGGGGACCAAGCTACAAAGACATTGACTTAACATGAGCTGTTGCGCCATGAATGATGACGATGACTATTTATGTTATCGGGTGGTTTCTATTGCGCCATCACATCAAGGTTTCTTAACTTTTCCTTTTTCTTCAATGTAAGGATACATTTTTATGTTTTCGGAGGCGCTTTTAATGAAAATACTTTCGGATTAAAGATAGTGCAATTGCACATCGAGCTTTTGTTACTCCAGATTCCTTCAACATATTCCACTACTATTTTGTCCAGAGCAGTTTTTTCATAAAAATACAATACAATTGAATTGAAGATTGGGCTATCAGACATTGAGTTTTTGTCACATATATGATTTCTTTGATACAGGGGTCCATTATTAGGTTCTCGGTTGCACTGATTATGAAAATACTAATATGCGGGTATTAAAATTATGATTGCAACACCTTAAATCCAAAAGTATTTTCATAATAAGCGCCCCGACAACATAATAATGGACACTTATATGGAAGAAATCTGTAAAAATACAATAACTTGATTTAGGATTGCGCAGTTCGATAATTGATAGTATATTATTTAAAAAAATGCCCACCTCCTCCATCATAATAATGGGTCCTTATATATTAATTTGTTAATGATTCCTTATAAATGAACAAGTTAAATTTTTAAAAAACTAGGCAAAATCTCAATACCATAAACAAATATTTGTCTTCATTAATTTTTATTACGCCAATATTTTCTCTGAATACATTTTTATTCAGTTAATATTGCTCATTGAATAAGGCTCTCTATTTATATCCACCTAGCCGTCATGCGATTTTGTATTACAGTGGTTATATTCTGGCAGACCAGCACTTTTTTCATCAGGCCTGTGGATATGGTCAATTTATAAGGATAAACCTTCCTATGAAATGCAAAGGGCTACACCTTTAGACCCAGGATGAACTACCAATTTTTTTTTATGAAGATCCAACTTTAAATTTAACTTAAATGTGAAAGTTGCAAGTAAAAAACTAATGATCATATGAAAACTGAACTCAAATTTTCTCTAATAAAAATAATTATGAGATTGGCATTGCTTCTTTGCCATTAATTGGTCTAAAGTTTGCAGACATGCAGGCTTTTTAAATGTGAATCATTTAATTTCAATCAATGATTACTTTTAACCATATTCATTTCTGAAAGTAATTGTTTAAAACCTTAGTTGCTTCCTAGAAGTATCATTAAGAATCAGGAGTTTTTTCTAAATTAGGTAATTTCGATATAAATTATGTACATGAATATTTTTATATTAATTAAAACCTGTACACTACTAAGAATATTTAAAAATGCAGTAAGAATAAAAAAAGGAAAAGGCTCTTCATCAAAATGATAAACTTTATTTATAACTATGGTAAAATTAACTTGTAATCTAAAAATAAACTAAAACTAAAACATATCTTCATTTTATATTAAAACTAAAATGTTGACCTTTTTCAACAACTAAATGCATTCAAATTTTTGCACAGAATTATCAATTCTTATTAAATACCTTCAAACAAAACATACAATACATCCTTAGGATGATAACAAACAAAATATTGCTATTTTCATTGAATATCAGTAAGCTCGATTTATAACATTTATAAAAATTTCATAAGCTAATCTCTTTTAATTTAACAATCTCAAAAATAAAAACAGCTCTTCTTGAAAAAGTAATAATATTATGAAACATTATAATAAAATACATCTTTGAGATTATATATCCACTATTCAGTATATTAAAAAAATACAAAAGTATATTTGTAATTTGTCAAAAATTTTATATTTATTTCAATATAAAAATAAGTGGCAGTGATTGTTTTTCTTATTGTATACCCAAATATATTTCTGTGTGTGAAATATATAAAATGCAAAAGACAATTCACAATTTTTAAACATAATCAGAATGGACAGCAGCTTCAGATATAGCAGATAGACGCTGACGTGAAAGCGGTATTTGGCACATTTCCCATGTGTTATTTCCACCAACAGTTTCATAAGTTCTTTCTGAAAAATCTGAATAATAAGCAGAACTTGGAGGAGATGATGGTTCAGCATCTAACACATAACCAGTATTCTGGTAAACCGGTTTATCTAATTCTGCATAAAGTGCTTCAACACCCGAATATGCCTCATCAGTATAGTGGTTGGTAGCTGTTACCTGAAAATTATTATTTTATTCTGATTAATTTAAATTTAACATAATTTATAATAATAATACCAGACTACATTTTTTAGGACATATCAAAAGAATGTACCTTACAAAAGAAACAGTTGAATTTAATGAGAAAACGAGCAAATCAGTAATTGACACTTTAAAGTGTATTTTTATAATTATTATTGGCATTATGGTCCTGCAAGAAGCTGGGCCTCCTTCCCTACAGACTACCAATCTCCACGCTTCTGCACTCATCTTTGAAAATCTAGCCGCCTCATATCATCCTACACTTCCTCCAGCCATGTGATCTGAGAGCATCCTCCACTTCTCTTTCCATAGAGCATTCTTTCCAAATGACCTATCCATCTTATTGGAACTCTTTTCATCAATCCCACAATATTGTCTCCCAACTGTTCACGCAGCTTCTCATTCCTTCTCCAAATCTCATTTTCAGCGACTCCACTCCATATTCTTCTCAACATTTTTCTTTCCAATAGTTGAGGATGTGTTCTGCATTATGTTGGAGGTCCATGTGTCACACTCATACCTAACCACTGGCCTTACAATGGTTTTGTAGATGAGAATTTTGACTCTTTTAGACTGACCTAAATTTCAATTCTCTTTGCAGTAGAAAATAGCATCTTATTTTCTGCTGTTATTCTGACCTTTATTTCTTACTTTTTTATTGTATGTAACCACTTTCCAGATACTTAAACTGGTTTACAGATCCAAATTTGTGAAGTTATTTCCCTATTCACTTCCAGAACTTTTCATATAAATCATCTTATTTTCATTAACTTAAAGGTCCAGTTTAGCCACTGCTGTTTTGAATTGTTGGAATGTCCTTGATAATGCTGCTTGGGTTCTAGAGATAATGACATCATCGGGATGTATCAGATGTTGAGACAGGCTATTGTAGATGGTTTCTCCTGGACTTGTACGAATATAATGAACAACTTCCAGGGCTAGATTAAAAAAAAGTGGAGTTAGAGGATCACCCTCTCAAGCCATTATCCACCTCAAATTGTTCGGCCAGCAAATATTCAAGTTTCTCTCGACAGGTAGTCTTCATTAGTGTCGTTTTTGTTAGTCTGGCCAGTTTCTTCGGTATTCCTTGTTCATTTGGGTATGCCTACTGTTACTATAATTTTAAAAGTGCTTTCCTGCCTATACTGTTGTATGCCTGTCTGAAGTTCACAAAGAGAAGGTGTATGTCTATGTTAAAGTCATAACACTTTTTCATTGTCTGTCTCAGAGAGAATATCTGGGTGGGTCAACTGTTGATCTTCCAGGCCTAAAGTCTCCCTGATACTCTACTACGATTTTTTCAGTGAAATCGATCAGTCTTTTAAGTAGGAGTAGTGCCAATATTTTATAGGTTGTACTTAATAGAGCAATGCCTCTATAATTTTCACATACTAGCTTGTCTCCTTGCATGTGTATGGGACATATTGCTGCTTTTGTTGAATCTGCAGTTATTTTTTCTTCATCCATATCTCCCAAATTAGGTCATAAATTTCCTCCCATAGATCACTGCTTCCATACTTTAATATCTATGGAGTGATCTTGTTGAGATGTTAAGATATTAAGTGGATAAGTGAAATAAAAATTGACCTCATGGATTACACAAGAGAAACAGAAAAACCTATAGATCAACAGTTCAAGTTTAGTGAACTGATCTGGAGGAGGTATTAAAGAGTAGAATCGGAAAAACACAGAATGAAGAGTATTAAAAATGAGTCATTTAAGTCTGGCATTAACAATAAAAAAAAGCATGAGCAGCAGCGCTTTGTCAATAAGGTATTTTCCCTTATTTTAATTAGAAAAAAAGAAGAAAAGAGATCAAGCAATTACCAGTGTGTCGAATCTTACTTAATTATTTTAATAATATATTTAACAAGTTCAAATATGAAGATGGGAAATGAGAAGAGGCAGAGGAAATGTCTGAAATAAGAAGATAACTATTTTCAGAGGCTGCTTGAAAAGATAGAAAAATGGTGCAAACCATGAAATAGGAACTACAAGCTAATAACCTAACTAACCATGAACTTTGCTTTGCATTGACTACCGATAACCACACTTCCATCAACTCCTCACTCCTTCAATTTAGTTATTTTACAAGTGAATAATAACTGTTTTTTATTTTTAAAAAGTCCTATAGCGGTTTCCTTAATGTTTATAGACATTCATCAATTTTTTAGTGGTCTAGCTTTTACAATCAATGTATAGAAATTAACAATTTGAGTCAAGCAATTATTTTAGTTAATTCAATAAAAAACAAGAGTACCAATCCTTATATAATTATAAATGATATATTAAATTTACTTTTCAAAGCCAAGTGGAAGGTAAAACAAACCAACCTCTGGTGGTGATTCTAACGTTGGTCTTCGAGATAACCAGCACCAAACTCCACCTTCACCGCCCTGTCTTCTTTTATCAGATCTTCCTTTACTAACTTCTCTTTCATGATTTTCTCTATCATCTTCAGAATATCCTACTTGAAAATAATAATAACTCTATTAAAATGATTATATTAAACAAAATAAAATATCAGTTTACACAATGGAATTCACATTTCAGCCTCCATGGTTTCATTCACTTTTCCTGTTATTAAAAGGATTAATCCAATAAAAACCAGATTTAGAGATAAATCAGATAAAAATTGGCATTTTTTTAATAGTAAAAACAATAAGATTAAAAAGAATTAGGGTAGACAACATGATAGAGTATATTAAGAAATTTACTTTACCCTTCTTTTATTAACACAAAAAATAAAAATTAATAAATCTTAATAATTAACAAAAAATCAAATTAATAAATCCCATAAATCTAGAATTAATTGTTCTAAATGAATATTGGAACGTTTCACACTAACCAGAATTTGAAGTCTCTTTTTGTGTAGCAACGCACATTATAAGGATGTTATTGTTTAGCTTGTGGGAGTGGGGTACATAAGCCTTCATATATTATTTCTAAAATATGGATTTTTTGGTGGGTACACCTTATCTTCATTAATGATTCATCAAATCCAATGATTGAACCATCATTATAATTTTGAACCATTGTACTCAAGTGAGAAAAAGAAAATTTAAAATCAAAATAGCGTGGTAAGTGAAAGTGGTGTAATGCACAGACTACATCCAAGTTTTCATTATTATTATGATTGCTTCTTATTGAATGGGAAATAATTGTAATACTTTATATTAATAATCATAAGTTTGTATTTATAATTAAAGTAGTATTCCTAACATTTATTGTTAACTTAAAATAAAAAATTATTTCTATTAAAAGTTCACCTGAACTAAAGAGAATTATAAAGATCTGTAAACCATCTATGCTAGGCAGGCTATGTGGTCAGATGAAATTTAAAAAAAAAAATCCTTGATGGAGACTTGTACGGAACCTGACCAAAAGACCACCGAAGTATCAATGGGGGTGGTGTTGAACAAGATTCAAGAACCCTATGCCAAGTTTGGAATTGAAGGATACTATTTGACTAGCAATCAAAATCTTGGTAGATGATGCAAAAGAGAAAATTCAAGATAAATAAGAAAAAAAAATCTGGTGTTATTATACATGATTATAGAAATCTAGATCATGTTTAAATCACTAAAAGTCACTAAGTATTTAGTGATTACTATTGATGGTTTAAAAGTAGTCATGCTAACTGTATAATGTTGAAATTTCAAAAAGGGAATATTCATCAAATTATTCACTGATTCAATTTTCTAAAATGTTACGTAAAACGCAATATAAACTTAATTACATATATATATATATACAGCTCTATTGCATCATTGTTGTATAGAGGCTTCCAGAAGATTGCTCCGAGCAGCATGCCCCGCCCATCTCACTGTGAAATATTGATTGACCAGTTTCTGTAAGTAGTTATTTATTGGTTTGTCTCCTCCATGTATTAATACTCGGATTCCTCATTGCTCCACTTATAGTGTGCAGAATTTTTCTCTCAAATCAGTCAATACTTCATTCATTCTAGGGAGCTGGTTAGTGTCCAGGTCTCACAGCCATATATCAGAACTGGTTCTATCACAGTATTGCACTTCCTCAATCTGACATTTCTTGGAATTTTAATGCCTTTAAAAGAGAGAAAAAAGTTCTATAGCGCATGTTATACACTTGTCTATTTCTGATCATTAGTCATTCATTGATGTTACAGTGGAGCCAAGATATTTTAGTTTTCCTACTCTCGGGAACAATTTCCCTTCAATGCAGATCTTATTGTTGGAGTGGAATTTTCGGCTTGTCATATTTTTTGTTTCATCTTTATTTACCTGTAGATCAATTTGCTCTGCTTCTCTTATCAGAGTCTTAGTGAGTTTCTGAATGTCCCCTTGATTGCTTTCAAGGACAGCTATATCATCTGAATATCATCATAAGGATTTTATTATTTATTCCGATGAACATTCCTCCATTTTCCGTTGATGTTGTTATCACCTTTTAGGTGTGAGTCCATCTCCCTACTATAAGCCAATTCAAACTTTACAGGCTTTTTTTTTATTTTTCTCTTATTCACCTTCACCGGGGCCAGAGGATAAGGCTTTAGATTTGGCTTCTTGTAATAGAACTCAACACTTAGGGTCATTATTTGTACATGCCATCGTCAATTTCACCAGCTTCTCAGGAAATTCCAGTTCAGTTATGATTTTCTAAAGAAAGTTCCTGTTCACGGAATCATGGACTGCTTTGAAATCGATAAATAAGGCGTGAACACCCAGAGCTGCTTTCCATTGTTTTTTGAGTACTTGTTTTATGATGAAGATCTGGTCAAGTGAGCTCCATCTTCTTCTGAATCCAGCTTAGTGGTCACCTATTATATCTTCTTAATATGGATATATCTGGTTTATTTGGATATTGGTCATTACCTTGTAGGAAACAGAAAGGAGTGCTATGCTTCTGTTATTACTATATTCATGCATGGAGCCTTTCTTTAGGATAGGGCAGATTAGATCTTTATTACAAGCCTCTAAAGTCCTTTCCTCCTTCCATATTTTCAGGATTAGTTGTAGTAACTTGGCTCTTAAGTCTTATTACCCATTTTTAAACAGTTCTGTTGTCCATCCCTGGGGTCTTTCTTGTATATGAACCCATATCTAGGGTCTTTAAACCTTTAAAACTATTTCCACATCCAGCATATCTGGTTTTTCAACATTTGGGTTTAGGTTCTCAGTGTAGTAATATAATATAATATATACATTTTTAAAAAATAAGAATAAAATAGATAAATAATTTTTAAATAAAAAGAATATACTTACTAGGAGTCCTATTATTAGTGTTAACCCTTCTGAAAATAAACAAAAATGAAAAAGTTAATTTTAGTTGACTGATACCATTTCAAAATTCATAAAAATAAATTATGCTTACTTAAAACAATGTCTCACAGAAACCATCAAAGCAGCTCCAACAAGAGCTGACAAAATTGAAACAATTATCAAGGTGATGGACCAAGGAAAAAATGCTAAGCTACTTCCTGAAACAATAATTTATAAAAAGTTTGCATGATGCTTAGTTTAAAAATGAAAATTTCAATTATAACTGTCACTAACTTGATGTTATATTTCCATGGACATCACTGGCCCATGTACACAGATCACAAGTAGTAAGGCCATCAGTCGGTATATCCATCTCAAGGAAATTGGGACGTGGGGGAGGAGGAAGAAAACCCCTCGCCCATGCTCCATTTTCTCCATCCAATTCTAAACTATGAGTGGTGTCTTCTTCATAAGCGCCAGACCACCACTGGGCATCTTCCCAGCTGCTTATATCCATGCCTGAAATATTACAGTTTATTTTATTTATACAAGTAATTTACAACTTAATTAATAATTATTTTCAATTTTTCGCTTTTCCTAAATATGTTATTATTTTTTCATTTGTAACAAAAACAATTTTTAATTAACAATAGGCTAAATCATTAACCTAATATTCAAGATTTTTATATTGAAGCTGGTTATATTAAATAAATTAACCTCTCAATTGCAGAGAATAAACCACTAAAACTTTTATATAAACTGATTAAAACAGTAGTCTCACTAAATCGGACTTGATAAAATAAAACAAATTAAAATTTAGTAAAGTGAAAATTTAATTCAAGGAGCAGTAAATATAAAAATACTCAAGAGTGATACTCAGTTGGCTACAATGAAAAAGTGCTGATATGAATGAAAAAAAAATAGACTATTTTGTTGCATGGATATTTTCCTGAGTCTAAAAGTATTAATTTTGATTTACTACTTCACAAATGTCACTCTGGAAGGCTGGTGGGTCAAACACACATCGATTCCAGTAAGTAGAATCCCAAAAGTAAATGGAGATGACCAATCTTTGTCAGTAACACCCCGATTTCAACTGAAAAGGAACTATTAAACAAGCCAACCCACAGCAGTCAACACTTTCAAAACTCTATCTACAGTATATCAATATAATCATGACTCACTAGTCAAACTGTCATGATAAATATGAACTAGTATCAGCTATTGTTTTTATTAAATACGGAAAATAATTTTCTTTAATGATCCAGTTAGGATTTATGATTCATTTTGTTTTTAAAATTTATAGTTTTCAAATAATAATAAATGTTTTGTAGTTCGTTTTTTCCATGTTTATTGTCCAACCAATATCATATCTTCCAGTGCATTGCTTAAGATAATTTCTACTATCAAGTTAATATGAAATTCATATTAATAAAAATGTATTTTATGAAATTTATAAAAAAAAAAAAAAAAAAGGAACTATTCAATGTTTTACTAAAATAAGACTAAAAGAAGTCCTAAATTAAAGTAATACATTTTCTGTGAATGAATCAAACAAGTAATTAGAGAAAACATAATATTTCTCTCAAAACAAAAAAGGGTTACAAGAAAAGGAAAGGAACGTTATTAATTCGGAAACATAATTAAAATATTACAAAGATTCCATGACAATATAAATTAAATTTGATATATAACAACAATGTTTATAGTATGTACCTCTGACAAGTTTGGCTTAACCCCATTTACGTAAAAACCTGATTGCAAGTTAAAACTGCAAGCACATATTAATCTTTAAACACATACATTATGTAACCAGTTCAAAAGTTAGTTCAATAGTAAAAATATATACAACAGTAAGGCATGCTTTGTGTGCTTGAACCTGGTGGGGGAATGCTCTAGTGACGTATGTTTACAGGGTGGTCATCCCCTCCTCCTCTCAAGTCTTCTTGGGAGGCCTACCCCCTTTTATTTTCAATTCAGGCCAATTGTACCTGGCAATAACTAACACAAAATTACGAAATTATAAGTAAAATCAATAATGAATTTAGAACTAATTAAATACTGCTGATTCATGCTGTAGAGAAAAAGAATTTACAAGATGGAAGATATATATATATATATATATATATTTTTTTTTTTTTTTTTTTTTTTTTAATGAGGAAATAACTAAGAATAACATCATCACTTTGGGAAACATATTAAACAAATTCCTTATGATTAAAGGTTTTATTAAAGAATATAATTAGATCATCAATGTACAGTTTTGTTTTCTTCTAATTTTAGAAACTAGAAAATCCATCTATAGGTCAATGAATTAATTTTAAAGAAAAGAAAATCAAACTATTAGTTTTATTTCCCTATTCTGGCACAAAAAAGATACATATACCTTTTCCTAACTATGAGTAAATTGTGCCAACCCTGCAGGAGGTCCGGCTGGCCTAAGGTATAAATTTGTCTGCAGTGGCCAATTTTATCGAGTATTTCAGTAACATATTTGATACCAATTAAAAAAAACCTACATTAATTTTTCATCATTTAATATAATGTAAACTAAAAATTAGCCAACTTTGAAAGATAGTTTAGTAGTCAACAGTCACGCACTTAATACGTAAATGAAATATTTATTGGATACCTACGTTTCAATCTACGTTGTAGGTCTTCGTCAGGGCTAAAAAGAACAAGATCCAAAAAACTACTATTAATTGGGACAATGGGCAACAAAAAACAGTAACATTTTATGTTAAATTGGTACAAGATTGAGTACAAGTTACAGATCTATGTTATCTAGGTCAATTTCTCATCCCATAAAATTGATTTGTAACTGAGGCTTAGATTTTATATGGAAATTAATCTTATCTTCCAGCTTTTATTATCCCTTGGAAAGCACTGACAGTATCAGGCCAGGTCTGACTCCGTTTGAGGCCCTTGGCCGGAGTCTGAAATGGGACTCCCTTATGAGGAATATATATATATATATATATATCACCCCAGTTTTCAAAAAAGGCCAAAAGAAAGACGTTTCCAACTACAGAGGTATTACTGTTACCAGCTCGTGAGTAGATTATACGGCCGAATAATTAAAAGCAGAATTTAAAATGACTCAGCGAGGAACAGGCGGATTTTCGAGCTGGAAGATCATGCACTGATCACATTTTTAATCTCTCACAACTTATACAAAAGAGGATGGCCCACGACCGTGAATTCCACATGATATTTGTAGATTTACACAAGGCCTACGATTCAGTACCTCTAGCGAAAGTGTGAAAAGCTTTGGAAGCCACATCTATTAAGAGATACCTCATCAGAGCAATTCAAGAGCTCTATAAAAATATAACGGGGGCTATAAAAATTGGAGATAGTGTGTCTAGAAGTTTTCCCATTAACAAAGAATTGAAACAGGGCTGCTACCTCTAGTTTACAATGAAGCACTTGTTAATTACTTAAATTAAATAATTTTTGTTACAACTTCCTATTCAACAATAATCAGACATACATAAAAAATCACAAATCTTTAATTCCCTATTTTCCTGCTGAAAATCGAACCATTGTTTATATAAACTTTTTTGTATTTATTGAGTTCTGCTATCACCCCTTTAAATATTTCCCTCTGCTTATGAGACACCTTGTGTGTATGGGTTTAGACATGTAAAAAACTAAATTTCTAACATGGGTTACCAATAGAAAACGCATTGGAGCCAAAAAATCCAGATTTATCTGATATTTTTTTTTCATGTATTACTACTATAGAGCGCATCAAAGCGAAAAAACGTATTCTGTAAGAGATTAAAGAAGGCCAAATAGTGCATCGAACGAGTACCTAAACTTAATAATTTGATTAAGTGATATGATCAATAACCACAGTCAATGAACGCTAATTTTTACCGACATTGTCAAAATCTCAGAAAGATTCCTATAAATGGTCCTGCAGCTTGGAAATGAGTTCTCTAAAAAAAACAAAAAAAAACTCAGAATAATTTCCGATTCCGATCATATCTGAGACCAAATAATTAATACCTTTCTTCATGAAAACGTTCCCAACAGCAGGCATTTTGAGAAAAGAACAACAATTTTTAATAAGAAATATACAAATTATTATCGTGACAAGTTCTATGAATTGCATAGGTTCTTCAAGAAGACTACAGTAGCTGGATGTTGGAATGCTATTGGAAATTAATAAAAACTGGGCTCGGGAGAAAATCCGTATTTTCTTGTGTTCGAATAAAAGGTTGTACGAAACAATAAATGAAATTCATTTTTTTTTTTTTTTTTTTAATAAATTTTCCTCCATCGTGTATTTCACCTGCGAGACTCAGTTCGGAGTCAATGGAAACAAACTGCGACAGGAGCACAAGCCTTCGCATCTCATGATGACCCAAAAAATACATCACTCTTTTGTTTAAATAGCTGCTTTTTTTAAAACTTTTTCGTCCACCATCCAGGGGGAGAGTTTATTTTCATTAATCAGCTATTTAAAATTTTAGTTTTCGAAAGGAAAGTCCTTCGGAGGATATGTGGCCCAGTTAAGGAGAATAATGGTGAATGGAGAATTAAACGCAACCAAGAACAAGAACTAGCTAACTTATAGAAGGAGACGGATGTGGTGAAATATAGTCGGAAAACAAGGCTGAGATGGGAGGACCAAGTTATACCGATGGAAGAAACCTCAATCCCAAAGAAGCTGCTGAACATGGAGCCGAGTGGAAAAAGAAATGTGAACAAACCAAAACTGCGATAGAAAGTGGAGTAAGTGCTGATGCCATAATCCATGCAATCAGAAATTGGTGGAGGCTGCTCAGCACAGGAAAGCATGGAGGAAAACTCTTGAGGCAGCCAAGATCCAGTAGTGGATTATCGAGCTCTGGATGATGATATTGATCATATTAGAAAATTTGTCTTAAAGGACGATTTTTTCCCTATATTTCTCTTTTCTTTAAATAGCTATTTTTGGATCTTTTTTTTCGGAATTATTCCTCTACTATCCAGAGGGGAGCGCAGAAATCACTAGTGTTAGTCACCATAATAACTTTTTTTTTATATCACATTACAAAATTCGTCTATGAAGATGAATTTTTCCTATATTTCTTTTTTCTTTAAATAGCTGTTTTTTGGAACTTTCCCTGCACTATCCAGGGGAGAGAGGGGCTCGCCCCCTGGCTGGATCCGCTGGTAACAGTCACGATAGTAATTTTTTTATATCACATTAGAAAATTCGACTTCGAGGATGAATTTTTCCTTAATTTCTCTTTTCTTTTTCCACCAACCAAAGGAGGGCGCTTCCTCTGGCAGAATTTGCTAGTGCTGGTTACGATAATAATTTTTTTTTTTTACATTATATTAGGAAATTTGTGTATGAGGATGAATTTTCTATATATTTCTCTTGTCTTTATATAGGTGTTTTTTTTCGTAATTTTTTTCCAGCATACAAGGGAGGGCCCACTCTCGGGCAGAATTCGCTAGTGCTGGTCAGGATAATAATTTTTTTTTTATACTACATTACAAAATTCGTGAATGAGAATGAATTTTCTATATATTTCTCTTTTCTTTAAATAGGTGTTTTTTGTCAATTTTTTCGGAATTTTCTCCCACCATCTAAGGGAGGGGCGCCCCCTTGCAGAATTCGCTAGTGCTCATCACGATAATTGTTTATTATATTACATTAGGAAATTCATCTTCTATTAGGATGAATTTTCTCTATATTTCTCTTTTCTTTAAATAGGTGCTTTTTGGAATTTTTTTCCAGTTTCCAGGGGAGGGAAGCGCCACCCGGCTGGATGCACTAGTTGTCTGGTTACGTATGGCAACAAAGTAGAATCTTGATATACCCACTTTTATAAGTACGCGGCGGCAATCTCAAGGTAAGGGATTGGCAAAAAAAACCATGTGGCTCACTTGCCAGACTAGTTTCCCCACCAGTAACAGTAATCATTTTTAAAACTAGGTGTTTTCTCAATAATACGAAAAAGTACAACTATAAAACAATAACAAAATGAACAGTGACTATAAAAATTTTGTTAATCAGAATTCGAAATTCTGCGCCAAATATAATGTAAATGTTTAGTTAAATCGTTTTAATGAAGTGTAAACATCATTTGACATAATTTATTTTCCAACCAGAATAAGTCAATATTCTTAATGACCCTGAGAAATGAATCTCGATACACCCATTCTGATTAGTATGTGGAAGCAACTTTCAAGTACCTACTACCAGGCAATAGCGGATTCAGCGGGGAGGATGGGGGCGTGCGCCCCCTCCCTCCTGGAGGATGGAAATTTAAAGAAAAGAGAAATGTAGGGAAAGTTCATCTTCATACACGAATTCCCTTAGGTAATATAAAAAAAAATTATTATCGTGACCAGCACTATCTAATTCTGCCAGGGGGCGCACCCTCCCTTGGGTGGTGGAAAAAAAACTTAAAGAAAAGAGAAATATAGGAAAATTCATCCTCATAGACCAATTTTCTAATGTAATATAAAAAAAAGTTATTATCGTGACCAGCACTAGTGGTTTCTTCCAGGGGCGCGTTCTCCTCTAGATATTAGAAAAATAATTCCGAAAAAAAAAACTAAAAGATCCAGAAAAACATCTATTTAAAGAAAAGTGATGTAGTTTTTGGGCCGCCGTTTTTTTTTTAAATTTATTTATTACCAGATCGGCCTGGTGGGCCTTACATGGTTGTTGTAACAATTTGATGATTTTTAACAATTGTTCTGGTGGGGTATAGTCTTTGCAAAAGACATCCCTAACTATTTATACATTATAATTATTGAATAATTACAATTAATAAAGAAAAAATTATTAATTGTTCATAACATGATGTCTTGGATCAGTCTGGGCTTCAGTCTTCAAGATGAGGTTGGGTTTCCTTGGGCAGCTATTTAAACAAAAGAGTGATGTATTTTTTGGGCCGCCGTGAGATGCGAAGGCTTTTGCTCCTTTCGAAGTTTGTTCCTATTGATTCCAAACTGAGTCTCGCAGGTGAAATACATGATGGAGGGAAATTTATTAAAAAAAAAAAAAATCATTTATTCTTTCGAACCACATTTCATTCGAGCAGAAGAAAATACGGGATTTCTTCCGGACCCAGTTTTTATTAATTTCCAATAGCATTTCAACCTCCAGCTAGTATAGTCTTCTTGAAGAATCCATGCGATTCATAGAACTTGTCACGATAATAATTTGTATGATTCTCATTAGAATCATCCAAATTTCATGAATGAACGTACTCGTTCGACGCACAATTTGGCGTTCTTTAATTTCTTAAAGAATACGTTTTTCGCTTTGATGCACTGTTTAGTAGTAATACATGAAAAAAAAGGTTAGATAAATCTGGAATTTTCGGCTGTAAACAGTTTTCTCTTGGTGACCCATGTTAGCAATTTTGTTGTATACATGTCTAAACCCATACACAGGGTGTCTCATATGTAGAGGGAAATATTTAAAAGAGTGATAGCAGAACTCAATAAATACAAAAAAGTTTATATAAACAATGGTTCGAATTTTAGCAGGAAAGTAGGGAATTAAAGTTTTGAGATTTTTTATGTGTCACGTTTTTTATTGAATAGGAAGTTATAAGAAAAAACAATTAATTTATGTAATTAATTATAGCTTCACTGAAAACTAGTTTAAATTTACTCTATACAAATATTTTGCTTTTGTTAAAACCATTTAAAGAGTACTTTTAAGCGGCTAAACTCAGAAAAGATTGGGGGAAACTGGTAGTGGTACCAGAAGCACTTGGTACAGGGGTGTACCCTCCCCCTGAGAAACTTCTTGGATCTGCCACTGCTACCAGGAGTAGACAAAAAATATCACAAACCCTACTTGCCCAACTAATCCTCAGTACTACTACCATGTTTTGTTTAGGAAACAGTACAATGGTGCTTAAAAACAAGATAAACGCCAAGGAGAAATTTAAATCACTAAGTACTGTTATGAACAGCTTCTAAAGGTTCAACTTAACACACACAAAAAAACTAGGCTTAATGAGGGATAAAAAAAATTTCAGCTGTACAGCAGAAATTGAAAGACCTAAGGTATTCAATAGGTTAAAAATACATGTGACACCTGAAAAAGCTAATTCTCTCTCTCTTTCTTTGTGCTTAATGTTTTTCCATAAATATGATTTTTGCACTTAACTAACTATGCACATGCACCACAGATATTACTTTACAACTTCATTTACTTCACCTGTAAGGGACTCAAATGTATGGCTGATTGTACTATCACTGATGTTTTGAGTTCATGATCCGTAAAGGGGAGATAATGCCAATTTAGAGTTTGAATTTATGAGATACTTACCACCCCAAATTACCCTATTTAGCTTTTAATTGACCTGAAATATAAACATTTTAAATTCACAGAGCTTTGGATCCGCATGTATAGATTTGCAAGGAAACTTATTTATATAAGCTTTGGATTAGGATGGTTGCATACTAATAGTAGGGATCAGATGGATTTAAGAATCAACCTCTAGAGGAGATTCACTCTGTTACAGTACATATGGCACAAGCGGAATAGGAGAAAAATTTCCCTTTTTTTTTTTAAAATATAATTAAAATTGAAGTATCAAATTAATTAAAAGTCAAAATTAAGAGGCAAAATAAATTTACAATGAAAACAATAAAACTATGTTTTATTTATTATTGATTTTAAAAACAATAAAAAAGGAGTACATTAATAAAATTAAGTCACACATCTTATAAGTCAACAATCACTGGAGCTTCATCTCCAACTTCTTCTTCAAGGTCTTCAAAATCCCAACCAAATTTGTGTGTTAATCTTTCTTTCAGATGTTCAGCCTCACATTTTAGCCTAAATGATAAAAGGAAAAGCTAAATATATGTTGGAACGCCACAAAATTAAAAATAAATTTAATTTATGTAAAATAGAAACATTACTACCTTGAAACAAAAGGGATCAATATCCAAAACTTTGAAATTTACATGTCCTCCCATTATTAGTTAGCCTCAAAAGGTAATAGTTTTAATAACAAGGCTTAAAAAACTTGCAGGCTCACCATACCAACAACCTTTGCTTACATATTTCCCTCTATTGAACCTCATTCCAATTATAATCTGCAAGAACAGACTTAGTATATTCCTATTTCATGTAGCTTAGACTATCCCTTGGGGACCTATCTAAGCTACATGGGGATCTATCAGCAGTTAACCACTGAATAGTTTTTTCTTATAAAACCAGCTCAGTAAATTTAAATGACCAACCATCACGGTATTATTACTTCAATTCTATTTATAAGATGAACACACTAAAGTTACAAATTGTGTGTTATTATTATTATAATTGGATCTCACAATTCCTTATTGAGCCTGGAGGGATTTCACACCAAGCTACATGCTTTAGGGAAAGACATTAACCCGCTAAGTCCCAGTGTGGTGTTTCGGAAACTGCTTAGTATGTGGTCATTACCTGCACCACTTTTTAGAAGATTCAGACCAAACTACTGAGGGAAACTGGACTTTATGTCATCAGGAAGGACAATTTCCCTCAGCTAGTAAGCAAGGATAACTGCTTGCACTATGAAGCCTTTGTGTACAGGTGGAAGGAATTAGTGGGTGTCGTCATTTCAATCACCTCCAATGAATTGAAGAAGGAAGAATTAAGAGAATAGGTGGTTAAGTAGCCTGATACGTCTACAAAAAATGTTGCCGATAGGCAGTGGTAGGAAATAAATAAATAAAAGGTTACAAATCGTGCAGCTTTCTAAATTCGCGATAGGACTCATCTTACTTTGGGCCAAACACTCCAGATAATACTTTTATTTTTAAGACTATGAAGAGATCAGTAAAAAAAATTAATATGCTCACTAATCAAATTTGAAATACAACTTGTGTATGGATCACTCCACCAACTGATACAAATTCACGTCCAAAGGAGATTGTGAAATTTTCTAGTAGGCTCATTAATACCAGTTAATATGAATCATTTCATCAATGTACAGTGCTTCAATTCTTGTTTTTGCTCTGAAATCGATGTGGATGGTTTAACCTTAATGAAACACCACATTTTTATTTACCTAACATTATCAGAAGTAATGGAAATAAATTTCATGTGAAAATTTCAGTGGGTAATTTTTTAGATCTGCACAATATAATATGCTTTTCTGAGACCCCTTGGTAAGGATAAGTAATTGGGAATAATATGAAAATTGTCAGGCAAAACGCAGAAGTTTATGCCAATTAGATCTTTAAATTTAATTTCAAAACTCAAATATTCAGCTCATTATTTTGCATTTTATAACAATCTTCAATAGAAAATATAAATTAATTTGTGATGTATTCTTGATTTATTTAATTCTTCAATAAAGGTCACCCTGGAAAAAATAAATTAAATAATGACCCCGATATCACCCAGAGTTTTCACTGGAAATACAAGTTTAAAGGTCCCCAGAGACCAAATAACCAAGTTTAAGAAAAAGTTGTATCCTTGTGTAAACAGTCCAGCTTAAAAACAATAAATCATACAAAACTGAAATTATATATTTAGATTAGGTAAATATTTGGAATGTCGTAAAAATCAATTAAATGGAAATGGTACTTTAAACCATTGATTTCACACAATTTTTTTAAAAACAACTTTCTCAAAAATCTAATGACATTGCAGTTCTAATGATTTTTAATAAACTCGTCATTTTGATGTATAATTAGATGGTCTTAAATTTCATCCAGGTGTTTACACCATTTAAATAATCTAACTGGACTTAAATACCAAATTTTCAGAATTTCTCCCTTTACAGTATCTTTAACTTTTTTTTATTAGAAATAATTAAAGGTCTTTCATTGTTAGTACTAATATGAAATGAATAAACATGAAAAGTGAGAGAATTTGATAATTACCCAAAAGAGAAAATGACAGAAATGTTTTTTCAGGTTGAAATTTGCAGAAATAAGAATAGTAATACAGATGTTTAATATACTGTTGGTAAATTAAAGATTTTAGAAAAATCATTATCTGTAAGGTTGTAGGAGGTAATGGGGAGTGATAAAAAGCTAATAACTTTTAATTGTTGTAGTTAATATTGTTCAATTTTATATTATTGAATGGTTTCCATAGAAACTGGAAGGGATTTCTATAAAAAATATAAAGAATATTAATTTTTTTCCCCGATTGATAAATCAAAATTATATAGCACATAGAATTGTCATAGTTTCTATTAATGTGTAGATATAAATAGTTTCAAAACCATGAATATTCTAAATATTATTACCTTGGCTCAACAACTGATTCTTCTTTCATTGAACGGAAAAGATCTCGAAGACTAGAATAAATTACGTTATTTGAAGCAACTATGTCGACCAGAAAGTCTTCTGGGATAAAAATTAACTGGGTTTCCAGTACCTATATTAAAAACATTATTAGTTGACATTATTTTCATTTGGCTAAAGATATGAAAAGAAATATAATTATGATAGCTTATCATTTTTCCATTAAGGTGTTTATAACAAATTTATAAAAAATGAAGAAATTACATGTTTCCACAATAATAATAATACAAATAAACTATTGATGTGCCTTTTTTACTTTTCTACCTATTTTCTTTCACGTCTCTCCCAACTACGTTTGGGGTGCCTATTTTTAGTTGTTTTATTGATTATGTAATTAATTTAAAAAATAAACTTATTTATACTACAAATAAAAGATCTAGATTATCTAGAAAAATTAAAGATCTCCTTCTTTGATCTTCTTAGTAAGAAATCTTCTTCCTAAATATTTAACCTCTAACTAAAATTGGACTAATTCTACAATGGATTCTTGCTGAATGACTATGAACTCTTCCTTTATAAAGATCATGAACCATACCTCCATTTTTTAAAATAGGTTAAGAATAAATGAATATTTGCTATTTTTAAAACTTTTAACATACAAAACTATAATAATATGAAATTTAATGTTATATTTAAATTATATTATATATGCAGTCATAGAAAGTGCCTTACCAAGTAAAAATTTAAATTTATTTACTAGATTGCTATCTGCAAGATCTAATTTCTTTGCCATTTTTGAAACAATATTCTAAAATTAATCGCACCATTAACATTCAAAGTGTTTGTTTTTTCTCCTCCCAGTTTCTTTCTTTTGCTCCATGGTGCCTTTTTTTTTTTTATGATGCCCTATCCTTGATACTATTTCCCATAAAAATTCCTTCTCTTCATGTAACGTCACAATTTCAATATTTATTTATGAGGACAGTTTTTTGCTTAATAAATATAATTACTGATTTTATCCTGGCATTAGCTAAAACTGGACTGAGAAACATTGTTAAAGTTTTCTTGTAGCTTAAATAAGTAAAGAAAAACAGAATCACACCAAGGAATTAACGTTATCAACATGAGAATCAAAAGAAATAGGTGATGTAATTTCTATGACTGCAACTGCATATTTATATTATATTATAAATTTAATATTATAAGAATTACAGTTCTTTAATAAATATTACAAATTAATAATTTTTAGTAAAAATAAGTAAAATATCATCAGTAAATCATTACAAATATACATTTCTTTCCATATAAAATGGTAATAAGTGGAAATTAAGATTAAATATGTATTAAATAGACGGAAGTTTCACACCTTTTTTTTTGCACCTTTAAAAAAGCACTTACCCAGAGATTTATCAAAAAATCAATTACAAAATTTTAAAGGAGTGTACAATAGCAAGATATCAAAACCAGCAGAAAAATTTAATATTCTGAAATCAATCTTATCATCTATCATTAAAAACAGGAAGATGATAAACCTCGCTGTTGCTTCTAGATCTGCTTGATTCCAAAAGTTGCTTTAAAAAACATGTACAGAGTAGTTAATAATATTAAAGCAGAAAGGTTCAAACATCAAAACAAAGTAATCGAGGGTTTTTGTGAAAAGAGTATTTAAGCAATAGTTCTTTCATCTCATGTTAAATTAATTAAAACTCAATTTTATTTATGCTTCATTCACACCTTTCATGATATGTAAAAACTATCATGTATGATTTTTTTCATTTTTTGTTCAGGAGCTCATCTCTTTTTGTTTTGATACCATCAAAATATATGTGGGAAACATTTGGTCAACCAAATAAGCTGAACAAGTTTTTTTTTAACAGAGCTCATGTTTAACGATAGACTATTGTATTTATCAAACAATAATTTTTATTAGTATTGCAAAGCCTAAAAACATTGCTATAGATCAAGTATACTCCATTAGTTTTTAAAAAGTTATGGTAGATTGGATTTTTGAGTAGTATGATGGAGTTTAGGATTGAAGGTCCTACAGTCAATTCACATCACTGTGAAAAGTCCATACAAAATTTCACATTCACGATTGCAACATGTTCCATTCGACAGACGGAATGGAGTAATGGTCAATGGTCTCCTTAATGATTGGAACAATTGGTCAAAGATCTTCAAATTCTTATTAGTACTTTGATAAGAGAAAAACCAATATTAACTATCGAACCTTTAGAAATGCTGAATACAACCCTCTTCTTCTAACTAGACCACTTCTAACTTTACAAAGAGTTCTAAATAATGTCCTCCATGATTCCATAGCTTCAAGTGACTGGCCAACCAGAAAACTAATAAACAAAAACTGCAACTCTCCTAATAGATCCATTTCACTAAAAAAGTAAACAATTTCAAATATTAGTTGTGATACTACGATATTAACTTATTATGCTAATTTCGACATTTCTCCTATAATACAAAATACAAATTATTAGAAAACTACATTGATATTTCATTTTTTTCTATCACAATTTCATAAAGCACATTATTAAAAGAAACACTAAATTTATAGTCTATTAAACATTTTTAAATATAAAAATAAATACTTGTTAAACTGCGAAATGATTTTCTCAAGAGTATAAGTGCTGTCCATGGAATGCATAGTAATTTCTGCAGGACTGCAACCTTCTGGGTAAGCTTCAGGCAAAGGGGTCATTCTTATATTACTCCCTTCTCTGTAATTAAAGCAAATAAGAATAAATGTATAAAGATATAAAAAACAGTCACTCATTTCAATGAAACTTTTTTTATTGATACTAAGACAAAATCTATAATCCATCTATACATGGTGTTTCATGGTTAAATGGCCAAACTGCAAAAATGGACTAAGGACCTCAAAACAAGAAAAAATTTCCTCTGAAGGTATGTCCGCAAACCCTTTGTTTAGGAGATATTCACACCTACAGATTTTCGTTATTGTGAATTATTGAAGTTATATGAAATAAATAAAACCTATTTATTTATTCTAACTACTTCATTAATTAAATGTAAACATTAACATTCATATTAAATGTTGTTCAAAGTGAAGGCTTATCTGCAAATGCTTTGTTTAGGAGATGGATTAGATAGAATACTAATATGGCCTTTTTTCCCCAACTGTATAAAAACTACTGACAACGTAAGCATTAATACTATTTGGAATTAGCATTTTGAACTCTCAATAACATTTATAAGTTTGTAAGAGGCTTTCGCAGAGTACTCATCATTATGCCTTCCATTTATATTGATGATGAATATGGTGATATGGTGTTTGTATACGATTTTTGCAATGGTAATGCTAATGTTGCCTGTCCTGAATATGCCAGGCGATTTCCGAATAGAAGATTACCAAACAAGTCTATCTTTAGCTCCTCGTATAATGTTTTAGAGAAACTGGTACATTTACTATAATACCACGTGCTGATGGTATTTTTTCCTCTTTACGAAATGAAGAAAGGAGTGCATAATAAATATATTACAATATTTTGATGATAATCCATCTGAGTGTACAAAGAGCTGGAGCAGAATTAAATATTATACCAACTACAGTATGGAGAACTCTCATTGCAGATAGACTTCACCCATATCATTATCAACGGGTACAAAATTTATGACTGCAAGATTTTCGGCAAATAAGAAATTTTTCAGATTGGTAGTTAAATCAAGTTGAGCGTAATACACAATTTTCAGGAAAAATTCTCTGGACATATGAAGCTACCTTTACAAGAAGAGGTATCTTCAATCAGAAAAATAATCATCTCTGATCGCAGGAAAATTCCCATGCAATTCGTGAGCATCATTTTCAGCACCAGTTTTAGTACAATGTGTAGTTGAGGATAATAGACAATATTTTAACAGGTCTGCATTTCTTGCCGCCTCAACTCAATGTGGGCACATTTCTGGAATTTCTTAATAATGATTACTATGATTTAGTTGAACATATTCCATACAACAGAGAAGGGGCATGTGGTTTCAATTAGATGATTATCCTGCACATTACAGAAGAGGTTCACGACAATGGCTAAATGTTAATTATCCCAATCAATGGACTAGCAGTGCAGGACCAGTGGCTAGGCTTGCACGCTCTCCAGACCTGACACCACTGGATTTTTGGAGTTTGGAGTGACATTAAACAAAAAGTCTATGCAAGTCCATTCAATACCTTAACTCCTTACGAAGAAGGATAATTGAATCTTGTGAAACAATAACATTTATCCAATGCCCCGTTCTACCACTGCTGCTGTTGAAGAAAGATGCTGAGCCTGTCTTAATGCTCAAGGAAATCACTTTGAACAACATTTAATAAGAATTTAATATTTACATTTAATTAATAAAGTAGTTAGAACAAATAAATAGGTTTTATTTATTTCATATAACGTAAATAATTCATAATAACGAAAATCTTTATGTGTGAATATTTCATAAACAAAGGGTTTGCGGACATACCTTCAGAGGAAATTTTTTTCCTGCTTTGAGGTCCTCAGTTAATATTTTCAGTTTGGCCACTTAATCCTGAAACACCCTGTATAATAGTAGTCCAAAAGTTCGTTCATGCCAATGCGCCCTAGGAGTAAACAAAAAAAAAGAAGATAAAATTTCAACATTTTTTTATATTAATATTTTCTGCCTTAGTCCTATGGATTTTTAGATTATGATGTATAAATCATTTTTTTTTTTGTGTAAAATAAGAAAAACATATTCTGATTGGATTAATTAAATTCATTATTCTTATCAGATTGTATTAATATAATAATTAACAAAAAACAAAAATTCTCGGTTTACTGTAAAAAGTCACTAAGAACAATTTTGGTTGATTTAAACCTGAAAGTACGTAGTTGTTAATTTCGATCATATTTATTGATACAATAACTCATTGAGATCATAAAAATAATACAAATCTTTATATCATTATATAAATAGGCAAACACAAAACGGCTCAGCCCCTTTTTCTCCTCTATTATTCAACTAATTTTCTTCCTTCTTTTTTTGTTTAACAGCTATTGACGAGCTTTAGTGTTATCAATAAATAAAAGTATGAAATAGTGTATGTAAATAAAAATATAAATGGTAGGTAGTTCAAAACAACTTATCTCAAAAGTTTTCCAATGATTTCTTTGAAATTTTGATACATTGCAACCAGATTTAGGAGTGATTTTGCATACATTTCATTATCATCCGGCCTTTCCTTTCACCAAAACGGCTGCAACGATTTTAATGAAACTTAGCTAAAGTCTTCCCCTTGAAACCTTTATAATTTATGTATATAACATACTTTCCCGAAAAAAAGCTGCATAAATTTTTATGATGAATTTCGTATTTTATTTGCAAATAACTCAAAAAGTATGCATTTTTTTATAGATAATACCAATATTTATTTGAAATATTTATTTATTTCAATATTTAATATTTCTTTCTTTCCGAACTCCCTACAAAATAAAAAAAAAAAATCATCAAAATCGGACTATTTCTTACAGAGAGAGATATATCGTTTAGAACATTTATTACTTTTTATTTTGCAATGACGATTTCCATTATTTTGGTTTTTGATAGAATAGGGACTATAATTAGAAGAGATAATATCATTGAATGTTAGTGGAATGTTACCTCATAAATTAAAATTCTATAGTTGTGCTCATTCTCAATTTCAATACTGTACAAGCATTAGTTAATGGAACACAAATGAGAGTGCAGTACTAACGGAAGCTACTTTAAATAAAAGAATTTTAATTCCAAGAATTAATTTAACATATTCTGAGACAATACTTCCATTTGAATTTCAAAGAACAACATTCTTATTAATAGCTGCATTTGCTTATGACTATAATCAAATCGCAGGATCAAAGTTTTAGAAAAATGAGTGTATTATTGCGATGTCCAGTAATTTCACATTGACAATTATATGTGGCAGCAAGTAAAGCACATTCGTTTAAAATTTTGAAATTTATATTCCTAATGGAAATGGGCAAGGTTATATACTAAACAATAACAGAACATTAAAAAAGAACTTTGTTTACAGAGAAGTTCTACATAAAAATTGATTTAAATTGAATTGAAATTGCTAATTAATATTTATTTTTTGCTTGCTTAATTATGCATTAATTTATTGTGATAGTAACACACATAAATTAAAATGGAAATTAAATATTTTTGAATGGGTATATTTTGTATTACTTATAAATAATTTTAATTAGTTCAAGCTCGATTTTTATTTGAAATTGAAATTTTGTTTTTGTTAATAAATGAGGATTTTTGAATCGTGATTTACTCTTTAATTATTGAATTTATTTTTTATTCAATTATATGTTTTCCTCAAATTTTTAATGAATATGGTCGAATTTCGACTACTTTCATGATACATGAACAAGTATATGTTGACATCTATAAAGAGCTAGAGCAGTGGAACATTAAATTTTTAAACAGTTTTTCAAATTACAACAGGAGAAAGGGCCTATAAAAATTTATAACATGACAAAGACTTGAAATTAGATGACAATTACATGACAATATTGAAAATATGACAAGTTTTTAGACAGATGCAGATTCTATTTGAGAATAAAGAGTTTGGAGTTAGAAAGTTTTACAATTGTCTCTGAAAGAAGTGTAGATTTAATAATTAAACATTTTTTTCATATCGTTTGGTGTTGTGTATTTAATAGTATTCTCAAAAAACAATTATGCTGTAAAAAAGTGTAAGCAGAAAAAAAATGCATTACAAGGAGCAATATCAAAAAGCCTGACCAGAACGAAATAAAGCTTTGGCATTTTGCTTCTCTGTTCAGGAGTATTCATTGATGACTAAGTATATCTTCCTTTCAGCTTTGCCTCATAGTTTAGTAGGGTTTTCCAACTAAAGGAATGGATCCTTCGAACTTGCTACATCGGCTTAGAGAAAATGGATGGAGTGCCTGTTAATACCCTATTGTCAATGCAGCAGCTGCAATTATCACTACAATCAAATGAACACAATTGCAAATCGATTAGTTCGTAACACACTGTTTTGGGCTGTACCATCATTTTTTATATGATCGGGTACAGAGAAATGCATGTGCTGGTAAAGGAATTTAGTGGACTGTATGATTGATATAAATTTAATTGTATTTAATATTACATAGAGATGGGGGTTTGAATTAAGGGTTTTACAATATGTTACTTGGCTGTGGCTGCATGATGACTTAGGTCATGGATAACACTGATTGGTACGGTGGTCGGCCGGCTGTCACATTCCCTTCTCACCTCCACGGGTCCGGCAAGTCTCGGAATGTTCTACTCTCCCATGGCAGAACAAGAAAGTAAAGTCTAGAAGAGGGAAGAGAAGTCGTCCTCTCTTGGCTTTAGTCGCCCATTTTCTCCTTGTTTTAGTGCAGACGGCGACACCGTCACTGCAGTGTTACCCCGGCGATGTTTTACATGTACCCCATGAAGGGGGGGGGGTTAATATCAATTTAGGGTGATCTATCCTAAACACACACCTTGCTCAATTTCAGCTTCTATTTCTTCCAAGCTGATGTGCCAAGCTCCAAGGGATGCATTCAATAAGTTGGAATCATTAACAATAGTCACTTCTCATCTAAACCTGTTTTCTACTAAACCAAGAAGCAAAGTGCTGAGGAAGTATGCCCAGTAATCAGCTAATTAAACCAAGACATGGAGCTACCATACGTATGTAAATTTAATATAAGTCTTGAGGTTTATTTATTTGTATTAATATGTGTCGGCATGTATTTAAGTGACAATAACTAAAAGAAACAAAATAACATCAGTAGTACATTCATGGCAACAAATAATAATCTCCAGAAGGTAGCTTTGAAAAATTTACAAAAATTCATTTGGTTGGTTATGGTATTCTATGACTCAAATATTTAATAATTATTTTTTTACTTAGGTACAAGTTTTGGTAAAAGTTCTTCTTCTTTCTCTTCAATCGTTCGTCCTCTTGACCTTCTCTCAATTTTAGGTTCTCCTTTTACTAGTTCTAGAGCTGATCTTATAAGTCCACTTTCTGGATTTAAACGCTCAAGAAGTGACTCTATTAGAAAAAAAAAATACAAGAAAAATGTATTAGAGTTTTCCACCTTCATACTGACTAGAAAACGAATGAAGGAAATTTAAAACATCTATAAACTTAAGACTGTTGAAATGAAATTCTGTAAAGGGAAAATTAATAAACAACCTTGGATCAAGACCAGAACCAGACTTTTATGCAATTGCATATTTTGTTTGCATGCATTATTACAACTGTTGATCAACTATCTTAATTTTGCATTTTTGATGATAAATAAGCATTCATCTAGGGCATAGAAAAGGGCACAAGATCAAGAAAAAGCACAGTGTTTCAAAAATGTTTACCGAAATATTCGAACAATTTTAAAGACAATATGTTAAATTTACGACATCTAATTCGAAATGTGGCCGTTTATGTTAAGTGTAAGGTGTCTTAAGTTGTCAGGCTAAGAAGTGGAAAAGGTTCCCTTTCACTGATAGGTTACTTATTGGACAGTTCAAATTTTCTTGTCTATGTTATACACATAATCTACATTATACAAATATAACATAAAATATTAGAATTCACTATTGCTATTTTACACTGTTGCTTAGTTATTATTTTGATGCTGAGTAATTGTGAAACAATATGCTGCCAGCTGATCTTATAAAGAAAACCTGTCTAATGACCAATCAAACCTACACGAATATTTTTCTGCCAAATAGTACCAATGTTCAAACCAAAAGATATTGTGTTTGATAACTTCAATTGCTGTAATTCAAGAGGGACAGTTTGCGGGCAAGTACAGCACCCTAAAAAAATATTTAAAATGCAGTTGTAAAGTAAATATTTCAAGTAGGTTTGTGGCAATTTCCAAATAAATCATATGGTTTGGTGTAGTAAGTGTCAAAGAAAATAAATTTAGGAAGAACCTTTTAAAACCTTCTCCTTATTTCTCTTCCACCCATTTGCCTCTTAGCGTGGGGGTGCTTCCAGCCATCGGTTCCATGCATCCCTGTTGCTGGCAAGGTTCCTCATCTCTTCCAGGGTCTTCCCTCTTCGTCTTCAAATTCGTTCCAGATGGCTAGTGTATGAGGTTCTTGATCGCCCTCTCAGTCTTCTACCCACAGGCCTCACCTCCAGGGTTTTAACTGGGTCTCTTTGGTGATCCAACCGGTAGACATTAGCTCCTCCCTGATCCTGTCATTTCGGACACAGCCTCTCCGCATTTTCCCCACAATTCTTCTAAGGAACTTCATCTCAGTGGCAGTAACACAGCTTTGTAATCTCTCATTCAGGATACAACCCTCTGCTCCATAAAGAAGTACAAGTACAGACTTGAACAGATAGAGCTTCACATCCTGTCCCACTTGTTTTTTCCCAATTATGGTATTGCATATTGTATAGTAGACGGAATTTGCTTTTGATATTCTGCTTAAGACTTCCGAATCTATTTTTCCCGACCTATTGATTACTGTACACAGATAGGTAAAGTCTGTCACCACCTCCATCACCTCTTCATTACAGATGATCTGAATATCCTCTTGAGTTCTGGCGACTTAAGGTATTTTGCTTTTTTGGGAATTGATGGTCGTTTCCCTCCTCTTTAATTGATCATTCCACTCTGTTACTGACTGCTGAAGTTGCTCGGGGGAATCTGCAATAAGAATGATGTCGTCTGCAAATAGGAGAAACTGTACAACTACAGGAAGCAAGTTCCAATGGCCGATGTGCTGTGTGCCTTTTGTAGATGGAGGCGATCTCATCCATATAGACAATGGAAAGAAGAGGGCTTAGGGAGTCGCCTTGTTTCACTCCTTTTTCGAGACTAAACACTCCTGATTCTTTTCCATTTAGGAGTACAACACCTTTCGGCTCTTGAAAAGTCGTTTTATAGCCTTTAAAAGCTTTAAGGGATGTTTTTCGCTTTCAAGGATTCCCAAATTTCATTCCGGAGAACCAAATCGAGTGCTGCCTTCAAGTCTAAGAAGGCGAGATAACGATTTCGGTCTCTGTCCCAGAACTTCATCAAGGGGGCGACCAAACTCTTTCCATGCTTTCCTTTGATTCTCTTACAGTAACTTTTACCCTGTTCCTATAAACTTTGTAAAGTTTATATTTGTCTTGGCTTCTTTCCATACAGAACATTTTCCACAAGATTTTCTTTTCCTTTACAACAGCTCTAAGTTCTTCACTCCACCAGTCCGAACGTTTCATTTTGACTGACGCTTTTTTCACACCACATACTTTAGTCGCTGATTCCAATATGGCTGCTTTCAGTTTCAGCCATAGTTCATCTAAGCTTTCATCAAAGTTTAGTTTATGCAGCCGATTCCTTAGCTCGTTCTCATAATTCATTTGTTTCTGAATATCCTGCAGCTGTTTTATTTCAACCCTTTCATAAGCTTTTGGCTGAGGCTTTTTTGTAGAAGGAATTCTGCTATCTGCGATCAACAACATGTGGTCACTCCCAATTTCTGCACTTTCGATTCCGGATGACTTTGATGTCTGTGAAGAAGCTTCTGATTTCCTTTGTATACAGAAAGTAGTCAATTACATATTTAACGTTTCGTTCCTGTGCTGAATGGATTATTTTATGAACCACTTTATGCGGATAAAAGAAATTGCCTATGACAAGATCATTATATATGCAAAATTCTATTAGTCACCTTCCATTGTTGTTCATTGTTCTTTCGCGTCCATGTGGGTCTATACAACCATGGGCTCTTCTGTGGTCACATCCAGTCCTTGCATTGAGATTTCATTTTACATTTTTGAGTAATTTCATTTTAGTGATATTTTTAGTTGGAAAATTGATAATATCTGTACAGACAGTGAGTAAGTTGATTCCAGAGTAGATGATTGCAGGGTAGAAATATATCTATGAATAAAGGTATACATTTTCTTATTAGAAATATCACTAAAATTAATAATAAAAATGGTGAAAATGGAGTTAGTCATTCTGTCAACTGAAAAGGTCAGTTAATACTTCATTACTTAAATCTATTAATGAGGCAAAAGTTATTAAAGATTGTGTGTTTTATCAACTTGTAAACATTACTTGAAATATTTTCAGCAAAATAGTTCTTAAACAATTTCAGAAGGATAATTCGATGCATTCCAGTTGTCAAGCTTAAAAATAATTGTTATGTTTCTAGTTAATTGAGAAATTTCTTTTAGTTTCTGTGGAAACATTTTGCTTTCATTAAGTAATATTAGTTTCTATTAGATTGTTGGAAATCTAATGGTGCACATGAAACATCCAGTCAAGTGAAAATGATTCTCATCACTGAAAAATCCAAGAGCGTCTTGAGGGAGGTGTTCAAGAAGTGCTCCACACTTATTTTTTTAAGCATTAAAGAATTCATTTCAATGAACTATTGAGAATTCCAAGAGCTCACCTATTTGAGCATCAAACGACGTGAATATTGGAAAAATGACACCCTTACTGCTTCTATGTTTTTAGGTGATCTGATGGGCTACCTACTTCTTTTTTTTCTGCACATAATCTGTTTTCCTGAATGTTGTGACCCACAAAAGAATTGATTTCAGATTCCGGACAGGATCCAATTAGGTTCCGTTGGAAAAATAAGCCTAAACCACAAGGTCCCACAACTTTAGGATGCCCTCTCTGAAACGAGACCATGTCCATCTGCCTGAGACTTCTCTAAGTTCCGGAGCACTCATCTCAAAAAAGGAAGTCAGCTAACTGCACTCTGTATTTTTCTAATTTCAAACTATTGAAGAATATGTGTTTAGAACTTTCTTCCTTTTGCAACACAATCACTCCATCTCGAGAAATTTCATAGAATACAGCAGAAAAAAAGGATCTTCAGACATTGAAAATTTCATAATTTAATATGAAAATGGTTAGGCAGTAATATATAAAAATTGTATTTCTTTAGAACAGAATAAATGAATGAATATATTTTGACTGACTTCCAATATAAATTACTAATTCTTAAAGACAAGTTTGAACTCCATTAAGAACTTTTTCTCATGGCAAAAGTTAAATTTTTTCTTTTCATTGAGAAGTTTTAATTTTTTAGTAGGTCATTTTCCACTTCTGTCAACATGAAAGAATTATTAACAAAAATAATTTTAAAGGAAGTAAAAACCTGCCATATTAACCTATTAAAATTTTTAGATATTTAAGTAAATATTTGTTTAAAAAAGAACCATACAGGGTAGCCGATTAAAAAGAGTTATATCCACTAAATAGATTCTATTTGGTCATTCAGGTGATTTAATAGTTGTTGAAAATTTGATATACTAAATAGATTTTTTCAAATAAAACAAATTTTTCACTTATACGTACAAGCATTTTAAATTAATTAATAGAAAATTAAATTAAATAAGCAAATAAATTTAAAATTGAATATGGAATACCTGATAAATGATTTGAAAGTTTCTTCCATTGAGGCCATGTATCAAAAGGATATGGTCCTAAAAACTTGTCTAATTCAAATAAATTGGCTTTAAACCGTTCTATTTCTTCATTTTTAATGCCTAAATACAAAGTACTTTAATATATTCAAAACACAGAAAAATTTATTGAGCACTGCATTGACTTACATTCACTACTGACGTCTTCAGCATCAAGGTCCCATTTTTTAACAAGAAATTCATGTTTCTTAAAATTATGCATAAATGAAACTTTTGGGGATATGTCACCATATTTACCTATTGTACTGAAATTCAAAATTTAATAAATCAAATTAGAAAAAAAACATACATAACGTATATTACTAAATAAGAACAAAATAAGGTATAAATTGTGTTAATTACTAACAAGAGACGTTAGTTTCCACAGTCAGAGGCCTACAAATAAATATGTGCAACTTGATTTGGAATAACATGTAATACCTGATCACTTTATAAATCACTTATTTTATTATTATAAAATTCATTATTAGATTTTTAATTGAAAGAAGAGGAAACTGCAAAGCGATACCAAGTAGAAGCTGAAAATTTAGTGAAAGAGACTCAAGTGGAAAGGCAATCAGACAACATCAAAGATTGCTGGACTGCATTCTGCAAGATTTTTCTCTCTGCGGTGGACAGCTCATGTGAATATGGAGGAATGGAAGATCGTACAAACAGAGAACCATGGTTGCCACAAGAGCTGAAGGAGAAAATAAAGCAGAAAAAAAATGTATGGAAGCTTTACCTTGCCACAGAAAAGCCAGTGGGTTGTGATGCTTATAAGAATGAAAGAAAGTTTTTAAAGTAAATACAGCAGTAATCCAGGCAAAGAAGAATTTTACAAGCCGTTTTTGAAATAGTGACATGCTAAGGAAAATATGTTAGCACAGATGGAGTGAGAAAAAATTGATATAAGAATATTTAGGTATCACATTGCATGATGTCTGAAAATGTTAACAAAATTATATTAAGGGTGGTAGGTGATATGGTCTTAATATGGTTTTTACAAAAGACAGACCAACACGGAAACAAAATAAATCTGTCCCTTGATGTTTTAAACATTAAAGGTGAGTAGAAATCTCGGTTCTATGGATAGTCATTTATCTTTTCAATTCCTAAATGAATTTACAACTCCCATACGTTGGTGTAGTTCAGAAACAAAATCATAGGTATATCACAATTCACCGACTGCATGAATTTTTCAGCTAATTTTAAGTAGTTCTCTCATAAATCTATGTTCATTTGAAACATAGCATACACAAAACTATAGTAAAAAAAAAAAAACTTGACAAGGAATCACAATGCATGATATTTAATTTGCAACTGTAACATTTATGACATATATAAAATACTCATTAGATTTTTATATTAAAAAATTCTCTTTTTTCAACCAATCATTTTAGAAGTCCAGCATGAACTGAAGGTGAAAACTTGACCCTTAGGATTAAAATGAAATTCTTTCTGCCTTTTCAAATTGAAGGAATGTTGCGATAATGGTCATGACAATCATGAGGTTATGGATACCTATGAACTGGTGGATATATCTTGTTCAATATATCTTGAAAAATTTCCTTTGAACTAACTGAAAACTACCTATAAACTGGTGGATATATCTTTAAAAAACTAAAACCCTAAAGAGCAAAACCTTAGTGTTCACTAAATAAAGTCCTTCAAAAGATATATTAAACTTTTTCTAAATTCCAAACACACCTTTTCATGGGGATAAATGGGTGTTCCAAAAAATTACATTCAATAATAGATATTCATGGCATTAATCTATCTTAACAGTTACATGTAGGCCACACCAATTATCACTTTCCATCATGTTTGCAGTCATTTTAATCACTTAATATGAATCAAAGAGATTTATCATACTTTCCATAAGTCTGATCAGTTGAGAGCTACAAAATTTTGAAACAGTACGAAAGCGAATGTACACTTTTTTTTAAATGAAAAATTATAACTTAACTAGTTATAATAGGCTAAAATAATAAAATTCCATATCTGTATAGTATAATCAATGCTCAAAAAAACATTAAGATCTTTAAAGCAGGATAAAATATTAGGTAACTGTAACACAAATGATTTTCGATATACCTATAATGAATTATGTGAATTCCTGGAGGAATCATTTTCACTCCTTTAAATTTATCTCCAGTGTTCCATGATTTTAAGTCAATTCCAAATTCTGTCCCAACTGGAACATCCAAGAAAATCATAGTTGCTCCCTCAACCAACATTCTTTTAGCTAATTCCTGATCTATTTCCTGGTCCATTTCTATATCATATTAATTTTCATTTAGTATAAATTAAGAAATTAACAATTGACAGAGTAATCAAAGATATTTTCGATATTTAAATAACTTCGGAAGATAATATTTGTAGTGGTTCGGGTTATGAATCATAAGCCAAGGAGGACTGTAGGCACTAAAGTACGCTAAGTGAGTTCAGAAGACAACAACATTGCGCTAAGGAGCAATCGATATTCTATAGCAATCGTAATTGAAGATCCAATTACTTCGTAAATATAATGTGAATTTTAACTATTTTTTTTTCCCTTCCCTTCCTCGCCGTTAAGGCTATACGGGATTGTGCCGGGCCTGGGAGTGTGAGCGGGGATTTAAAAGACTCCCCCGGCACCGGGACGCGAACTCGTGACTATTTTTATATCTTTGATTCATTTATCAGGTTGCCGGGCAACGGCGGTGCAGTGCATACGCGTTAGCCCATTCGGCCACCCCGCCCACTAATTTTAACTAATGTGGACAGTTCATTCCGAGGAAGACTGGCTACATTAAAGTAACGTAAAATTACGCTTAATATGGCCTGTTCCATGTTTTTCTCCCTATTGCATGGCTTGGAAGTTCCTCCAAATTGAAACCCTCCCCCAAAAATATGGCTCCCTTCAAAAATTTCCCTTTCCGGATAATATTTTGTCTAAATGTGCCCCCTCAAAAATGTTTATGACCCAAGGTGCGTCATACAACGTTCTTTTGGGCAGCTCTGACGTAAACTACAAAAATCTTCAAGGAACGCTACCTCACTACTGGGTACATTCACAAAAAAAAACATTATTATAATTTTTATCATGAAAATTTGACAATAAAAGAATAAATGTATTAATGTTAACCAATTTATACTTTTTTGTGTCAAGCAGTTTATAGTAATTAGACTAGTGCTTATATATGGTTCAGAGAGTTTAAGAACCCAACAACCCAAGACGATAAGAACCCAAGAAGTAGCTCTTCTTCTATTTGCCCCTTTTTAAAAAGACATTTGACGAACTTCTCAATAACAACCAGCAGTGGCGAATGCGAACGAACGATGATTTAGTTGTATCAAACGCCGATATTTGTGAGGTTAATAAAGATTGGCAAATTAAGATGGGCTGGACACGTTTGTGGGATGCATGGGGAATATATATTGAGAAAGTTATTAGAAGAGCGAATTTTCGCAACAACATGGTAGGCAGACCAAAACTTAGATGCCTAATGGAGTGGAAGCAGATGCCTTACATATCTTTGGTGTTCATGATTGGAAGCAGTGTAAAACTGCTGATGTCAGACTCTTCTACACAGGAAGAGACAAGGACAAAGCAACTTGCCAAATCAAAAGGCCTATTTGTTTCCTCCCTATAATGAGCAAGGTATTGGAAAACCTGGCGGTCTTGAGCCTTCGGTCAGTCTTATCAAGACCGAGCCATCCACGGCAATATCGATCCACTAAAGGCAAGGGAAACGCAGATGCCATATTGAGAGTGCGTCCTGGAGTAGAAGAAAGAGCGGAGAGGTATGTTATGCTTCTCCTGTTTGACATATCCTCTGCATTTTACAGCGTGTGGTGGCCGAGTGTTCTCCAGAAACTCCAGAAGTATGAAACTCCTAGTAAAATATATGACCTAATGAGAAGCTACCTCCAGAACCTGTCAGTGAAAATTAGGGGCAGATTCTTTGAAGTAGAAGCTTCCGTCGAGAGGAGCTTCCCGCAGGGATCTGTTCTGGGTCCTGCCTTGTGGAAGCTAGTCTTTGACGAGTTTCTGGAGAAGCTCGAAGAGGAGCGGTTCCCTGCCACGGCCTATGTTGACGATTTTGCCACCGTGGTGGCCTCAAACAGCATAGCCGGTCGAAAAGCAGAAGCTGAAATATGCACCAGTTTGGTAGGAAAATGATGCGAGAGGAAGAAGTTGAAGATGGCTGCAACAAAGACCCAGGCTCTTGAGGGGCATGACTGACAGTGCACATCATATTACGTTGAGTATATAAGAAGGAAGGGCATGTCCAAGTGAGGTTGTCATCTATCTTGGCATAAACATTGGTCAAAAGTTCAACGTGACTCCTCACCTGGACTATATAAGAACTAGAATCACAGTGGCACTAAATGGATTCAGTCGTGTCGGAGGCTCCTTCTGGGTTCTCAGATACCCAGCTACAATGACTATATACAAAGGAGTAGTTTTGGGTATTCTGAGATATGCGTTCCCAGCCTGGAACCTAAACCTCTCGCACCGACAGAAGAGTAGGCTAGCATCGATTCAGAGATTGGCTTTACTTCGGGTCACTAGAGCCTATAGAACGGTATCTCATGAGGCTGTGCAAGTACTGGCAGGGGAAACATCTCTCGACCTCCTCCTACGAGAAGATTATTTCCTGTTTAAAATGAAAAGAGAAGGTTCGGCGGATCTACCGGAACATCTAAAGATGAGAATTGAAGAAGACCCAAGAAAATGGAAAATAATTAAAAGGGAGGACACAGTTGATCAATGGAACCGGCAATGAATGGCAACTCCAAAGGGGGCTACCCTAAGAAATTACTTCCCCACGGTGAAGGCACGATTAGATGCAAGATGGGTCGTCCTGGATTAGTGGGTGCCTCAACTCCTCACGGGACGCTTTCGAGCGAAGCTCGTTAAACATGGAAAGAATATTGATCCGCTATGCCCCAACTCCAACATTTCGGAGACCACCGAACATGTGGTCGTTGAATGTACTGGCTGTGAGGCACTAAGAGCTAAGCTCCTGAGAGAGACGGGGATATGTACGCTGACCAAGAGCATGTTCCCCCAGCTAATGAGCAGAGGGAATTACCCACATTATAGGGAATTCATATAAGGGTGGAAAGATGCTGTAGGCCTTACACATTTTAATTTTAGAAGAAGAGAAGGAAGTTAAGAGAAGCTGCAGCTGTTTGGAGGACCGCCTTCAGGTGGAAGAAGGAGGAAGAATGGAGAAAAGGAAAAGCGTCGGCTTGTGCACACAAACAAGTCTATACCTCATAAATAATAATGTTAAAAAAAAATTAATTAAATAGTCCTATACTGCCAGCAGTGGCATACTGCACTTCTCAGGGAAGACAGATGGTTGAAGTGATGGAAGGCTCTGACTCTATAGGGGTTGTAGTGCCACCAAAGAAGAAGAAAAATATATAAATATTTAGTTATTGCAATTAAAGCTATTACCCTTTTTTTTATGTAGTTAAATGTAAAATAATTGTTGGAAGATAAGATTTGGGTTTCATCTATATTTTCCTTATGAAGGGTAGAATTCAACTCTGTTTTCAATTTTATTATTTTTGATTAACAGTTTTAGTACTCGATTATCTTGATCCGAAATTCTAAATCTTGAATTTCTAAATATTTTGAGCTACAACCAACCGTTGTCAAGGTATTAAAAAAAAAGACCTAGGGTGAACACACCAGTTATGGACAGGGGCTCCAGTAATAAATAGATTGGACTTTAAATTTAAATAAGAAGCTTTCTTGATGATTTAAAGGTTTCAGTTTTTTCTAGATTGAAGAACAACGTCCTATACTGACAACTATATGAACAAAGTTCCCAAAAGAAAATTTTAGAACACTATAATTGTTGTTTCTATAGTGCTCTTGAGATCAGTGTGTTTCACATCTTCTTACTAACAGTTTTGCTAAGAGTAAGTTGAACATTTATGTTATATTCTCTTTATAGTTAAATAAAAGTTTTAGTATTTTTCTGAGGTATATCCATTACTGGTACCGACCACTTGACCATTACTAGAATAATTGAATTTCAGAGTGTCCATCACTAGTGCAAACATTTTTTTTTTTAAATGGTGATTATACCTGCATAACTGAATATTTTAAGTGTTAAATAGAAAAAGGAGACCGTAGAGATTCTAAATGTCATATGGAGAGTTTTTTCACTATAATAACTACGTCAACTTAAGCCAAAAAAGACAAAAATTTCCTTAGCTATGTCCATCACTGGTGGCTTACCCTATTTCCTTTTCCTATAGATTTGGAAACTTTAACTATGTTAACTTCTAAACCTTAAAAAAAAAAAAAGTCAATTTTGGGCACTATTTCTGTCTACACAACTTCCTGTTTTTCACATATACTAATATATTTTTCTTAAAAAAGGTTCTAGTACTATCTTTTTAAATATATGATTGCAAATTGTAACTGGATATTAACAAGATACTACAATATATCTTTACACATTTCTTTAGGATTCATGCTACACTTCAGGATGGTTTTATTAATAAAAAAAAAAATATCCACTTTAAGTAAAATAAAAATAAATCTTTATTTTCAAGTTTATAAAAATGATGCACAATTCAATGGCTATCAGAAACAAATCTTTGATTAAATCCTGCATATCTTATAAAGTAATTTGATACTTGATACAGGAAATAACATTTTCAACTATAAAAACAAACAACAATTGTTAGTAAAGCTATGTCATAATTTACTTAAATATGCACTTTAGAAGAAAGAATAATCTAATTCTGGAATTTCAAATATTTTATAATCAATAGGTGAATAAAATTTTTGAGCAACCATAGTAGAATTTAGAATATTTTTTTATTTTACAGTTTAAAATACATGTTGAAAGTCTTATCTATTAGTTCACTTTACCCTTCTTACAGATCAGTTCTTAAAGTGAAAGCAGCCATTGACTTAAAAAATTATCATTTTGACAATCGATTACACCAATGTAACCACAAATATTGCATTTGCTAGGCAATCCTTTGTGCAAAATCACAGCCTTAATTAAAAATTATAAACAGTTTTATCGATTAAATTAATATATAAAAAAAGATGGACATTAAATAAAAAACTTCCTCATTAAACTTTGCAGCTTTTCCTTTTGTAATTTACTGCATATTTGTTGATATATAAGAAATAGCATAACCTCATTCAACTTGAATGTATGACATGTATCCTTCATATTTTAATTTAAATAGAACCATTTAAAGATTTTCCACCTTAACTTTAATTGAGAGAACGAACTGTTATGAAAAAAAAACAACTGATTATTTAGATGATTTGTGGAGATCCTTTCTTTATTTTTTTAATTAGTGAATAAATGAACCAATTTGAATGTAAAGTAAGACATTAGAATTCAGCAATTATATGTATCTATAGGGGAAACAGATAGAAATATTACATTAACCTCATTGAATAAAATAAGGACTATGACATATGTTTTTAATTTTTAGGTCTTCACATTTTTCAACAGTCAATATTAACAAAATAGAATCCACAAAAAGATAGTTTAAAGGATTTAAAAGACTGACAATAGATATCAATCAACATTCTTTTTGTTAATTTGTTCCTTTTGATTATTAAACAAACTTAACAGATGATTATAAATAAGACTAACAGTAGAATTCTTTGGTTTATGCTCAACTGTATTTTGATCAGTTAAAAATACCTCAACATACCAATTTGAAAAAAAAAAAGAGAAAGAAAGAAAATCTATATTATGATTTTTAGGAAACAAGCAATATAATTATCATTTAAAATTGAGGATAATGAAAAATTGAAGGAAATAAGTTTTCCAATATTTAATCTTCATATATCAACGGAAAACCATTAGGAGACTGTAACCAGTTCTCTGGTGAATATTTTGAAGATACATCCATAATATGAAAAGTATAAGCATGTCTTGACTTCGATGACTTATTTGGATCACTTTTATGGACAACATTACCATGAATCACGACACATGAACCTGAAAAATAAATATAAACTCATTAAACTTATGCATAACTTAATGGTATGTAGGTGAAGATGGTTAGTATCATTTGGTAAATAATAATTGAACAACGTGTAAATTACTATGTAACCAGTTTTACATAGATATTTATATAAATTTTTTGAGAACTAGGGAGGTACCCCATCTCTGCTTGATGGCGGACCAACCCCATTTTACAAATTATACAACTATTCAGTTCATTAGAATTTTTAATTTACATGTATTCTGTAGTTCAGACTGAATTATTTTTTATCAACAAAATAAACCACAGTATGGACAAATTTTTAATTTCTTCAAAAATTTATATTATACATTGGGTTGTAAATTTAGATTATTATATAATGATAATTATTCTTATTGACAAATAGTAATCATAATACATATTCAAGTTGCTCAGATAAACCCAACGATTTGATCCTTATATTTCTAATATTTTCATTATCCGTTATATTGTGCTTTCTTTTCTGTTACATAATAATTATAAATATATCACAATATAATATAAATAATATTATATATGATATAATAATTAATGTATAATATAGTAATTAATATATTGCATTGAAGGGGAAATGTATAGATAAAAAATAACTGTTGTCATCTAGGTACAATTACCACCTCCAGATGTGTAAAAAATACCATTTCCCATTAAAATTTTTAGTCTAAAATCTTTATTTTGTATTAGGAAAGCAGAAGGTTACAGAAGCTCAATAGATATGTTGTGTCAGGAGGTTACAAGTGCTCAACACATATATAATTAAATGAACAACTGTGTAATTAGTGCTAATTATACAGCTAATAGGAGAGCTCCTATAATCTCCTACTCTCCTAATACTAAAATAAAATAAAATATTACATACACTAAAAACTTTTTTATATAATAGAGAGAAATATTGTTTTTTATTGCCAAATTTGAATATTGATAAATAACATATTTTTATTTGGAAAATGTTCCACTAAATCCCCCTTTAAGTGATTCTTGAAGTCCTACTAAATTATTACATGAACAATAATACTTTAAGAGATAATTTTTTTATATTTTTTATCATAAAGCTGGTTATATTTTACCATTTGGAGAGGAGGGGGGAAGTGGAAGCTACAGCCCGAAAGATTTAATATAACCATCACAAGTTTTGTCCGCTTCATACGAGCAAGAAGAATTGAATGGTTGGGTCTCGTAACACGGATGAATGAAGTGAGAATGCAAAAAAGAATTCTGCTTGGAAAGATGTATGGCACCAGAAGGAGAGGACGACCTTGGAGACGTTGGATTCAGGATGTGGAAAGGCACCTGGAAAATCTTGGTATAACGAACTGGAGGAGGAGAGCGTTGTGCAGAGAGGACTGGTGCAATGTTGTCAGGAAAGACAGGGCCCACCCCGGGCTGTAGAGCTACGTAGTAAATAAGTATCATAAGTGTCACACATAATATTTGTGTTTCAGATTCAATTTCAATTAAAAAGTAACTACTTAGGTAATATAGAAATATATTGGTAAAATAGAACTTGTTTTGACAAGTATTATAGAAAAAAAATGATCTAAGGTATTCTTTATCCAGAATGAAATAAGCACAACTAAAAATTTTTAACATCAGAAATTTTAATAGTTGGTTTTTGAACATCCCAAAAAGCAAACTGCCCTCAAATATCAGAACAAACCAATAGATATGATAACTGATCTATCAGCATTATGTGTTGAAGGAAACACCTTGAGGCTTTCCATGTAGAACATAGACAGTCCATATTTTCACTATAGGTTTATTTGCACAAGAAAATATGTTTTAAGTTGTGCCCTTTTCATTCTGGATCTGCTATTTGCACATGCTAAATATATTCAAACCATGATAGATACCCTTTTTTGTTTGAAAAGGAATAAAAGCTGATGAAGGATATATAACAGGAGGCCTGTCATAAATCAATAATTCATCAGAGTTCTCTTCAGAATTTCTGATATATCTCCTATGCACACCATTCTCATGAGACCCAGGAATGAACCATAAGCAACCATTCTCTGTAAACAAATTTTAATATATAAATTAAACTATTTAAATATAATATTATATTGAAAATAAACAATAAAGTAAGTAACCAAATAACACTAAAAAACTCAAATTACAGGGATATACAAGTATACATTTCGTTACTTTGTTCTAAATTTATAGTGAAAAATGGCATACTTTTTATTAGAATTTATGTATATGTGCATAGCCCTAATATTTACATTTTCTTGGAAATAATTTAAGCAATCAATAGGTTTTAAACATAAATTTTAGTAAGAAACATTAAGTTTGTCACTTATAAATACATATCAATTCCTATGACGGAGATCTGGGAGGAAAACACTGTGTCATAACCACTTTACCTGAAGAATATTTGAAAAATCATTATTTTTAAGTTTTTCATTTTTATTATTAAAATGTGGTTTTAGGAAATTGTGTTTGTTACAATACATCCCATATCACGGAAAAACAAGAAATAGAAGCTTTACAACAGTTAATTGTAGTCATTTTTACTGAAAAAATGGTACTTTTACGTGACAGACTAGAAAATCACATCATTAAATATTTCCTTCTATTTACGAGACACTCTGTGTATACACAATTAACAAAAAAGTGTATACTTTTTGGGTGATCAAATAAACTTTTGGTTTTCTTGATTAAATGCAATGGTTCATTATAGAAAACCAAAAATCTTATGAGTCTCCTTATAGGATCATAAAAAAATTGAATGATACAGACATTAAGGTGTTTATTCATAGAGTTAATCAAATGAACTCTTGCAATCGACTGTATTTGTTGAAAGTACTCCAGATGTCAGTATTACAAACCTCAAAAATATATTATATGATTTACCTAAACCACTAGTTTTCGGAAACGAAGGCAACCAACGTTACCAATTTCCACAAAGTATACATGTTTACTGTTGAACATTTATTTATCCATTATAATATCAATAAGATAAGGCAGTGTAATCAGAATTTTTTAAATAATATATTACCTATTATGTAAGCATCTCAAAAATTCATAATTAATTTTTTGTATATATTTGTTCACTCCATAAACCAATTAAAATAACTTTAGTTGTCGATTTTTACAGTTTAATAAAGATTTTAGAATTTCTCTAAGGTATGTCCATTACTGGTACCGATTTCCTGTCCTTTATTAGAACAATTGAATATTGGGGTGTCAATCATTAGTGCAAAAAGGTGTATTTTTTTTTTTTAAATGGAGATTATACCTGCAAAACTGAATATTTTTTAAATTTTAAAGTGTTAAATAAAAAAAAAGAGACCCTAGAGATTCTAAATGTCCAACAGAGAAATTTATAGTTATAATAATTACGTCAGCATTAGCCAAAAACGACAAACATTTCCTTAGTTATGTACATCACTGGTGCGCTTACCCTACAGCCAATTGCCGGAGGGTGCTGAGCTGGAGGGATGCCGGCCGGCCACTTGTTATGAATAAAAAAAGAATTTATGTAAGAATAAATAATATTAGCCTATTAAAAAATTAACTGAATTAGACACAAATCGAATTAAATTAAATTGAAACATTACTTCACGTATACCAGTTAAGAAATGAAATATATAGTAAAGGAAAGTACTGCGATCGTAAACATTTTTCAACGGAAATAGAAGTTTTGAGGTCCCCTGAGTTCAAATAACCAATTCATGCAAAATGGTCTGAGTGTGTGTGTGTGCAGTCTAGCTCAAAAACGAAAAGTCCTATGAAAGTGAAATTTCATATTTAACATTTTTATATACTAGGGATGTTACAGTAACCTTTTCGTCAAAATCTACTGACCGGAAGTGGCATTTTATATCATGGGCTAAACACATTTGTACAATCTCGAAAACAGCTCGAACGATTTTGATTAAATTCATTATATCAGTGCAAAATTAGACATTTTAAAATAAAATGTAGTTTTTATTCTGATTGATGTTCTCTAACAGGGCTTAAATGGCTAATTTTCAATATTAGCTTTCTGTAAAGTACCTTTATTTTTTTTATTTGAAACTATTGACTATTTCAATTTAATCTCTAATATAAAAGATAGTTAAGTATAAAATATGAAAGAATTTAATAATTAACTAAAGGAGAAATAAAAAATCGTAACGGAGAATAATTGATCGCACCCGAGCTCGCCCGAAAGACTATAACAGGCTTCCATAGTAAACATGTTAATCCATATTAATCCATGAGCTTAATATAATATAGACTCCGACAATATTATATAAATATACATATGCGGTTTTCATAAATACTATTGTTGGTATTATTTAATATTTAATTATATAGATTACACCGATATAAACATTAAAATTTGTATATATAAGGGTACTTATACAAATAAAAATACCCACAATAAAATATAAATAATTATAGCGTCTATAATTTTTACTTTCACTTCTGCTTTGTCTGAAAATACTTATTTTTGCTATGAAGAGGTTGGTAAGTGAAATTTGTGTGATGCGAGAACCATATTTTTTTTTATGGGAGCGAGGAGATGACGCCATTGCCTGGGGCTGACAAATGTCTAAGCTGGCACTATTTACTTCGCTCGTTCCACAAATAAAGAACCATCCCCAATGGTGTTAGGATGTGAAATAATAAACATATATTTTAAAAAAAAAAAAATTTACATGAAACATAATTCAGAAAATTGTATAGAGTATGAAAATAAATAAAGCTCGCAGTTTTTCGTTTCACAAAACATCATTTTTCACTTCCGTTGAATATTTAATTCGGTACTAAATGGCGTCAGTGACTATTTTATTAACTCAACCAGTTCATTGATTTTTTTTTTCTGATTCTACCGCAAGATAAAGTATCAAGTTCAAGAACGAAGGCTGTCGCTCGAATTCCTACATCAAAGACGAATGTTAACGCCCATAATCCAATACCAAGGACGAACGATTTCGTCGCACACTGTCGCCGTTGCACATTTTATATAGTCGCATAGCTTTAAGTTAATCAATGATAGTTGGTAGTTTCTCAATGCTTTTTTCTCATTTCTCTATGCTAAATAAACATATAATTATGTTTCTTGAATTAATTAAATGACCTTTTCTTTTTAGGATTATTTTTCTTAAAGCTTATCAGCGTATCAAATTTATTTGGAAATTCAGTTGCGTAATCGCCAACAGGTGAAACTGAATCACTAGAAATAAAATACTTCTCAAAGTTTTTATGACCTGTGATAGTTAAGAAATTGAATCAACCAACTGTACCTATTCCTATGTACTAATTTTAGCACACCACACAATACCAATGTGTTCATATCTGTTCATAATACTTAATATTGTATAACTAGAAACATTACTTGTATAAGTTATTTGTTCTATTTAAAGTAAGCACAACAAATCTAGGTATAGTTAAATTAAAGAATTATTAAAAAGTCAATTATGATCATTATTAAAGAGATGATAAAACATGTTTAAATTACTTTAAGAATAGTATTGTAACATAAATTAATTGATTAGCAGCTCAAAGGAATTAAGTTTCTTCTGATTCTTGTCAAGGGTTTATTCTTAATGTGAAAATGCATGTTAAAGAGAGGAAATTATTGTGCCTACCTGTCCATTCATTACCTATTTCATATCATATTAGTATAAATCAACACCTCCTCATTTTATTGTATTTTAGAAACTTTTATATTAATATTATGTAATTGTGGTAAACCTTATATAATATATTTTTAGAGCTATCACTATATATTACTTTCACTTTTTTCTTTTTTGTATTCAAAACAGATGAATTAATTATGCTGATAACTTCAAGCAGTTACCTGGGAGCATCTGTCTATCCTTCCTTCGTCCATGTGCTATTTGTAGATAAAATAATTATAAAGTATAAGCGTAAACACTAAAGTAAAGTATAAAATAATTAGAATGCAATGGAATTATATACTCACCTAAAGTGGCATCATCTAAAGGAAACCAAAGTCCGATTAATGAATTAGGTTCAGTAAATAAAAATGTAGCGTCTTGGTGTGGAGTAACTAAAATAAAAATATAATTTTTAATATTTTCAGGGTTATGATAGATAAAAACTAAAGAAGTAAAAAAATAAAAAAATCTGGTGTGTCTACTCACACGACTTTCCTACCAATTTTAGACATATTTAAGCTTTGTAAGCAATTAAAAATTATTAAAGGTACTGATTTGAATGATAATTAATAATCAGTACCTTTGGAATATGAGCAAAATATTTTTGTAATACTTTAAAAAACATGAATATGGAGTTAATCTCACTGTATATTTGCTTATAATGGTAATTTGCTATAAACTGTTAACATCTTGAGTTATACGGTGAAAAACAATTTTCTTTGTTATAACTTTTTCATGATTTTTCTTGAGTATGTATTACATATATAAAATTTAAAAGGGCTTCAAGGTGAATACTAGAGGTAAGCCCATCAAAATCGATAGAGCCATTTGGGCACAACAGCCTATGAAACACCTGTTTTTCTCCTTTTGGGTAGAGAGCAACCAATTTGGTTCATAGGCATCAGTGACTGACAATAAAAAAATAAAAGAGAATGAAAATAAAAAAATAAAAAAAAAAAATTGTTCCGCCCTTTTAAGAGATAATCATGACACAAAGACAGATGGACCATTGGTCCCTGACCAATTCATGGTCATAACTGACCAATGGCTGAAAATGAATTTTGGATTTAGGAGACTGTGAGGTGGAAATATCTGTTGAAAATCGCATATTGAAAATTTGATCTGATTAAATACTTTCTTCACCTAGTTGTTAACTTGGTTTCAAATGTTTATAACTGGATCAAACTTAATTAATAAAAGCGAATCAACCTTATTTTCGGACAAGAGTTGGTACACCTAAATACCGCATAGCTCTAATAGCACCCATTCTTCATGCATTTTCTCATTCTGAATTGAATGAAAAGAAAAACAAATATATGGATAAACATGATTTTGTTATGACAGTATGATGAATTAAATTTGAGTTAATTCTGAATAAAATGAAATCTTATGACACAGTGATAAAAAACAGCTTCTCATTTAACCATGATTTATTATCATAACAAGAAAATTTATTTAAAATATTAAAAATTTAAAGGAAAGATTTTTATGCAACTTTATTTAAGTCATGGGTTTAGCCCTGCTACATTTGCTGAAGACTGAAGAATAAATAATATGTAATTTATACTTAAAGTCATAGAAGCTAATGTAGATGTACAAATAAATTAAGGACTCATAATTTCTGCTTTTATTATTTAACGGAAACCAAATGTTTCCATGGTACCTAAATGAAATTTCTAAACTAAAAAGTAACTTTTGCAATTAACCTTACCAAACTAAAAAACACATAGAAGGATACAAGGGTTAAAAACATATGCAATTAATTATAATTTAATATTAATTACTCCTATTTGAGTTAAATTAATTATTTATTATAAGTTTGGCAGAAAGTGAAAGCTGTGTGATTTGCTGCTGTAACAGATTTTTTTTTAAAGACCATCAATTAATTTTTACTTTTTTGAAAATAATTATTTTTCGTTTTCTAATAATCAAAATTTATGATTTATTTACACTAGTAAACTATGAATTATTTATTAGTCTGTAACGGCACCTAAATATATAAAAAACACAATAGTGTAATAATTACCTTCACTGCCTATTCCAGGATTTTTATAGATATACATGCTTTGTAAAATAACTGGATCTTCTAACTTAAGATTTTGGCATAAATTTTGTACTTTTCTTCCGAAGGATATAGATTTAAATACCGGATGGAGCCAATGGAGGTTATGCCCAACTTTATTTAGAGCTATATCTGGATCTACTACGAGTTCACCTTTACTGTTCAGAGCATCTTTCTCATAAAAATACCGTATTTTGTCCCCACTTTCAAGAAAATACTTATGTTGGTTCTGAAAAAAGTAAGACAAGTGTGTTACATTGAAAACTTAATGGTTGACCATTATATATTTTAGAAGACGGAGATGGTCTGGAGTAGCGGTCATAAAGAGACTAAAATAATGGAAAAACTATTTTATTTAAAGCCAACGTTTCGACTCGACATTGCATCTTCTTCAGGAAGGTGCATGCAGCATGGATGCATAAACTGAGTTTCAACTGAAACTCCATACTGCATGCACCCCCTTGAAGAAGACCTGCAATGTTGCGTCGAAACATTGGCTTTAAAAAAAATAGTTTTTTCACTATTTTAGTCTCTTTATGCCCGCCACCCCGGACCATATCCTTCCTCAGACAAGTGTGTTAATTTGTTGTGGAAGTCAAAATTTTTTTCATTACATAGGTGACTTACTTGTGGTGTTTGAGTTGTATCAAATATAATTTTTTGTTCTTCGGATGGCACATTTTGAGACAACTCGATTCCTGCATTTTTAAGCCTTGTTACTTCATCATCGCTTAAGAAATTTTCTATTATAAGGAATCCATCTTTCTGGAACTAAATAATGATATTGTGATGAGTAAAGAACAAATTTGCGGCCTAGAAATACTTTTGAAAAGTGCAATAACTACTTCAAAACATGCACATGTGCAAAACATTACTTGTGCAAAAATAGTCAATTGACATGTGCATGACACAACTTTCCTGTCCGTAATAAAAGTCAGTCATGGTAAGGAATGGGACCCAGGGGAGTATCTGGGGGGAGTAGCAGAGGGTATGGTCGACCCCAGGTTGTAATTTTTGTTTTGTTTTTTAATTAAATGATAATTTTACAGCAAAATCATTACATGAACTTTTTTTAATAATAATGTTTTCGTTTTAATAAAAAAATGTGTTTTTTAAAATTGCATTTTTTTATGGGACCTCCAACACTAATCCATCCTAGGCCCATGCTTTAAATACCCCACTGAAAACATAAGTTTCAATCAAAATGATGACTATACTTGTGCCATGATTCTTATTGTATTTGCAGATAAATCAAGTAGTAGAAAATGTTTTTTGTTTTGTTCTCCACTCTTGATTTTTCTGAGAAGTAATTCCATACCAAATTCCATCTTATATAAAACAGTTCTCAGTACTTGAAGCATAGTTGAAAAAAGCTATAAATAGAATTAACATCTGGTCAAATATTGAACGACATAAACATTGAGATGTAATTTTATTGATTAAATGATGCAAAAAAAAAAAGAATGCATTTGCATATGAATCCTGGGCTTAATCATGATTGGTTGAATCAAAAGGACAATAAAGGAACCACAAGCGATCAGCGAGGGTAATAGCAAAATAGTAACCAAACAGATCCTCATTTTTTTGGGGACAGGGTGGCCGAGTGAGTTTTGCGTGTTGCCTGGCAATCTGATAACTGAAGTTAGATAGAAAAATATTATGAGTTCAGATTCTGATGCCCAATGGGAATTTTAACATGTTAATGTTAAATTAAAAAAAAATGTTAATATATAATATGCTGCCAGGTTAGTTGTGTGGGATAAGATTCATGGAATAAATAATTTAGAATAATTAACAATATGAAGTTTTCCTCAACCAAACTCCTTATTTAACAAGTATCTCCATCTCTGCTGGTCCATGGTATCCTCCTCTAACAGTCCTCTACAAGCCATACTCTCCACCACTTTATCCTTCCACCTAACTGGGATTCTTCCTCTCCTTCTTCTATCCTCTGTCTCCCAATCCATAATTGGAGGAATAAGTTAAAATATACAAATACTTGGATGACCTTCCACTGGAGAAAGACCCGAGCATACTAACTATACTTTAATAGAAGAATAACGTTCAATGCAAGACCAATAACATGTTTTATGCAAGAAGGGTACAAGGAAATGATGTTCAGCATAGAAAGGGCATATGAATGTTTATGAACTTTCATTAATAAAATAGTCCTCTTTGCTGTAAATTGTCATTACTAGTTGATATAATAAGATGTTGGAGTGAGTTATTGGGTTACATAGAAATTTTCAGAGAGTGCCAAAAACCTTTGTCAGCTGGTTTCTCAAAACTGGTTTTGGAGCATGTGCTCATCTTATAGTTACAGCCTCATTAACTAACTACAAGTTTTATTATTTACAACTACAATCATCGCAAAAATATTTATACTTGAATAAGTATAGATTTCTTAACCAGAATACATTATGCTCTAATTCTGCTATAATGCTATAGCAGAAGATTTGTTTCATTATATATGCTCTATTGTGGCTAAATTTAGAATAAAATATTGAATAAAATAAAAATTGTTAAATTACTAGTTTAAAAAGTAATTGAATGGTAAAAATTGGAACAGCCTTGTTGGCTGTTCTTTGTAGAGTAGCTTGACATTACAGTTATGAATTAATAAAATAATTTAATTGTTAGCATCCGTAATATTTTATATTTATATTTATTTTATTTTATTATTATATTATTTTATATTTATTTATTTATTTTACATTTATATTTATATTCATATATGATAATGTGTAATATAAATAACTATTTATATAACTATATTCTGTTCCATCTCAGCACAGTGCTTTCAACTGTTAGTTTTTATTATTTACTAGAAGACGTAATTTATTTTATTTTGTTATAAAATTTATGCTATTGTAAACTCCCCTCAGATGGTTATTACCATGAGGTATGGTCTTTAGCTGTTAATTGTTCTTCACTGTACTATATGTAAATTTATTATAAATAAAGCTATTACTATAGTTATATTCTTTAATAAAATACCAAGCTTTTATAGTTCATGTTTAGAAGAATGTATTGATATATCAAAAGCAATAAAATATCATGACTAGAAAAAACAAAGAAAAAGAAGTCTAATTGTGAGTCAGAGATCAATGAAAAGATTAATGAGCTTGACCAGCTTTGGGTAGGCAATCTAAATATAGATAAGTAGTCCATAGGAAGACTAAGCTATCCAGATTACTTTTGAATGAGTCAGTACAAGCATCTTAGCCATTCGCAAAATAACGATTGAGGATCTACACAACCTGGTATAAATCAAAATACATCTTGTCTAGAACAGAAATCTTCTTTTATGGCCAATATTATAGTATTTTTATTGCGTTTATTAATTAACCAATTTATAAGGTAGATTACTCGATAGTTTTGAGCAAATGATTGAGTAAATTTTTACTGTCCTACTTCCTTCCTCACAATAGCATCTTTTGTCCTTATGCACAAACAATAGATTTATACAATGTTTAGAGAAACGAGTTTAGGAAGAGTTCTTGGAGCAAGTTAGTGCAAAGTATTTGTTAATATGACATACTTAAAACATATTAAAAAAAAAACAGTGATCGGTAATAATAATTGCCAGGTTTTTATAAGTATTTAATGTTATAGCCTTCCTAAATCAAGGATATTGGTTTTACCACACCAATCTTACTGATAAGTAGCTATTTACTGAACAGTGCTCATATGTTTCAAATAATGAATTTAGATTAGGTATTTCTTCAGAATCTAATCTGGTATCAAGTGATATGTTTATCTAATATTCTTTATCAAGTCAAGTTATTCTTATAAGAAAAAGAAATATGAATAAATTTCAATATATATCTTACAAACATTTAATAATCAGCATTCAAATATAAATGATAACAATAAAATTACAAATGTAAGACTAATTTTTAATTAACTTCACTAAAAATAATAAAATGTCAGTGGTATAAATGGGTTTGGTTTGTAGGATGGCAAAATACTATTTTTTATGCTCTTGGAGAATTTAAATTAAAATAATTTCTAGGAAATTTTAAATTAATGTTTTTCAGATAATGATTTAGAAAATCCACATTTGATTTTCCTTTGTTTCATTTTATAGCAAAGAATCATTTGAAGATCAAGGCAAACTGATATCCTGCATACTATAATGTAGTTCCTTGTTTTCAGGTAAATTATGTGGTGTGATATTTAATGGTATTGACAGTCATGATATTTTAAAAAGTTTAATGTAATTATTACAAGTTATCAATTTCTTAAAAAAAATAAAATAACATATTTTGAATGGATAAAAAAAATGTTTAATTAATTCTTTTAGAATTCTAAATCAGTTCCTACCCTACCAAAAATTCAAGATGGAAACACTTAATAAACAAGCATTGTTCAAAACAGTTTCAGAATTTCAGACAAAGTTGAACACTTTTATTTCATATTGCAAAACCATACAACGTTTTACTTTTAATTTTTTGGAAGTGAAACTGAGTCATAGTCTTTTCTAATTCTTAACTCATCACAGTTATAAATGAACTTCCTCTTGGTCTGGCAAACATTCTTAGCTTATTTCATTAAGATACAACTGCAGAAATTATCTCATATCTCTGATTATATTATTCATATAATATATTAGTTAAAAGTACTACAGTTATATAAATTGAAATATAGTGCAATCAAATTTTCGAAACACAATTTTTATATAACTGTGGCATGTAACATTCTATTATTAACATATTATGTTTTTATAATAATTCCAATTGTTTATAATTATTATATTTATTAGTAATTCAAACAAACCTTCTAAAAAATGATTAATTGTGTTATGTTAGAGGCATCTACTAACAAAAAAACTCTGTTTTATAAAATTTTAGAGAAAAACAAACCAAACAAACCATTAAAAACTTGTAAAAGTTGGCCATTGATAGCAAAAAATTCTGATGAGGAGGTCTGCATTCTTTATAGCTTTGTATTTTGTAGCATAAATCAACTTTTTAGAAATTATTTATATTAACAATATAATAATCTTTTCAAAAATGGGCAGAGTAAAAAATGGACTAATCTCTATTTGTTAGTAGATGTCCTATATAAACATGAATTCAAAACTAAAATTAAAATTAGGTTTATGACACTACCAAAAAATTAAATATTAAAGAAAGGAATTGTTTTTATACATATAAATCAAAATCACACCCAATTAAAAAAATTTGTGCTTTCAATCATCATTAATTTTCAAATAGTTGATTTTTAAATAGTAACCATAAGGAGAACATATTATAGAATACAAAATCGTTACCTTGTCATAACAATCTTCCCTCATGGTTGTGTTGCTATCTCTATCAGAACTGATTACTCACTGGCATCTGTTTGGCATTATTTCAACTCCCCACCTCCCACCAAGACCTACTGAGCCTGATTCACACACTGAGGAGTTCAAACCTGGAATGATTGTTTCTATTTTTAATTGACTAAATTTACAATTTTAGAATCTATCAATTGACTCACGTTAAAGAAAGACTTATTGTTTTGTTCTGTCTCTCTCTTTCTTGTTATTTCATTTTATTTTTCTTTACAAATTTAAGCAGCTTTGCAATACTATAAAATTTAAATAATTTATTAATATTTTTTAGGATGTAATCAAAATCCTACTTTTGTCTATTCTACTAAATTTAAAAGTAACTAATTACTTTTTTAATATAGATTTTATTATGAAGAATTAATCAGATCTTCGTATTATTTTTAATATTCTTTATTAGCTTGATATCATATATTTAATACTTCTCTCTCCATTTCATTGTACAGATTATTAATTTCATATTTTTTAAAAATTATTATTTATAAAAATTTGTGCCACACAATCTATTACATTATAGATTTTAGTCATCACCATTTAATGTTTTTCCATACCTAGTTGTGCATCCCATACTTGACTGAAATCTTACAAAAAAATGAATTATGCCCAGGAAACTATCGAATTACAATAGACAAAAAGTTTATAATTAATACACACAGAAGACGCAGTTTTGATTCTAAATTTTAAACTACATATAATTAAAAGTGGGAGCAGAGTAGCTTAGTGAGTTGGGCAGTGGGCTGCTAAGCTCAAGATCCTGGGTTTGAATCTGACTGATGTCAAGCAATTTTTCATCAACCATGGATCAACCCTAGGGTCAAGAGACCCTCTTGGAGCACACCCAGGCTCTATAAAGTGGGTACTCTTAATTAAATAATTAATTAAGGGAGAAAACCTGGCAGTTGAGCATGATCCTGGCCCGATTACCTCCCTACAGAACCGATGGCCCTACAATAGTACTTCCGAACAAAGTACTGAACCCAAAACCCTTCATGGGTTGTAATTGTACAGGTTTTTTTAAATTAAAAGAAACAGTTTTAATTTGATTACTTTTTGAAATGTGTTTTTTATTTTTCTGTTGTCTTTTACTTAATTAGATCTATTGTCACCTTAACCAGTGGAGAATTTTCAAAGCTTCTTAGAGGGTGCTGTTTAGTGTCCATTAATCCAGCAATCCACCAGTAGTCTCACAGCCATGTATCAAAACTAGCTTTATCATATCTTCTTACTCCCTTAATTTGAGATTTCTAGATATTTTTGAGGGTTTAAGTACTTTTGAAAGAGAGAAGAAAACTCTGTTTGTATACTGGTCTATTTCTAACTGTAGGTCATTCATTGAGGCTATTATGGAGTCATAATAATGGTTATTATTATTTTATTATAAATTATTAGTTTATGATTAACAATTTAATCATTAAATGCAAAATTGATCATTTTTGACATAATATATAAGATGTGGCTATTAAATAATAAGACTGATGCTGTAAAATAGTTTTTTTTATTTCATACATTTTTACTTACTATAACCTTCTACATATACCCCTCATCTATCCTTACAGTTTTCCAAGTGAATCTTCCACTGACTGAAACAATGCTAGAAGTCTTCTTTCAGTTCCTTCAGTATGCTTAAAAAATATTGAAACCCTCACAACCAACCTATCACTGGCAATAGATTATTCAGAAATTTGTTGTTTGTATTTGTTTCTCGTTTGTTTTAAATTTATAAAAAATTAACCATCTTATGTTGGAAGGGGAGTGTCTGCCCCACCTATCCCCTCCTCATTCAGTTATGCAATTTCTTTTTTTCCCTTTCCAACAAATATTTCCTGCAAACCTAATGTAAAAAAAACCTTACTTTCAGGAAGACTTTTAAAAAAGTATTTCTTACCTACTAGCATTTCTATTTCAAAAACTATAATGATTCAATGAACATTTTGTTTGAAAACTAATGGGATTTATCTCAAAAATTAAAATATTTAAGAGAAAAACCAAGATATATTATTTAAAAACATGAATATGGTTCAGTTAATACACTAGTGGAACCAGGATTTCATTTTTTTGGGGTGAGGCGGCTTGAGCCCGAAAGCTTTTTTTTCATATATGTAATGATTCTTTTTTATAAAAAGAACCAATGAACTTACTACAACAATTGAGTTGAGTCAGTTCTTTTTTTGAATCAGTTAATTTAAAATTCATATTATTGCTTTTGAAATATACAACTTTGATTTTTCAATACTTGGCGTGGATAAAATAATTTAATAGTTCATGTTGTTACAATATATATGTATATATATATATACATATAGCTGGATATATACATATAGGTGGATTATTAAATTTCGTTTTCATATTCTAGTACTGTTGAAACCAAAAATCTCAAATTTTGAGGAAATAATTTTTTTTTGTTTAGTCAATTGATTAGAAAATTTAATCAGTATATGTTGGATGATGGATTTTTCCAATTCAATTTTCGGATTCTATATTTATTGGAATGTAAAAACTTAAAGGAGGGATTCAAAAATTGTATTTCTTAGTTGATTACAAAGGTTCATTATTGAAAATAAAAAAACCAAAAGAACCATAAATGTGTCACGTGACTGTATCCCAAAACATCATTCCAACTCCCGTTTTGTCTGCCCCTTTTGTCTTTTCATTAGGCAAATTAAGATTCTTAGCCAAGATAAAATATCGTCTGCTCAAATATTTTTTGTAGAAACAGCATATATCACTTATGTTCTTTTTTGCTCTGAACAAAATATTTTGACTTGATTTTTTTAAGGATGGATGATGGTTTAAGTGTTGTATTTTTTCTACTAAATGATACCACAATGAACAATGTATTCAAAACCACCCTTTTACCTCAATACTGGTAAAAATGACTCAAGTGTTGTTTCAGAAATGAACAATTCAATGTAATTATTCAGATATTTTTGCTATTAATTCTGATTATTTTATAAATTTAAAAAAGTTTGTATTGTTGTTTTTTTATACCCAAATCGGTTGTTTGTCCTAGCAAGAAAAATCTGATTCAAAGAGAAGGTGCTTGCTAGAATAAGGCCTTCATTCCACTGGTGCCATCCATTGATATCCGTCAATAGCCTTTACTCCACAGAAATATACCAGAAATTTTCTAATTATGACAAGCTTTCCTTGTCAATCATAATTAGAAAAAAATTACTTATTTCATTTATTTAATATATTATTTATTTTTTTTCAAATAAATACTTAATGTTGGAGCTGATTTACAAAACAAAATCTTTTATATATGAGATAAAAGAGATATGAAATAATATTTTTTTCCAAGTTATGTTTTGGTGTTATTCCTATTGGTTGGTTTCAAAGAATAATTTGTTCAGGATTAAAAATCAAGGATAATTGATATAGTTTTGAAAAATATTTTAAAGTTTTATTTAGACAACAAAAATTTATTCAAATTAAAAATTACTACATTAAAAATCTACTATATATCACATAATGTATATCTTGATCTTATTCTTTAATTAAAAAAAAAATTTAAATAGTAGCTGATAAATAATTGTACAGAATTATAGAATCCTCTTCAGCACATCAGACAAAAATAATAATTCTTTACTCGATTGTTGCATCAATTCTTGGACTTGTGGTTTTGAATCTAATACCTCTACACTTTGAGTATAGGGATTGTATCTTACTCCAAAATTCCTAGGTACTGTTTTGGCATATTTTCTGAAACATGGAAATAGGAAATTTAATATTAATTAGTTCTGTTATTTGAAACTTGAGGCTGTTTTATAGTGCAAGATACTTACATTATTTTATCTTGGGCATCATCAAAACTCTCAGAAACAAAGTATAATGGCTGATACTCAGTAATAGGATACTTTTGAAGAGCTGTGACAGGTGGATCAAAAGGTTTTAGATCTGGCTTGTCACTTAGGCAATATTCGAGCTCACCAAAGGATGACAACAGACCTGCTCCATATGCCTTCAGATTCCCATTTTGATTACAGAGACCATATTCCACTGTGAACCAGTAGCACTGAAAACAAACACATAAGTTTTGAGAGTGACAAATGAGGTTTAACAAGGTAAATAGGTGCTCACAAAAGCTGAAGCTATTAGAGAGGATGGCAGATTAATGCGCCGATTGAAAATTGTACTCCAGTAATTAATTTATTTCAATACAACACAGGTCTCAGAAAATAATAATTAAAAGCTTTATAATTATTTTTGCTTAAGGTACTAGCATTTTCAGTCAGGGTGCATTGCCAATGTTGCAAGAACCTATTCCCCCAATCCAAAGATATTTTATTGCTCACCTTTTCTAAAAAACAGAGCAAGCGAAGGTAGAATTAGAAAAAATCGTAAAATCATATACAATTACACTTGCTGTGGTCTGTTCCATATTTTCCTCTTGTCACTTAGGCCTCTTTCACACTGAAGATGTAAGACGCAAGATGCATGCATCCTGGATGCAGAATGCAGGTTTCTTGCTGCTTGATGAAAGAGCTTTCATACCAAGGATTCACGTGCCTCTTGCATTTTCTATTTATATCCACTATCTCTGTTAATTTAGTATGTGAGTTTGAAAGATGATTAATCAATCATACGACTCTTCAGGCAACGAAATTATAATTCTGGTTTGTACATTAAGAAGAAGACGAAGACAAAGAAGAAAAAGTTTATGAGAGCATCCATAATGGAATAATGATAGAGATTATACTTCTGCTCTGGTGTCAGCAATTACTGAACCATTCAGTAAAGTTTTAGGCGGAGTATAAAATGGAGATTTACACTTTTAACAAGTTGTTAGATATCATGGAACCATCACGGAGTCGTTGGGATACAAATTGTCGGTTGTGTGTATCTGCGAAAGAAAGTGTACTCATATTTCTGAGGTAAATAACTATATTTTCCCCATGAATAGTAAAACTCATTTTTTAAACATGTAGCTCAAAACTGAAAACATTACTTAGGAATATTTTGTGCAGCTTTGTTTATTAAAAGTATCAATACCACATCTTGAGGAGGGAGGAGGGAGAATAAATTCTAGCTTATAATTTTAAAACTCCAACCTCACAGCTTTGTCTCTTTAAAATTCCCATTTCAATAGAAAACGATTTATTGTAATTTTGGCATACAATTTAAATCTTCCATGGTAATAACAAGAAAAATAGGTAAAACATATGGAGAAATAGTTGAAAATAAGAGCAATTGATAAAAAAAACATATAGTTAAAAAAAAAAAAACAACAGGTAAACAAAAGAAAACAATAGTTGAATATAAAAAAGCAATTGATTAGAGACGTCAATCACAAGAGCTTAGAGAAAATTGAGAAGGGAGAGGGTAGACCGAGAGTTGGCAATGTAAGCCGATAGGACCCGATGATTGATCTTCAAAAATATTTTGCTTCGGGCGGGCCGAGGTGGAAGGGGGATTATGCAAGACCAGCATAACAAAGATGCACCCTAAAAATTTTCAGTCGGCTGGTTCCTAAGATGCACGTGCGTCTTGTATTCAGGCTGCAAGACGCACGTGCATCTTCCATGAGAAAGCTCTCGTTCTATTACACAGTCCAGTGTTTATGTTGCATGAGTCCTGCGTCTTGCATCTTTAGTCTGAAAGTGGCCTCAGTTAGGAACTTTTAATTCTGAACTCCGCCGAATTTGCCCCCATCAAAAATTCAAAAATCCGCCAAAATATGCTCCTCTCAAAAATTATCTTGCGCGCTGAATGGAGCATCTTGCGCCATCAATCAAACCCCCTTCTGGACACCCCTGCTTTGAGCAGAGTTTCACATCATATTATTATCACAAAACATAAGGTGAATCTCAGTTTAATATGTAACAAATCTTAACTCAATGAACTTGGACTTAAAATTTATTAAACGAACGTGTTTTTATAAAAATGAGTAATCTGTAGTCTAGTAGGAGAATGATAAAAAAACAAAAACAACTCGATTATCAATGATTTTGCAATAAACCGAACTTCGTTCGATTTTGTCTCAAGGAAATTCCCTTAAATATTTTTTTTTGCTAAAAAATGAGTCATTAAAAAAAAAGTTAAAATTTAATCTTTTTCTATTTGGAATTAGGCCATTACTGATGGTCGTTTAAGATCTATTTCACTTTCTTAAGCTTCGAGTATTATTTACGTAACACCCTGTATATAAAACAGAATATTAAAGTTGGCAGAAGAAATTGTTAAATTTAACCTTCATTGATCAATATTATTTTTCAGTGGTACGAAAATATAGCTGGCAATCAGCAATGAAGAAGTCTGATATTCAGAAAAGCAAAATTTTAATGAAAAAAAAAGTAAAACTTCAGATCTGGAAATGAACATATTAAAAGGTCAACATATTTTTATAATATACTATATAAATAAATATTGTTGTAATTTACCGTCGCTATTTTCTCGATGTACTCATCTGGAGCTCCTAGAGATGCCAGGCCAATTTCTTGTGAAAATTGGGCAAAAGAAGGGTCTGCGAAAAGCGGTACATGTCCAAGAAGTTCATGGCAAACGTCTGGCTCTGGGGTGTAGAGCGGCATGCTGGGATGACGAATATACTGGGTCGAGTGGAAGACCCTGAAGGCCAATCCTGCCAGGAAGTCACGGGAGGAAAGGAGCCCAGCCACAGGGCGGAGGCTAAACCCAGTGCAGTCTGTCGAAAAATTTAGTTTTACCAATAATTGAAGCGATAGACATTATTGAAAATTAAAAAAAAATATTGTTAATTATCCATCTTAATTATTTAGATGGATCAACAATACCTAACTAAGTATATATATATGTCCACCAAGGAAAAGCCACGCTGTCCGAGATTCCTCCCCCCCCCTGGGCACGTGAGGCCCGTCAGTCTACTCTGGAGGCAACTCACACCGACCGGGCGTAGGATTGATGACCCTACCCCGTACTTTAAATCGGGAATCGGGATGTGGTCTAGAAGACCTCAAAGATCTTCATGGTCTTTCGCGCCAACAGAAAAAAACATATATTAAAGATTTTGCGAAAAATCCTATTGTTTTGCCAGTACCTAGGTATATGATTTCACAGTAGAAACACCGGTTTATTCGAAAGAAGTTCTTCCGTATAATATGAAATTCAGAATAGAGGAAGGAGATGGTCTGGAGTGGCGGTCATAAATAGACTAAAATAGTGGGAAAACTATTTTATTAAAAACCAACGTTGAAGATTCCCTGAAGAAGACCTTCAAAGTCGGGTCGAAACGTTGGCTTTTAATAAAATAATTTTCCCATTATTTTAGTTTACTTATGACCGCCACCCTGGACCATCTCCTTCCTTTATAATACAACGGTCAATTATTAAGTATTTGAAATTCAAAATAATTGATGAAGTGGAGTATATCTATAGTGTTTTTTTTGAATAGATAAAATACAGATTTATGTTTGAAGACTAGGTGTATGGTAAAATCTACACGAGTTAAACAGAAATGAGATGAAGAGGAAAAAAACGAACATATTTTTGATACAAATTACACAATTGGAAGGTTTGATACAAATATGAGGCAGCTCAAGTTTCCGGAAACTTTAAAACATAGGGCTTGAAATGAAACATCTATGTTTCTTGCGTAATAAAATAGTTTTTCACCGTAACGGTCTCTTTTCCGGCTCTCAGGAGCGATGGATTTTGATGAATGAGGTATCAAACGAGTATTGTATGAAGCAGTGACGATTCATAGTAACATCCACCCAAAATTTTAGGAATAAAAGTTATGAATGAAATAAAATTTATTTGTGAATTACTTAATAAGAATACAAATTTTTTTTTGTACACTATTTACTCTTGAGTTATTCGGAATCTAATTTTACCATCCCTCGTAACTTTTTTTCCAGCTTCTTTTCGTTGAATGTTATATAGATAAATTTAAAGGGCATCGAGAAGAAGACTTTAGCGAAGTTTCATTGAAATCGGTACATTCGTTTAGGCACTACAGTAAATAGCAACGCAGGTTTTTCGGCTGCCATCTTGAAAGGAAAAGGCGGATAGAATTGTCGATGAAGGAAGATCATCCTCGGGTGACCTCTAATTTAAAATCCAAATTTGAAAAAAATCGGTACAGTGATTTGGAGAAAATGCGCGGACGGCGGACGGACAAAAATATTTTTATTCGTTTTTCGAATTCTACGTATTCTGAAACGTAAAACCTCAAATTTTGAGAGGAGGTTAAGTTTTTGAATTTTTCGTTCGATCACAATGGTTCATTATTGAAAATAATAAACCAAAAATTATTGAAATTGAATCATTACTTACATCATTACATTAAATCATTACATCAAAAATACAGAATTTGCAATTACTATTCCACGAAATACAAAAGAAAAATTATCAGTACATATTATTTATTTAAAATTTTAAGTGAATTAGTAAATTTTTAAATTAAAATTTAAGTGAAGTTTTAACTGTACGCAAACACATTGCTCAAATGCTACGTTTACTAGTACTAGTCCATTGCACTAGCGGATCCAGTATTTAATTTTGGGGGGGGCTTCAGCCCGAAACCTTTTTTTTTCATAAAAATAACGATAATTACTTTGGAAAAACAGAAAGAAACTAACTACCTATATGAAATGGTGTTTAAGTTATTCCTTAAGTACTTTTAAATGTAATTACACGAACAATAATACTTTAAGAGGTATTTTTAAATATTTTTTTCCATAAAACATGGTTATATTTTTCCATTTTTGGGGGGGGGCTTCAGCCCGAAAGCCCTCCCCGTAGATCCGCCCGTGGTCCATTGTAAAACTATATATATCATTTTGTGGCACATGTTTGCGTGATTCTTTCAACACATCTTTATAACATTTCGTTGTCGTTATTGGAAACGAAGAATTAGATCCACCCCTTAGATTGAATAATATGAGAACTAATGATCTGAGCAACTATGTCTAGTATAAAACGAAAGAATTATTTTTTTTTTTGCTATACAATAGTAGAACTTTCATAAATTATATTCGAATCCGAAATTTTTCATGTATGTCATATATAAGTTATTGTAAATAATGAAATGGAATGTACCAAACAATACAAACTTTAAATGTAATTTTGTAAAATGTATATAAACGCATCTTAAATTTAAAAAATGGAAATCACGAATTTCTTTTAACATTACCTATTTAATATAATTTCTTATAAGTGTTGTAAAAAAAAGTACTAAAATAAAAAAATAAAACTATCTATTTATCAATTAATTATCTAGATAATTCGAATGTGATGGATTCATATAAGCAGCATAGTACTATATTTTTCATGAAATAATGGCAGTTTGATGAAAGAATTTTAGTGACATTGTTTATAAGTAACTATGTAGAGTCAACATCATTCTAATATTTCTAAATGAAATATCTTAGAGGTTGATCGTAATATTCTTTTATCATAATATAATTTTGAAAATGTAGGTTAAAGACATTATAAACGATTATTGTTTTATAAAAGTATAATAAATTGTATGCATGACAAGAATAACATACCAGTAGAACTATAAATCGTCAAGTAGTAAAAAAATATATATCTTTTACCTTTTAGGAAGTTGGAGATATCTTCGAGTTGAGGAATGTTGTCTTTCCTGTATCCACAGTTTTCGATGAGAAGAGGAAAAACATGATTGAACTCTTTGCAAGCATGAGTAGGATAGAGCTTGGTCAGTTTTTCGAACACCTTGCCCCATGTTGCTATCTCCTCCTTAGAGTACTCTACCCTCGGGATGGTCTCTCCGCTGAAACATAATCATTTTCTCGTCATGAAGAGCTTATGGGTGGGTTGATATTTCATTGTTATCTGAAGAAGAACCTGGAAACTTAGCAGCGCAAAGTCGCTTAACAAGAGACCGAAGATGTGTTTACAATAAATCAAAATTAAAGTAATGGCTAATGCATAAATTATCCATTTAAATTTTTTGAAATTATTTTTGGAAAAGCATAAAGAAGTTAAACGGTTTTTAAATATTCGATCTTTGACAAGATCGTTTAGTGTTTGATCATCTATGGCAATGTAAATCAGGAATCAAACAAAGCCGTTGGAATCTATTAATCAAAGACGAGATTTGAGGAACCATGAGAGCCTTCAAACAAGAAGTAACTGAATTAGAAGTGAGATAGGCAACGAGCGGATTCAGATTTTAGATAGACTTAGTTGGATGAATCATCCTCAGTTTAAAGCTAGCTAGCATGAACAGATAAGAAAAAGGAAAGAAAGATATGCTTTGATTATAGAACGCAATGTTTTTAGTCTCGGTTTCTTAAAATAATATATTTTCTAGGCACAAAGCAGTTCTTGAATAACATTTATTTATCTACATCACAGACCATTAAGTTAAGTTGCTTGACCAATAAGTCATAATTTGACTTTCAATAGTAATTTATTGTCTCCAACGTTATGTTTTATATGTGGACATTGTACAACGGATAGAAATAGTTAAGTAAAAAGGAAGTGCTGGAGATATATCGATTGCGTATTTTATGAAGGCAATTCAATTTTAAAACAGCTAAGCTAGGAAGATTTTTTTTTTCTAACTCACTTATCCACGGCATAGATATGATCATAAATATTATTGCTGTACGCGTGGTATTTTACGTATACGTGTATGTATAATATATATATTGGCAAAATTACAATAAATCTAGAACTGATGTACTCACTATTTATAATTAAAAGCAATGTCAGCGAAGTACTTCCTTCTCTTCCTGTACTCTGGGTCAGTGAAGCCAGGATGATCAGCGTCAAGCTCGGATCCGTAAGAAAGAATTTGGTTAGCGAATTGGTCCAGCTCTCGTATTCTCCTGGGAAACCAGGGCACAGAACCTACGTAGAAAAAATATTCGATCATTAGAAAGTAGCCTACACAATCCATCTATTACGCCTAGTCACTTACGGATCCAGGATTTAATTTTGGGTGGGGGCTTCAGAGCGAAAGATTTTTTTTTTTAATATATTATGATAATTACTTTGGAAGAAAAAGAAACTAACAACAAACTAACTATCTATATGAAATGGTGTTTAATTGATTGTTGAGGTCCAATTAAAAGTAATCAGACGAACAATGATACCTTTTTAAAATATTTTTTTCATAAAACATGGTTATATTTTACGATTTGGTGGGAGGAGGGGGAGGATTCAGCCCGAAAGGCCTCCCCCTCTCCTGCCTTCCGTAGATCCGCCTGTACTCTTAGTTTATGAATACATACTCCTTAACTGACTCAGAAATAAGATGTAATAGGATTGGATTATTATTATTGATTAGGATTAGGTTATTGTTGGTAACTTGGTGACGAGTCCAGACCTTCTCGGAACTAGCTTTGTTCAAAGTCTCTGTCTCTGCCAGCCAACATCCAGTCTGATGCTGAGCATTGTTCGTGCGTCATTTGTCAGACCATCGAAACTTTGCCCTTCCTCTTTTCTTCAAACACAGAACTGCTCTGTAAGTAGTTTTATATGCATATCCTCAACTCCCATTCGGGCCACATAACTTGCTCATCGCAGTATTCGTATTCAACATCGGACTCTAGATATATAACCAAGATCCCATAGATACTTCTTTTTCTCCACTCATTCCCTACTCTCTTTTTTCATAATATCCTAAGGAGTATCGTATCTTACGTATGTAAGAGTGAACAAACCAAGGCATCTTGTCATATGCTTTTATCTGAAACAAATTCTTCTGGCTTGTCGTTGATTTGTACTGAGTGTAACATGTTATCCATTATAAGTTTAGTGAGCCTTCCACGTTTGTTAGCTATTTCAAAGCTATTTAAGACTTCGAATAGCTCTCCTCTGTTGATACTGTCATAAGCTGTCTTTATATAAATGAAGAGGTAATGAATTTCGATATTTTCTAAAATATCATGGAGTCTAAAGACTCGATCAATTACTGATTTTTCCCTTTTTACATTGTTATGGTCCTGAATTTTCCTTATGCAAGGCAACATTCGTTGAAACAAATATTGGAGAACAATTTTTATGAAAACGATGGTTAGGAGGATCTTTTTTTCTATGAATATGTTTTCTTCCAATTAGAAAATCTGTTAGTGTAATCCAAATTAAATTACATTTATAATATTTCCACAACAAACAACCAATAATGAAAGTTTCGTTTTAAGTATGGCTGCATTTGTTACATAAGCATTCAAAGTAAGCATTCAAATTCTTTGAGAGTTTTTGCAAATAAAATAATTTTTTAAACACAAAATAAGGTTTAGATTTATTTCTACTGTAAGTATATGTAAAGAAAAATTAACGTTGTTACTCTCAGAACAAGCAAACTTAATATATTTTTATTAATTTAAATGCACCAATTTTAAAACAAGCACGAGTAGCATCATTTATCATAATAAGACTAAAATTAAAATAAAGCAAATGGTCATATTACGTACCCCTGTTATTCTTGTGGTTTCTGGAGATGATGCTGAAATATTCTGATGTTTGCTTCAGACTCTCGATGGCCGCCCCTAGGTTCCCACTGCCGGGAACACACTCGACCATGAACTCGTATCTACCAGGAAACCTGACTGAAGATCTGGACTCGATGTGTATCAGGTTCACCTTGTGCAGCTGTCGGCAGATATTATATAACAGGCGGTTAATATTTACATTTAAATAAATGATTAATTTATAGGATTTTTAATAGAATAGAAAAGCGGATAAGTTGGTATGATACAATGCTTATGTTGCGTAGAATGTGTACAATAAAGTGGTCTGGAAATTACTGCTACTTCAGTAATAACTAAGAATTTTAGCAATGTTTGGTAAGTATCTTAATAATATTTAAATTTTTAAAAATAAAAAAAAACGTATTTCTTGTTTTAAATTAAAGCGTGCATTTTTCGTCAAAATATTGTATATTTAATGTCCATTGCTCTATCAAAAGATTTATAGGTTGAGCTCATTTTAAAATGTATTCACGTTTCTTTCTCGTTATTGTAACAACTTATGCCAACAGCCATTTCGTAAAAATCGGCTAAAGTATTCTAAAATTAAATAGATTATTAGAAAAAACACACTTTTCTTAAAGTTTGGAAGAATTGAGCTATCTGGAAATTAATGACAAATTTTAATTTATTTATGAGTTTGACTTTTCTATCTTAGAGGCAAGTTTTCAGCGATTGAAAAAAAAATCTTTTTGTTCACTATTGTTTTTTTTTTTGTTTGAGCATCGAAGTTTTTTGTTGGTTTGTGAAGGAATCTTCCAATGATTTTGATTTTCATATAACCTGATATAAATACTGTTTTTTAACTGTAAACGTTTAATGTAAATTGTTTTTCAACGACTGAATTAAATGAAGCAACATTGGATGAGAATTATAAAAAAAAAAACTTCTCTACTACATAGAAATCATGTAGGGTCTTGGATTTAGTACTTTGTAAGAAAGTACTGTTTCAAGACCAATGGTTGTGCAAGGAGGTGATTGGATCGAAATCATGTCAAACGTCAGGTTTATCCCTTAATTAATTATTTAATTAAGAGTACTCTCTTTATACAGGCTGGGTATAGAGGATCTCCCGATTCCAAGGTCGATCCACAACAGATGTAAGAAAAAATGATTATCTGCAATCTGTCGGACTCGAACCTAGGGTCTTTAGCATTGCAAGTAATGTCAATTGCGGTACATCAATTCTAGACAATAAAAAAAAAAAGAAACCTTACCAACTAACCAATTTTTTCTACTCACCTTGAAGTGCTCGAGGTAGTCAACCAGAGTCCCAACATCGTCGTTCTCCTTGGGCGTGAAGAAGAGGCAGGCGGTCTTGGCGGAGTCCGTCAACTCCTTGATGTACTGTCCGCCCTCCATTCGTAGTGGCTGCAACAGGCACAATTCCTTTCATTATATATAGTCTTACCTTCTGCAATCCACTTCGTCGTTACATCAGATAAACCTCAAAGATTTCCTTGAACGACACGGCAGTTATCTCTTTCTCCCGTTTGGAACTGCGATGCATGATGGGGATTCCCTCACCCTTAAGATAAAACTTGAAGTGACCTTAACCTTTCTGGGCATATGAAAAACCACGACGAAATTTTCGTAGAATTAATAAATGATTCGCCTCAACACTTATATTATACTTTTGATAGTGACCGTAATATATATAGTTGGAAGGACGTGTCCACTAATATAAAAATTCATAACTCTTATAACAAAGAAAAATATGGTTGTAAAAAGAATTAAAATTTTATTAATTAATTCAAAATATCCATAACAGTTTCTAATCAAGCTTCGAATTTAGCAATGATACATTTTTAAACCTTTTCTCCTAACCTTGATTTTTGCAGTTGGATATGTTTACTTTATTTCTACTTTCATTAACAAATTCTTACATTTACTTATTTCCTGATGGTATTTGAAGACAGATCAATATAAAATACGACTTATTAGCACAGAACAACTATTTATTATAACAAAGTTATTGCTGTACACAGCTTGAAAGAAGTATCATTTTAAAAAAATGATTACTATTTATAATTTTTTAGCAACTTAATTTTTTTTCTTCAATAGATAGACATTAATTAACAAAAATACAAATATTCAAATCATAATGTCGCTAAAAAAACTCATTTTATTCGCGAGGTAAATTATTTGTCGTCTAATGTCAATAAACAAAGGAATGCATCAAGGTGAACCACTCCCTCCATTAATATTGTTTCTTTTTGTGCAACTGTGGGTTTTATTTCACAAATCTTGCGGCCAGTTTAGTTGCTCGACTCGAATTATCCTTTGACGGTGAGTTCGTTCAATTTTTTATAAACAAATAGCGCAACAGCCCTGCTAAACCTAAATTTATTGATAAATAATGTGTAGATCTCGATTTCCAAATATATAAATGGTTTCATGATACTGCTGATCATTTAGAATACTTATTTTATAGCATACAAATTTAATGTAATTTAAAGTGAATTTTCATGCTTCATTACTCTACTCTTCATTACTAAACTCTACTCTATTCATGCAAAATTTTAAATATTTTTCCTGTTTGTTAGATAAAAATAAAAACGATACCTAATCATTTCTATAATAATAGTTTACAAAACAGATAGTTTTTTATTGTATGATTTTAATTATTATTTTAAAAATAATATAAAATATAATTTTTATAAATAAATGATGTTTACAGGAGATTAAAATTCGAAAATTATTAAATTACCACAATCGTTCCATATATATTTTAGTGAAATACAAATAGGAAGTATTAGGAAACATAAATGTCTGTTCATAAGGATGATTACTTTGATACGCCAGTATATTATGCCCACACTACTTACATATCGTAACAAACTAGCCGGAATTTCTCTTCAGGCTTGTACAAGAAGAGTTAAGATTTTCATGATAGTGAAAATTGGGTGATAAGGAAATGGGATATAAATTTGCGACAGCCTGACTTCAGTGCCGAGTGACACAGACCATAGGGCGCCGACCTGGAGAATGGTGCCTGCCACTTGTTTAGAATTAAAAAACAAATACAAATTAATTATTTTTAGTCTATTAATTAATATAGCAACTGAATTAGAGACATATTGTATGAAATGAAATTCAAATAGAAAACAGTTTAAGAAATATATTAAATTTTTTTGGGGAGAGAAGACGTTATTGTCCGGGGACGCATAATGTCTCTGCTTGACGTTTTGGGCAAATTACTCCACCCATTTCAAAGTCATAAAAACAATATTGACGATAATTTTAAAGAAAAGCATAAATAAATATTAAAATTTTGTTATGTTTTTTATTTATTTATTCCACTAATTGTTAGTTCTTTGTTTCAAAAGTTATTTCTTTTTATTTTCAATGTGTCAGCCTATAGGTCGCTATCTAGGAAAAACTTTATTAAAAATTAAAATCTATTACAGGCTAATTAGCCTAAGTATTTCTTCATGTTTCATTAACTATTTACCATATAATATTAAATAGTAATACAGTATTTGAAGGTTTCAGATACTTCTTCTTGTATTAGGACTCGACATTTAGGATCATTTATACACGTTTTTGTTTATCTCACCGATTTCCCGGGAACCCCAGTTCACTCTTGATTTTCCCAATATCTGTCCACGAAGGGCGGGGTGGCCGAGCGAGCTAACGCGTGCGCGTATGCCAGGCAACCTGATAAAAGATAAAGACGACAAAATAATTACACGTTCTCGTCCCTGTACCGAGGGATCTTTTAACTCTTGCATTAATCCCCTCTGTCTTGGAAAAAACCCGTATAGCCTAAAAGACGAGGAAGGGAAGCATAAAAAAATAGAATAAAAAAAAATTATCAATTAGTTTGAACTATGATATAATTATAGTAATATTTTGCCATATGTCCACGAAATCAAATGTTGCTGTTAGGCTAAAAACACTATGGTAAATAAAAAAAAAACCTCAATTCAGGAAATCCCTTTTGAACGTCATCGTTTATTTCTACTCAAATCCCACATGTCGTCGGCGCTGAAGCAAGAGTTAAAATGAGGAAAATATTCAAATTTCATATTCATAGTTCACTTCTGAACAACAATATTTTTGTTTAAAAATAATTTTATTCGGCTAAAAGCATTCAATCATTCATCATTCCGTTTTAATTTGGGGATAAGTTAATTTAGTTCGTGTATGTTGTATTTAACCAGATAGAAATCATTCGCAAACAAAATTCACTAACTGGGCATTAGCTTAAACTCCAAAGATATAAAAAAAAAAAATCAATTTCGGTTGTTATTTTCTTGTAAAAAAATAATATCTTAAAATCTCGTTCAGATGCCTGGTCTGGTCGTGCAATGATACAGTATTGCATTCAGTTCTTAACGTTGTTACTTTTATAAAATAATGAAATTGTTTCTGGATAAAATGGACTAAATGTAAGCTTTAATTTATATTAGGAAAAAAAATGCACAATTAAGTGAAAACATTTAGAAATATGTCAGTTCCATATAAAAAGGTTACTGAGAGTGTTAATATAGATTTATCCAATTTTCACAATGAGACCACGATACTTTATATAAAGAATATCTGGTATGGATTTTCATGTCATAGACAGTAACAAATGATGAAATTAATTCTATCAAGACAGAACTATTCTATTTTTAGTTCGGGTAGAATGGGCCAACAACCGGTCAATTAATTTGAGACTTCTAAAAATTAAAAACTCGAAATAAAACTCAGATGTTATTATTGTAGCTGCAAAGTTCATGGCCTTAGGGTACAATTCTCTTTAAACTGAGAGAGCGGTCGATATGCAATCATGCATCAAACAGAGTGAACGACTAGTTCCTGAAAGGCTTACCATCAATCCCAGGAAAGTGTATGGCCTCTGAAGTGGAAGAATATTGTATTGCTGTCAGTAATGTTGAATGAGAAGGACGGCGAACGGAGTGCAAACAGAAAATGGTCTAGTCATCGACTAGAAGCTAATAGTTTACAATAAAATAAAGGCTTTCGATTTCCAATAATTCACCCCTATTTATATTGTTTGTTTCTGGTGTAAAATTTCCTTTAAAGTAATTAGTTCTTAAAAACAGATCTTTGTGTAATTTCAGGAAAATTCACAATAATGAAACAATGAATTATTAAACTATTCATAATCGTCATTATCCTCTATTTATTTGAGATGAATTATGTTTATGCCATGTGAACGCTTTATTTGATTTATTTATTTTTAATGGATGATTTATAAAAATAAAATTAAAATTCTGAACAAATTTCTCAAAAACAGCGGTCCATGTAAACCACTTAACTACTTCTTGTTTGTCCTCCTGATTTCTTAAACAGGTCAAGCCTGATTTTTTAAACCGATCAATTTTTTATCTACAATAACATTGGTGCGAGGTAATAAAAATCAAAACGTTCAAAAAAAGGCGATAAACCAAGCCTATCTTGGATGGGATACGAAAATTGAACAGAGAGGTTAATCTAGATAAAACGAAAAAAAAAATGGTTTCATTCCAGAGTTTTTTTAAATAGTATATATGAAGCCTTTCTGGGAGGAAAGGATAATTTCCCTTATTTTTATGTTTTTCATAATTTCCGTTAATGCTTATAAAATGTTATTCCTCAAATTCCAATTTATTATTTTTTTTTACTCTAATATTTGATGACTAACTTGATATTCCTGTATCCCAAAAACGATTCGAGTTATCATATAATTAATATAAGTAAGAGAAAGCGTTTTGTTTAAGATCCATTATAAAACATGTACCTACTGAGGTTTTTTTGGATTTGTCTCGATCACTATGTTATGTAATTTAAAATTTTCATTAATTTAATTTTTTTTAAATTACTAATTAGTTAATTAAAAGTAACATAAATCAGAATAAACTCGATTGTCTCAAATTACTATCAATACTTCTTATTTCGAAGATTTCTATATACGAATGTTTAAATATTGTACCAAAATTAAGACTTCAATAATGTGTGATGTGAACGTGTATCAGGAAATACTTTAAGTATGTGTTGTTTTGTTTTCCCAGTTAAGTCGGTCTTGCATAACATGTTGGAAAATATCCAAATGTTCTAAAAATACTGTTGATGATATTTCCACATTTTGCTGTCTGACCAGTCTCCTAGATGCGTTCGATTTTTCATCTGGTTAAAAATAACTATTTCACAATTCGGATCCATACCAAATTTAAAATGCACAAAATTAAAAAAAAAAAACATTGAATATTGCATTTATTTATAGTTTAAGAAAATTTCAAAAATAATATCGCATTAAGTATGGTTGGAATGTCGGCATTGTAATTAATCAATAAAATTATATTTTGAACCAATATAACTTCCAAAAATTGCAGAGGTAGCTAAGCGTATTAACATTATTTTTTAAATTTAGACGATATAAT